TTCTGTATTTACTATCTATAGACATGTAGATCTCTGACTAGTGTATATATTTGTAATAATATATAACTCCCATACCATTTCATGTCTGATGGAATAATCGAACCCCTCATTTAACTACACTAACCTGCTATCAGACCACCTACAGCTGCAGTTTCTGAGAAAAGCTTACAGCAACGGCTTTGACAATCTTATATCCACTGCGAAAAATTATCGACATCAAGATGTTTTATCTTTTCGGACGGACCACGGGAGTTTTCATACAATCCTAGTTACAACATGCCTTTTCCGTATATGCAATACGCGTCAACGGTTCTCGTTAATAAACACGTCAACAGTTCTCGGTAATAAACACGTCAACAGTCCTCGGTAATAAACACGTCAACAGTCCTCGGTAATAAACACGTCAACAGTTCTCGTTAATAAAAACGTCGACAGTCCTCGGTAATAAAAACGTCAACAGTTCTCGCTCATAAACACTTCAACAGTCCTCGGTAATAAACACACCAAACAGTTCTCGTTAATAAAAACGTCGACAGTCCTCGGTAATAAACACGTCAACAGTTCTCGTTAATAAAAACGTCGACAGTCCTCGGTAATAAAAACGTCAACAGTTCTCGCTCATAAACACTTCAACAGTCCTCGGTAATAAACACACCAAACAGTTCTCGTTAATAAAAACGTCGACAGTCCTCGGTAATAAACACGTCAACAGTTCTCGTTAATAAAAACGTCGACAGTCCTCGGTAATAAAAACGTCAACAGTTCTCGCTCATAAACACTTCAACAGTCCTCGGTAATAAACACACCAAACAGTTCTCGTTAATAAAAACGTCGACAGTCCTCGGTAATAAACACGTCAATAGTTCTCGGTAATAAACACGTCAACAGTCATCGGTAATAAACACTTCAACAGTCCTCGGTAATAAACACGTCAACAGTTCTCGGTAATAAACACGTCAACAGTTCTCGTTAATAAACACGTCAACAGTCCTCGGTAATAAACACGTCAACAGTCCTCGTTAATAAACACGTCAACAGTTCTCGTTAATAAACACGTCAACAGTCCTCGTCAATAAACACGTCAACAGTCCTCGTTAATAAACACGTCGACAGTCCTCGGTAATAAACACGTCGACAGTCCTCGGTAATAAACACGTCAACAGTTCTCGTTAATAAACACGTCAACAGTCCTCGGTAATAAACACGTCAACAGTCCTCGTTAATAAACACGTCAACAGTTCTCGTTAATAAACACGTCAACAGTCCTCGTTAATAAACACGTCAACAGTTCTCGTTAATAAACACGTCAACAGTTCTCGTTAATAAACACGTCAACAGTCCTCGGTAAAAAACACGTCAACAGTTCTCGGTAATAAAAACGTCGACAGTCCTCGGTAATAAACACGTCAACAGTTCTCGGTAACAAACACGTCAACAGTTCTCGGTAACAAACACGTCAACAGTCCTCGGTAATAAACACGTCGACAGTCCTCGTTAATAAACACGTCAACAGTCCTCGGTAATAAACACGTCAACAGTCCTCGCGGTAATAAACACGTCAACAGTCCTCGGTAATAAACACGTCAACAGTTCTCGTTCATAAACACTTCAACAGTTCTCGTTCATAAACACACCAAACAGTCCTCGGTAATAAACACACCAAACAGTTCTCGTTAATAAAAACGTCGACAGTCCTCGGTAATAAAAACGTCGACAGTCCTCGGCAATAAACACGTCGACAGTCCTCGGTAATAAACACGTCGACAGTCCTCGGTAATAAACACGTCAACAGTCCTCGGTAATAAACACGTCAACAGTCCTCGCGGTAATAAACACGTCAACAGTCCTCGGTAATAAACACTTCAACAGTTCTCGGTAATAAACACGTCAACAGTTCTCGTTCATAAACACTTCAACAGTTCTCGTTCATAAACACTTCAACAGTCCTCGGTAATAAACACACCAAACAGTTCTCGTTAATAAAAACGTCGACAGTCCTCGGTAATAAAAACGTCGACAGTCCTCGGCAATAAACACACCCAACACTTCTTGTTCATAAACACGTCAACAGTTTATTAAAAGTTACTAACATCAATAAAAGATTTCGTATGCCGTCCTTGACTATATCAGTACGGAGCTTGCTTCACCAAACGACATGTATCGACCCGGGCATCAATCTTTAGTGCGGTCAGGAATAATGATTTCTAAGGACCCAACACTATTGTTATTGTCGCTGAGGCTGTACAATAATACCTCTTCCGTATCAATATCGCAGTTTTACACAAATGCTGTTTTAACGAACCCACCGTCAAGCAGACAACACTAAATAACGGTTAGTGATGTACAAAAAAAAGGATTAATAAAAAATATTTGAGAAAATATCAGTTTTTCTCGGGATTAATGATGTATTCGTGTTCCGTGGAAAGCCTCGTAATTATGGACAATACACTACTATCGATTATGTCATTGTATTTCTGAACACGTTAACTTCACCAAGCGTACAGTTACACACATCCCCGGATCATCAATCTTACCTTTGGGGCTTATAGAAGGGACACGTACATATTGGACTGTAGACTTTGCAGTCTGTCAAATCCATGACCGAAAATGATTCAAGCAACAATCTAACTGTCGTCCGAAAATGTGTTCCCCCTCCCCCTTTTCATTCTGTGTTAAGGTTTTCTCTATTGACACCATCAAATTTCATTCATGGAGATTAGTAAAAGTCGTCGACCGCTCAAATCGCAACTAATCTGTTCCGTCACTTTTAAGCTTACAGTTAACTCTGAGATAATATTGACACGAAAATGAAAGACAGTTGTCCCTTGTGTCTGTCGTGTGAATGGATAGTCTTACAATTCTGTCCATTTTCTCAGTAGTAATGTCTGTTTTTCCCTCCTATAAACTTGATATTATGGAAGTTTTTATTAGGTATGACATCACAATTACGTCATGAGTGACGTCATGTGAACGCAGAGCAAATGCTTCCAAGAATCCAAAAGAACCCAAGGCATTTATAAACTGAACATAATTTACTCTTTACATAATAATTAGTTTAACTTCTTTTTATTTATCGTATTTTGTGTTCGTTTTTTTCTCTACATATCAATTAGTTATTTTTATCATCCGGAAATCAAAGAATTCATGTGAGCGTCCTTTTTAGTTCATACATTTTCCAACTAGAGGCGTATGTACGTCTCTGTTCCATCTAATCGTTCTGAAAATATCCATGATTTTAGAAAAAAGGGCGTTTTGTTTAAAGTTCATTATTAATAACCCAAGTACGTACATTACAGTATTACAACAGCTTAGTCAAAATCTAAATATTTTAGAAGAGGCTTTTATATGTGTTGTTAAACCTATCGTATATAGGCCGCGTGATTCAGAATAAAGAAAACACTGAGTGATCTTTGTAGGGTGAGCCCTTTACAGAGCTTTGTATTTAGTGGGTATACAATGAAAGTCTATTGTTATTTGTATTTGTGTACCAGCTGTCGACATTTGATATCCGTAGCTTAACGAGTAACTTAAAAATGTTAATATTTGTGTTGTCAGTACCTATGCATTAAATGAAATCTTTTTTTTATGTGGACATGATGCTACATATAATGTATTTGCCATTTTATGACATTGCTACCATATAACCCTTGAAGTCTGTTGTGTATTACCAGCTCATGAACTGCCATCCGGCGTAGTAATATTTTAAGTAATGTAAACAGACTGAGGTTGCCTTCTCTTCTAACAAGACGAAAGTTGAAAATGATAGATACATCTGATTGTTTAAGCACTAATCGGCTTTGAGCTAGTATTCATTGGCATATGAATGCCAACATGAAAGGACGCGATTCATTGAATTTGCTTTTTATCCTTGTTGGCATTCATACGCCAGTGAACGCTAACTGAAAGCAGATCAATACTTTAATAAAACGAATATATCATAGACTTATGATACATGTTATCGTGACAAAATCTATTAGAAGGGTCACCTCTAGTACCCATCAACCAACCCCACCATGATCTACGATGTACTCCCTACCACAATGAATAATTCAGATCTGTTTATTTAGATCTTGACATAAACTATTCCGGTTCAAAGCCTCTGTTTTACAGTTCTCCTCGATTTACAGAATATTGATTTCGGGACAGACAAACGCCACGTGTTGGACTCTGAACCACTTTCAATAGAGACTGAAAAATTGAAGTGTATACACAAACACAAAGCATATCATTGTTGATGTGCACCAATGTTTATAAAAAGGGTGATAACATTAAGCTGGCTTTGATCGCCATGTTTTTACTGGAACAGTGTGGACAAATCTGATACCGGGCTGTGACAGATTTTACCTGCCTCTGACTGTGGTGTAGTGTACGTGGTACGCTTGGTACACCATTCCAATTTATATCCCTAAAAAATCAAAAGAATACATCTGATCAATGAAGCGTTCGGTTAGGCTTCATTGACGTGTAGAAAACCAAATTATGTATCACATTATTACAGACATCTTAAAAAGATATAAAAGGAATGTTTATTTAGTATATAAATATCTAACATTGATATGATGTCTCTCTGTTTATGTGTCTTATACAACGTACAAATAGCTATAGTCCTTTACGATATAATGATGTTTACACCCTGCCCATTACAATATTGTGGTGTTTAGACCAAGCTCGTTACGATAGTGTGGTGTTTGGACAAAGCAAACACGACATTGTGGTGTTTAGACCAAGCTCGTTACGATAGTGTGATGTTTGGACAAAGCTATATACGACATTTTGGTGCTTAGACCAAGCTCGTTACAATATTGTAATGTTTAGATCAGGCTCATTTCTATATGCTGTTCAGTTCCATCTAATTACGATTGAATGATTTTTGTAATGTTTAATGCGTTGATTGGTATTGTTCTGATCGACTCCAATGCGATGCTGTATTTTTGTTATGTTTAGACCGCAGTAGTAATTCAAGCAAATGCATTACGAGATTGGTATTAATTATTTTACAGTTTAATCACCGGGGGTCGGAGAGTGCAGGAGGTAACCGAACAGCCGCCACCAGTACAGGGGTCATGTTGACCGCGCCGTTCGACAGCGAGAATGAGGCTCGACCACAGCCTCCTCCGGGACCCTTCCGGTCGAAAACGGAGGTGAGCACATATCGGGGGAAATGGGGATATCAGTGCGGAAAACTGCAAGAAATATATAATTAAATAGTATCACATTGTATTTCTTTGTCACTATAAACAAATAGTATAACCGGAAAGCATTATTGTAAGTTAAAATATTTGGAAATATGCTCTCATTCAACACAGCCAGTGTTCACTAAGTTATTCCTTATCGTAAAACATGATGGGTTGGGCATTTTTATAAATGCTTAACCATATTTCATATTCTGATATCTTGTTCCCTTTGTCCAATTATTAAGTGATTTTATGTACAAGAATATCGTATGACGTCATAAGGGTACATCAGTTAACATCCATCGCAGCAAAGGGTCTCGCTGGGCCCCACCACCCAAACCTGACACGTCCTTAAATGACCTTACCTTTTGATCTGACGTAAAGCTACTATAAACCAAACCAGTCGGAACACAGTCGATTTTCAACGATATTTACATGTATACAGTTTACACCAATCGGAACACCTTGTTTTTATCCCCACGATCTCAGTCGTCCTATTTTTATTAACCAAGCTTCATTTACTGTCTATTGGTGCTAGACTTTGTTGTGTGCGTGTCTTAACTGTATGACGTGTTTCGCATTGTATAGTTTGGTTTGTTTGTGGAGATTTTCTCTTGCTAGAGACTAATAAACTAAATTTCCATCTTGAATGTACGATAAAAAAATCCTCGTTTAAGAGTCTTAGGAGAAGTCAATTGGATGAATTTAAAAACAATCAGAAATACTATCTAAGTAGGATGAAGGAGACATTTGTTTGTGAATTTGACAACCAGAAAGACATTTCGTTTGTGAATATTCTTTATAAGTTAAGAAAAATGTCCCAGTTTGACAACCAGAAAGACATTTCTGTCTGTGATTTATTGTGTACTTTATAGATGTTAACAGCTAGCTAGTAAACTGTTGGTATTATACAGACTGGACTGAAACAATAGATCTCATATCGTTATTGAATATATGTTTATCATAAGGGCAGTTACACGATATTATCTCATAGTTAAACGCCATATCGAACGAAATCTTTAATTGATCTCCACACTAATTAAAGATTAACCTGATAGGGCACGTCTGGGTTATATAGGGCAGACGTTACGCGATCACACCATATACCACAATGCTCATCAAACATGTCACCGAGAGCAAGATATTTGTCTTAAACAAAAGCCCTGCATCACTGTTATCCAGAAGAATTGTTACAGCCTCAATTGTAATCTGTTAAAGAGACAAAACACCAAAATAATCAAATTCTTGTACGTACTATATGTACAGCGTGTGGTAGATTACAGATTGCCAGCTCTCTCCATATTTTATGTATCTTTCGCGCCTATAAGCAGGCGTTTAAAACTCTCGATACCAAAGTCAATTGTTCTACAAGGGTATGAAAGAGAAAGGGGAAAACCCGAGAGTCGATCTGCCTTAGACTCGTTTAGAAAAGGAAAGCTCTCGAGACTAAACGCAGTCGTTCTACTGGCAAGGAAGTGAGACGAGAAATCTTTTGACACGTAAGGAAGAGCGGGAAAGCTAAAAAACAATGGTAACACGGTACAAGAACACCGAAGAGTTTGTGGGTTCTGGTGGCCTTTGTCAGTCGGTGTAGGAGATAAGGACTAGAAGTGGATACACATTCACGAACAATATTAATAATTGTAAAGAACAATGGAGACAGTATTCTCGAGATAATTATCAGTCGTTGGATTGAATAAGGAATTCTCACGTAAATTTCTTAGTTCATGAATACTTGCAAACTAGTTCAGTTGAAGACTTAATCGAATTGACAGTTGGTTTGTGAGTGAAGACTTGCTTAAACGTTCAATGCTGAATTCCCGTAGACAGAAGAAAAGTTTAACAAAATAAGTGATGGACGTCAGTTTGAGCTGCTTCTGGTCGGTAAACCATAGGGTACCAGTTGGTTGTCGACCGTTTATTGTGAGATAAAGGATTCGTTTAGTGTCGGATGGTACTTGTGGTACCCCGGTCCACTGAGTGGTCGAGAGAGATATCGTGTAGTTGGAATTCTGCCTGTCGTGTCAGATTTGACCATTGTTTCAGTTCTAATCAGATCTTTGTCGGCTTCACACGTGGGCAATAGACACACAACACAGTACCACACAGCGCTCACGTCCCTCATAGCAACATCAGTCCTTCTGTCGACAACAGGATCAAAAACTGCCAGTGTGATTCCTATAAAGCGAACTGGTGATATTTTAAGGTGAAAATTGTGTAATGAAGAAGTGTTGTGAGGATTAACCTGAACCTCTCCCGCGGATTAACGGACAACTAACCGGATAAAAAGCTTATCGCTCTCGTGGTAGATTTGAATACCAATGGATTATCTATCTTTAGAAATGTAGTGACATTGTTTACTTCTCGGAATATCATTATCGTATTTACTTGGGATGGTAATTAACCTAGTGTAATGGCTTATTTCTACCGCGGAGATCGTACAGCCACACGCCGCTGGCTCCTGATGCCTGGGATGAACGATGTACGTATAATAGTGTATAGAACCATGAACGACATACGTATGGTAATTTATAGAACCATGAGCGACATACGTATGGTAGTTTATAGAACCATGAACGACATACGTATGGTAGTTTATAGAACCATGAACGACATACGTATGGTAGTTTATAGAACCATGAACGACATACGTATGGTAGTTTATAGAACCATGAACGACATACGTATGGTAGTGAATAAATCCATGAACGTCAGACGTATGGAAGTATATGTTACCAATTAACTTTTTCCAGTTGGTATTCATGCAGGTATGAATGTAAACAGGATAAGAGCAAATTCAAAAAGCGCTTTATTCCTGTACTGTTAGCAGTTCATGAGGTGGTAATACATAACTGACGTTGATAAGGTTTCATCTTTGCAATACCATGCCATGGTAAATATAAAACAATTAACAAACTACGACGCACGTTTCGCAGTGTATCACATTATGAACGACATAGTTATGACAGTGTAATAGAACCATAAACGACCTACGTATGGTAGTATATAGAATCATGAACAAAATGCGTATGGTAGTATATAGAGTCATGAACGACTTACGTATGGTCGTGTATAGCGTCATGAACGACCTACGTATGGTCGTGTATAGAGTCATGAACGACCTACCTATGGTCGTGTATAGCGTCATGAACGACCTACGTATGGTCGTGTATAGCGTCATGAACGACCTACGTATGGTCGTGTATAGCGTCATGAACGACCTACCTATGGTCGTGTATAGCGTCATGAACGACCTACGTATGGTCGTGTATAGAGTCATGAACGACCTACGTATGGTCGTGTATAGCGTCATGAACGACCTACGTATGGTCGTGTATAGCGTCATGAACGACCTACGTATGGTCGTGTATAGCGTCATGAACGACCTACGTATGGTCGTGTATAGCGTCATGAACGACCTACGTATGGTCGTGTATAGAGTAATGAACGACCTACGTATGGTCGTGTATAGCGAACGACCTGAACGACATGAACGACCTACGTATGGTCGTGTATAGCGTCATGAACGACCTACGTATGGTCGTGTATAGCGTCATGAACGACCTACGTATGGTCGTGTATAGCGTCATGAACGACCTACGTATGGTCGTGTATAGCGTCATGAACGACCTACGTATGGCCGTGTATGTATAGAGTCATGAACGACATACCTATGGTCGTATGGTCGTGTATAGCGTCATGAACGACCTACGTATGGTCGTGTATAGCGTCATGAACGAACGTATACCTACGTATGGTCGTGTATAGCGTCATGAACGACCTACGTATGGTCGTGTATAGCGTCATGAACGACCTACGTATGGTCGTGTATAGCGTCATGAACGACCTACGTATGGTCGTGTATAGCGTCATGAACGACCTACGTATGGTCGTGTATAGCGTCATGAACGAACGTGTATACGTCATGAACGACCTACGTATGGTCGTGTATAGCGTCATGAACGACCTACGTATGGTCGTGTATAGCGTCATGAACGACCTACGTATGGTCGTGTATAGCGTCATGAACGACCTACGTATGGTCGTGTATAGCGTCATGAACGACCTAGCGTCATGAACGACCTACGTATGGTCGTGTATAGCGTCATGAACGACCTACGTATGGTCGTGTATAGAGTAATGAACGACCTACGTATGGTCGTGTATAGCGTCATGAACGACCTACGTATGGTCGTGTATAGAGTAATGAACGACCTACGTATGGTCGTGTATAGCGTCATGAACGACCTACGTATGGTCGTGTATAGCGTCATGAACGACCTACGTATGGTCGTGTATAGAGTCATGAACGACCTACGTATGGTCGTGTATAGAGTAATGAACGACCTACGTATGGTCGTGTATAGCGTCATGAACGACCTACGTATGGTCGTGTATAGCGTCATGAACGACCTACCTATGGTCGTGTATAGCGTCATGAACGACCTACGTATGGTCGTGTATAGCGTCATGAACGACCTACGTATGGTCGTGTATAGCGTCATGAACGACCTACGTATGGTCGTGTGTAGCGTCATGAACGACCTACGTATGGTCGTGTATAGCGTCATGAACGACCTACGTATGGTCGTGTATAGCGTCATGAACGACCTACGTATGGTCGTGTATAGCGTCATGAACGACCTACGTATGGTCGTGTATAGAGTCATGAACGACCTACGTATGGTCGTGTATAGCGTCATGAACGACCTACGTATGGTCGTGTATAGTCATGAACGTACGTATGTATACATGAACGACCTACGTATGGTCGTGTATAGCGTCATGAAACGACCTACGTATGGTCGTGTATAGCATGAACGACCTACGTATGGTCGTGTATACATGAACGACCTACGACCTACGTATGGTCGTGTATAGCGTCATGAACGACCTACGTATGGTCGTGTATAGCGTCATGAACGACCTACGTATGGTCGTGTATAGCGTCATGAACGACCTACGTATGGTGAACGAACCTACGTATGGTCGTGTATAGCGTCATGAACGACCTACGTATGGTCGTGTATAGCGTCATGAACGACCTACGTATGGTCGTGTATAGAGTCATGAACGACTTACGTATGGTCGTGTATAGCGTCATGAACGACCTACCTATGGTCGTGTATAGCGTCATGAACTGTGAATGACGTAGCTATAGTGTAGAGAACCAAACAAATCTTTGTGAACAGTGACTTTATATCTCGGGTTAAATTGACAGTAAGAGATAGAATGTGTCTACAGACATTTAAAACAGATTATTACCATAATTTTTGTGAGTTTTCGTACGATAATGACTTGATCAAAGCCAGCGTCTACAGAATTTCCATCTTCATTACACCAACACACTTCGCTAGCATTTCAACATGATTTAAACATTCTAATTTCCAGTTAGCTCGCCGCATTAAATATAGATTAAACATTCTGTTTCAGTACACAGCAACATCAGAAGCCAGAATTACGGACAATGATATGTGATTTTACTTGTTTTCAGTTGGATGATGCGGAGTCATTCTGTTCAGACAAAGTAAAGTTCACCAGTTGTGTTTGTCTTTCGTTGGTGATGGCGATTTGATGTTGGTTTTTTAGGTGGAGGACGCTGTTTGCTAGTTTGACTGTGTTACATAGCTATATAACAATGTAGTACCCGTGTGTACAATATACACGTCTGTACGTGTAATATACATGACGGTAATTAATGGAGATTAGGTGTGTCTGTACATGTATGTAGTAGGTATTGAATCTACGAAACGAATTATTATTTATATCTAGAGCAAACGTAACACAATTCGTTCACACGCTAACTTGGTTTTCGGCAGCGCTTTGTAGAACTGAGTAGAGTGTTAGAATGTAGATTTAGGTAGTGTTGAATGTAGATTTAAACGTATATTTTGTTCGTGTATAACGCAGTGGTCTTAAAATTCAAAGATTTTAAGGTCACAATCCAAGTTGTTATTTTTGTGGTTTTTTTTTTTTGTAATTGAGCATGTTATTGTTTTAAAATAATTAATTCCCTTCTTATTCGTCAAATTTAATGTTTAATAATATTTGAAAATAAAAGTAAAGAAAATCACTCTTGGTCACAAATACCTCTTGTATGACGACATTCGCGTGTTTGGATACTCGTGTCTGATCGGATACACGTGTACGCTTGAACAATTTTACATGGTTATCAGAAATAAGCAACAATGTACGTGGAAACTTCCCGTTATGTGTAAAGTGTATCAATATGTTATATATGAATGACGCATAGTATTATAATGTATTCGAAAGGTAATACGGCATTTGATTGGTCAATGAAAGTGATTTGCGGCGGTGTAACCTTGATAATCTGTCCGCCAATTTCTCTTTTCAAATATAACTGCGGTGGCGATTGTTACTGACGTCAGTGGTTCCGACTGTCCCGAGCGTGATGACGTGATGACGTCATGAACAAAAGCGCAACCGCAAATGTTCACAGACTTTTAATAATGTGACATCGATCTTTTTTCTTTTCTAACTCATGATAATTAGAATGGGAAAGTCCCGACTGCAAATTTACGGCGGTAAATCGTCATTATCCTGTCGCAAATGACAACGCTTAGAATTGGTTATTTGGTTACTAACAACGTCTTACTGGTAAACAATGAAAGCACAAAATCTAAAATAAATAAAACATATGATAAAATATTCTTGTCAGGAGTCAAAAGGTCAAAAATATGCGAGGATGTTTGTTCGTATGAAAAGTTATCATTTTTATTTTTTAAAGTAACCATGCTCATGTATTAGTTGTTATTAGATGTGCAGTATTTTTCGTTACGTTGTCATTATAATTATTTGTGAACCAATCAATGAAGTTTATATTTTCATCGAATTGTTAACTGTGTTGACGTCTGCTGATGTGGTATCTTAGTAGAATAATAACATCAGATATAATTTCTTCCGATTTCAAACTAAACACTGGAGGAATAAATCACATATCTTAGATTCTATACTAGTAGTATAACATCCTTACTTTTTATATTTTCAAACTTGATGTTAAATTGACAAGTTGTTTTTTCACGTTTAACAGATAAATTACAAGACATCCAACAGATTTTCAGAACATGATAACAGAAATGCTTTCCAAGACCACGGAGTGTACTTCGGAGACGTAAGTATACCGGGGTTAGCGGGGAGTGTACTTCGGAGACGTAAGTATACCGGGGATAGCGGGGAGTGTTCTTCGGAGACATAAGTATACTATAGTTAGCGTACTTCGGAGACGTAAGTATACCATAGTTAGCGGGGAGTGTACTTCGGAGACGTAAGTATACCGGGGTAAGCGGGGATTGTACTTCAGAGACATAAGTATACCATAGTTAGCGGGGAGTGTACTTAAGAGACATAAGTATACTATAGTTAGCGGGGAGTATACTTCGGAGACATAAGTATACCGGGGATAGCGGGGAGTGTTGGGGAGTGTACTTCGGAGAGGTTAACGTACCGTGGTTAAGGTATATCATGGCTAGCGAGGCGTGGGGACGAAGTACCAAGTATTATAGGGTTTACGGGATATGTACTTGAAGGATATAAGCGTATCAGCTGTTAGTGTATTTCAGTGTATTAGGGTAAGCGAGACATTCACTTTTGGGACGAAGTATACTACGGTTAACGGAAATTGTACTTCAGTCACCTCATTTTGTGGACGTCAGTTCAGGGAAGAACGAATATCGAGGTTTTTGGGGAGTGCACTTCGGGGACGTAAGTAAACCAGACTTACCGCGAATGCGCTTCTTGGACGAAGTATAGGGTTAACAGGGAGTGTACAATATACTTTGATTAGCGGGAAGTGTACCAGGGACGTGGCATATCGAGGTTGGTGAGGAGTGAGCTACGGGAGAGTGCACTTTAGGGATACAGTGGTGGGAAGTGCACTTCATGTACAAACATACGCCGAAGTTAGTGGGGATTGTACTTTGAAAGAATACTCCGGGGACATGACAAGTGCATATACGCTTCGATATATTACAGAATCACTACCATACCATGATGGACACTTTGCTTTATTGGTGTGATATTATATTATGAGACAGTACAACATATTGATGAGAAACCATTGTGTGTAAATGAGACGGTACATTGCATATTGATGTGACAAACAAGTACTGATAAGACTGTTATAGAGACGTTAGTGTATGTTGATATTATGTTAAGGAAACTTTGCCATCTATTGATAAAACACTACCATACTTTATTATGTTTGATAGGGTCGAGATGACCGGACACAGGGCAGGAAGATAATACTGCCAGATCTAAGGCTACATCATACAGAGACCTGCTTCCTAAAACATTTCGGGCGGTCGGCGGTAGATCGAGATCTCCAAACAACGTACGGAAACTCCTTTACAGGCACTCCGACAGAAAAGCCACCTGTACACAGACGCTTCCCTAAACAGTACAGAACTCCAAAGAGCGGTCCCATAAAGCTCAACACCACTACCCCACACTGGTTCACAGAGCCCGATGTTCCCCACAAAACCCCGACTCAGGTACTAGCCGTGTCTCAGGAACCATTCCTAAAGCACAATGCATGGAAATATTCCAACCATGGACTCAGGAAAATTTATCCACCATACAATAGGAAAACTGAACCGCTAATTAATAACGAATTTAACCGATATGGCGCTGCCTTTACTGTTGGGACACAGTGACGTCATCTTGAAGACAAGTCACCGCGGGAAGCTTTACGTCACATGAATCGTGGCGGTGACCTCTCCTCACAGTTTTCATTCCTTCACTTCACATTTTACCGAGTGTAAGGAACGACAACTCTGGGCATAGATTGGCGTGGCGTGTGCACGTCGGGAAGTTGTTTTAGATTATTTAAGTTAGAGTAACTGAACTTTATGAATTATATCACATATATTAAACTGTTAGACGATTTGATTTTTTTTATTATCACAATAATTAAGTTTTAAATGCTCAATCCTTGTTCACATTGGCGCCTGCGCTATTACATTTTAATCAAGCTTGTTTTATATTCATGCCAGTTAATGTCATTTTTCTGAAGTGTATGTTATTCCGTCCCTGTGTGTTCTCGCCTAGTGAGGCAGTTATGTTATGCCTTATGTAAATCGTTGTGAAATGTGATGATTGCCTTGTGTAGTTTTGTTACTGAAAATATTCTTAATTTCTAAGTAAGACAACATTGGAGTGGATTCCTTGTACTTAAGGAAACTTAAATAGAGAAATAAAATTCTAAACAGAAACTTGTGGACATGTACCCTGATGTCAGGAGTGAATGTAGTGTTATAAAATGGTGTATTGTTATATGATGCACAATGAAGTATTATAGACAATCTGTGATAATCACATATACATAGCATATTATATTTTCTTACAAGTCTGCTGTATAAATATATCTACATGTAAATAAACCATAGTTACAACCCAAGTCTGCTGTTTAAAAATGCATGTTTATCATTGTGTCCCAGTACCAATGTATAGGCCAATCTATCATTGAAAACTGCTTTTCATATGTTTAGAAAAATTGTGCCCAGTTTTAGACTTCGTTTTGTTATTTCTTATAAGACAATTCAATACAGGCTTTTAATGGATCATTTTCTATGTTGAAGAGAGTATTCTAGCTGTGACCATATTGTTATTGTTGTAAATGATTGCTGTTTTCAGTACTTGTTATAAAGGTGCCTTATCATAATATATTTCCTCATTATTTAATTTCCTTTCTTGTATAATCTGTGATAAGTATGCTTAATGCATATATTCTTAAAAAACTTGGAATAATAATAAAAAAAATATTTCTTGGAAGTTTCACTGATTACTTCTTTTCTTTCTTTTTTTTCAAAACACAGATTGAACCATTTCTTTTGATTCGGACAGAACATGAACATTTTGACCAAAGTTACACTTAATCAGAACACAAAAAGAAAATCAATATGGTATAACACTTGTACTGGACATAAATACACCTAGAAAAAACATGACTGAAAGAAAAGTTCTGGGTTCATACATGGGTATAACTTATATATATTTAAAAACATAATATATGAATGACAATAACTTGAGATTTTGTAGATTACTAGTACACCCAAGTAAACTGTGGCAGTCTCCTGGCGGCTGTTTTAAGATTTTAAGGCCATATCAATGAGCTCCGGAAATGTTTTTCCTTGTGTAATATGACGCCAGTTGTGATTGACACTCATTTAAGGACATTGCAGGGTTGTTATCATGTTGATGCAGCGAAGGCACTTACTTTTTAGGAACACTCTGGGGTTTCCTACATTTTTATATTATATGTTTATTTTATTTGCATATCAATAACAATGATCAGAAATCCCTTACAGGTTTTGGGAGTAATCTATATGTTGTTCTCATACATACATATAGGGTCTTACATTTCCACTTCACTTTAGAGTAACAATCAGCAGAGTTCCGATTAACTGAAATGAAATGCCAAACTTAATCAACTTAATGAAATGGAAATTAATTTAGGATTTCTTTTCTCACATGATTAATGTTGATTAGCCAATATTACAGAAATCAATCTTTTTCCATGTCAAACCTGAAGACATCTTGGCTCCATCCGTGCCATGTAATCTACAAGTGTGTGTTGTTATTTCACTATATAATGATGATGTCATAAAAAGCTACATAACATGGTTTGTATGAGAAGACAAATAGATGATTGACAACACAATTCATCCATCAGAAACATAAATATAACGATGACATCAATATATTTTCATTTATTTATTATTCTATGCCTTGCATAAAGAACTCATTACTGACATCTGCATCAATGTCTAAATCACTTGAAGCAAGAAAAGATGTAAAAATCTCAAGGTGTTGTTTGGAGCTCAGCAGTTATCCCCCTTTGTTTCATTGTGTACCTGATTCAGTAACATAACACTTGGTTTATCACTGAATGAATAAGGTGGTGTTACCCAAACAACTTAACACTTCATCAAATGCTTTCATTTCAACACTATGAAATAAACTAGGACTGATATGATAATGAAGGTAAAAAAAATTGGGGTACAATTTTTGGGAAACATGGTGATAAGAGTCCCTGTAATTGAAATTCTAATCGAACCACATCAGTGTAGATAAAATTAGTCCTGGGATCACTCCTGAGTTCCAGGTTTGTTCAAGGTGCCTAAGCATGATAATTAACAAAATAGATTTCTAGTCATATGCCCAGCAGTTTTAACTTAAAAATCAAATCAAGGAAACATTCCTTATAGAAAATTATTCAGCTCCTAAACATAAATAACTTAAGTACAATCTAATTTACACAGGAAATGATGTTTTCAAGCTTATTCTTCTACAAAAAATATTCTTTATTCAATATTGAAATTCTATTTCAATGAGATTTTAAATAATCTCGAAATAGAGAAAAGGTTCATAGTACACTTGAATCTTGAATTGATTATAATTTTCGATAATTGTCCATAAATTCTGAAAAGAAATGTCCTATTCTTTGTTAGAAGTAAGAAATATCAGAAGTACATTTGATAACAATACATATTCTTTCCAATTACAATAAAAATATTTTTTTGATGATATATTTTCCTCCTGACTGCTCTGAGACTCTAATGATTTCAAATTCAACACCTATTTTGCATAAAAATTCATGATATCAAATATGTATCATCTAAAAGGGGAGAAAGAGCCAACACTGGTCCAGTATATCGGTAGGTTCTTCTGCTGGTCTAGTTGCTGGAAAAATAAATACCTAAAGGTATGTAGGGAGCCACCCAACAGTTACAATTACAAGGACATCAGAAAAGAGTGTGCTCAACATAAACCAGCTTCACGAAATAAATAGGAATTAAACTTTCATTATTTGCCTACCTCTTACAGCTTGTCAGGGCAGAGTAACTAACATTTTTAGCCTCTAAAATACCCTAAAAGTAGTATCCTTTTCACGTTAACATTTATCATTATTCTAATAATAACAATAATTTATGTAACATTCTATACTATGCTGTACATTTTATAGATGTTAAGTTACCGCCCCTGTAACAATTTATGTCACGTGAAAAGGGTACCACATTTAGGGTACTTTAGGGGCTAAAAACAGGCGAAACCAGTAGGCAAATAATTAAAGTTAAATGCCTACTTATTTCGTGAAGTGGGTTAATGTTTGTTTTCTGATGTCCTTGTTATTGTAAATATCATTATACACACGTCTATGTAATTATGTATCAGTATATGAGCCTATAAATACCATTATTGTGGCTATTTACCAAACAATACCTTTTCTATCAGAATGATCAGGTTATGGGGATCAACTTACCACTCATAATTAAACTTTCTTTGATCCCGTATCCTACCCCTACTAATCAGATTGAAGGGGTGGGGGCATTTTTTTAGTCAATAATCAAGTATGGGCTTGTTAAAAAATTTCATATTATCAGACTTTTAAGAAGAATTTCTGGATAACAATGATGATTATCCAGTTAAAACATCAGATCTAAATCAAAATGACTGACGATAAAGAATATCAAGGTCATTAAGGTGTTAACAACTTTTAATCAGGTCGTTGAAACAGTCAACAGCTTACCTATGGAAATGAAAAATGGTTTATGTCCATATACACACAATCTATACAAACCTCAAACAACTATGGTATCTCCACAGTCACAACATGCTCAACTGTTATACAAAAGTATGAAAAACACTCCATTTCACATTAACAGGTAGGATCCTTTTAAACCACTAACGAAACACATTCTTTCATTTGTATCCTGCTAACATTTCCCATCTCAATCAAAATGAACATGGTAATGATTAATATATATGATGAAAATAATGAATCTGTCAAAATTCAAATCTTTCCACAACTGACTTAAGACCTCTTTTCAATGCCTCACAATACCACAGGTTATACAGAGTTATCTGCCCATGATTCCTCCTACCAACATACACCACAGTAAGTGTATTGTTCCATGAACCTGATGCAGGTTTCTATATGTAACTTACACTAACTGACTTCAAAAAATTAATCTGAAACTTTTACTGACTTAACATGTATATCTTCTAACAACTTACAAGTGATTCCTTCTCAAATTGATCCAAACATAGGGTTTCTATAAACACTTTTTTATATATTCATATTTGCTTTGGCTGTTTTAGAATTCCTAACATCCTTATCCATACTTTGGCCCCTTGTAGTATCAGGTATCACAGGGAAGCCATAGACAGACAAAATTGCTGTGTGCTGTACTGCTTTTCTTATTCTGTATGTAATGCTCATTGATAAATTTACATATTCATTACAAGTGTCTCTTGTCTATATCTAGTATATGATAATTTTAGTTAATATTTAAAAAATTGAAATATAAATTAATCAAGTTTGATATAAACAAATTTTCTGGAAGTACAAAACTAAGTAGGAAAACAGAGATGACTTACTTCAGTGGTAGTTATTTCAAAATTATTTACAGTTCAGAAAGTTTTGCTTTAGCAATGCTGCAGAGTGATAACATATTGAAAATTTCATCAAAGCATGGCTTTCCCTTATATCAAAAAAAATATATATATATATATATATATATGTATCAGTGTAACTCAGGCATACATATCTTTTAAAAGTAATTTATGTATATAACTATGTTAATGCTTCAGAGTATATAATGTTTTGTTCATATCATAAAACAAACTTCTTTATAATTTCTTTATGAAAGTACAAAAGTTGAGCAAGAATAGAGTATCTGTACTGCTGGTACTAAAACATGCCCAGACATTCCTGTATATAGACCTTAAACGGAGTAAACATGAACTTTGATTTAAAATACTGTTAAAATATAAACTTGACATGTGTGTTCAAATTATAAACCTGGTATAGCCTGCATCAACACAAATCTCATCTGATACCACTACCAACATGACGATTACACTTATATTGACAGGTTGGCAGGACTTGAATATTAATTAGTAAACAAATTTTCATAAATTGAACTCCATTGAAAAACAACATACTGTAAAATCCTTTTTCTTTTAGTTAAAAACGTATGTGTTTTTGACAGAAGTCCTAAAATGGACAAACATTTTTTTCCCCTATGATGTATAATCTATATCTATCTTGGTTTATTTTAGCAATTTTATTTCGTCCCCAAACAGAGTGAATAATAAAATCACTAAAAATAACAAACTTTACAGTAAACAGTGATGCATGACACAACTTTTCATTCCAAGTTATTTTGTGACTTTTTCCCTGGAACGTGTTCCTCTTGTGATGTATTTGTACCAACTAAACACAGAATAAAACTCTGAAGAAAAGTGCCATACCAAATATAGTACATCACATCAGAGAGGTTGCGTAGATCTCTGTTCTTGTGTCATTAAAATATTGTATTTTTTTGTGTTTGACTAACAAAAATGATAGGACCAGACCCCAGGATCATGAAATGATTATAAGTCTTGTTTTGACTTGACCAACCATGGATTATGTCATGAAAAGAGATCTCATGTAGTTGGTTTAAAATTGTTTCATGACCTCTGGGCTAGGTCTAATTGTAACTTTAAATAAAATTTGACTTGACAGCATCAGAGTATGACCAGAATCTATACATAATTATACTATATATAATTACACATTATAATTTGTTGTCAGTTCACGTTGTAACATAACTGGTACTCTACAAAATTGTTTGCATTCTTCCAATTTTTTCTTTTTCATACACATAAGTCACATCTGTATATAAGCCGCAGGTCCCATCCACAAGGGAAAAAGTTGTGGCTTATAATCCAGAAGACACAGTGCTATCACTAAATAAAAACCTGCTCATTTTCACGATTTTTACAGATGACAATATATATTACTAGCACCATCTATTCAAAGGAGAATAAATCTCATTGAAATAGGTTTGATATTGTTAAATGTAGTCACCCAATAAAGACCTGGTAGAGGCTAAATACCAAAAAATAAATCATGAAGGTAACCAATCGCTATCCTAAACTGTATTTATCCACTTATAGGCCCATGCCTGGTAATAAGCACATCCATATATATTGCTTATCAGAAGAATTACAAACAAACACTAGTCATCGTCCAGTTATCAACCCACCTTCTGACTTTGAGCCAGATGTTGGCCCCTCTAGGCTTTTATTTAGATAAATACAGTTAGCTTGGTCCAGTGATTGGCTGTATCCACCAACAGTTGGTAGAATTCTGTATCAATATGCATTATTGGTATACATATACGACCAAATATTTTAGGGACATTGAAACCAAATAACTAAAATTAGTGATGTTAACTTTGTCCATGTTATGGTGTTGGTATGCTTCGCTGTGGAGTGGTCTTGCTGAAACATTTAGCTAATACTAGTTGAACAGCATAGCAAGGAAGGAAGTTTACAATAGTATACACTGAAACACTACTCAGCTGGTCATGGGTCTACATGACGAAGACTTTTTCTGCCTCATCTATGTGGAATATTTCCCTGGTTCTAGGACACACCACTCTCCCATCATTTTGTGCAGCTTGCTCAGCTAAAGACTGTCAAATGAAAAACAAACTTTGAAGTACAATTCTTTATAGGTTCGTTGTATATTCAGATTTTCATGATAACTAGTTCCTGTCCCAGGAAAATAGAACTAACTTAAAGTAAACTTTTATTCTATTTTACTTTTATGTTCGTAATCAAAAAGGAATATTTCAATAATATAATAAGGTTGAAAGAAAATAATCTCTAAATAGACCTAACAATAGAAAACAGAACTGGCAAAAGTAATGAAATCTGAAAATAGGTTCTTTACTACATAGATAAGCAGTGTCTATGTAAGGAGTTGGTACTGTCTATGTAAGGAGTTATTACTGTCTATCTAAGGAGTTAGTACAGTCTATGTGGGGAGTTAGTACTGTCTATGTAAGGAGTTAGGTACTGTCTATGTAAGGAGTTAGTACTGTCTATGTGGGGAGGTAGTACTTTCTATGTAAGGCGTTAGTACTGTCTATGTGGGGAGTTAGTGCTGTCTATGTGGGAAGTTAGTACTGTCTATGTAAGGAGTTAGTACTGTCTATGTAAGGATTAGTACTGTCTATGTGGGGAGTTAGGTACTGTCTATGTAAGGAGTTAGTACTGTCTATGTGGGGAGTTAGTACTGTCTATGTGGGAAGTTAGTACTGTCTATGTAAGGAGTTAGTACTGTCTATGTAAGGATTAGTACTGTCTATGTGGGGAGTTAGTACTGTCTATGTAAGGAGTTAGTGCTGTCTATGTAAGGAGTTAGTGCTGTCTATGTGGGGAGTTAGTATTGTCTATGTGTGGAGTTAGTACTGTCTTTGTAAGGAGTTAGTACTGTCTATGTGGGGAGTTAGTACAGTCTATGTGGGGAGGTAGTACTGTCTATGTGGGGAGGTAGTACTGTCTATGTAAGGAGTTATTACTGTCTATCTAAGGAGTTAGTACTGTCTATGTGGGGAGTTAGTACTGTCTATGTAAGGAGTTAGTGCTGTCTATTTGGGGAGTTAGTACTGTCTATGTAAGGAGTTAGTGCTGTCTATGTAAGGAGTTAGTGCTGTCTATGTGGGGAGTTAGTACTGTCTATGTGGGGAGTTAGTACTGTCTAGGTAAGGAGTTAGTACTGTCTATGTGGGGAGTTAGTACTGTCTATGTAAGGAGTTAGTGCCGTCTATTAGGGGAGTTAGTACTGTCTATGTAAGGAGTTAGTGCTGTCTATGTAAGGAGTTAGTGCTGTCTATGTGGGGAGTTAATACTGTCTATGTAAGGAGTTAGTACTGTCTATGTAAGGAGTTAGTGCTGTCTATGTAGGGAGTTAGTACTGACTATGTGGGGAGGTAGTACTGTCTATGTGTGGAGTTAGTACTGTCTATGTAAGGAGTTAGTACTGTCTATATGGGGAGTTAGTACAGTCTATGTGAGGAGTTAGTACTGTCTATGTGGGGAGTTAGAGTTAGTACTGTCTATGTAAGAAGTTAGTGCTGTCTATGTGGGGAGTTAGTACTGTCTATGTACTGTCTATGTGGGGAGTTAGTACTGTCTATGTGGGGAGTTAGTACTGTCTATGTAAGGAGTTAGTACTGTCTATGTGGGGAGTTAGGTACTGTCTATGTAAAGAGTTAGTACTGTCTATGTAAGGAGTTAGTACTGTCTATGTAAGGAGTTAGTAGTGTCTATGTGGGGAGGTAGTACTGTCTATGTAAGGAGTTAGTGCTGTCTATGTAAGGAGTTAGTGCTGTCTATGTGGGGAGTTAGTGCTGTCTACGTGGGAAGTTAGTACTGTCTATGTAAGGAGTTAGTACTGTCTATGTGGGGAGTTAGGTACTGTCTATGTAAAGAGTTAGTACTGTCTATGTGGGGAGTTAGTACTGTCTATGTAAGGAGTTAGTACTGCCTATGTAAGGAGTTAGTACTGTCTATGTGGGGAGTTAGGTACTGTCTATGTGGGGAGGTAGTACTGTCTATGTAAGGAGTTAGTACTGTCTATGTAAGGAGTTAGTACTGTCTATGTAAGGAGTTAGTAGTGTCTATGTGGGGAGGTAGTACTGTCTATGTAAGGAGTTAGTGCTGTCTATGTAAGGAGTTAGTACTGCCTATGTAAGGAGTTAGTACTGTCTATGTAAGGAGTTAGTACTGCCTATGTAAGGAGTTAGTACTGTCTATGTGGGGAGTTAGGTACTGTCTATGTAAAGAGTTAGTAATGTCTATGTGGGGAGGTAGTACTGTCTATGTAAGGAGTTAGTACTGTCTATGTAAGGAGTTAGTACTGTCTATGTAAGGAGTTAGTAGTGTCTATGTGGGGAGGTAGTACTGTCTATGAAAAGTGTACCGTCTATCAAGTTAATTTGAGAAATTTGATATCTTTCTCCTTTGATGCTTGCGTTAACAATCAAGATCTTACCAAGCTAATTAGGCTCTGCCTTTGATTCTGACCCTTCAGATCCTTTGCAGATTGATACAACGATACAGAATGATAATAAAAAAGGTTTCCTGAACTTATGGTTTAGAAAATTTATTTTAACACTGTTGTGAATCTCCTGGGATAATGAACTGGTTAACACATAAGTTTTTAGGACAAAGAAAGGTTTTCCTTGATCTGGTCTAAACCAAATTTTAGAGAGCAAAAAAACCCTGGCTACTACCCTTCAATTCTATTCTTTAACCTATATTACTACAGATTTCAATAATAACAACAGCTTTTGTTAAAACAAATGAGAGTGTTATAAGCTTACATTGAAGCCATACACATGACCATTTGGGAGTGACATTGGAGGATTATGCTCATTCAGTGGCAGGCCTGTGATAGTACAGATCAGCTTCGAGTTAGCACAGTGAGCGTAGGGTAATGGTCGTGCAAGTTCATTAAGGTTCTTCACACACACAGGACAATCAGCATTCCTCCCTTCATGTTCGCCCTTGTAACAAAATCTGGAGCAGTTCAGAAAATCAACTCCATATTTTATGTAGTAAACAAATTTGTAAACATATGACAGATATTGTAATGTGATACATATTTAGCCAATAACACATTTTAAAGTTATTCAATGCATATCATTGTGTGATACTGTTGTTCTGAAATTTTGAATTCTATTTTGTTTCAATTCTGGTATTGAATCATTGAGTAAAGACTTAGTCTGACTTAGATATGATACCAATCTATAACCAATGAAGTAATAAACTAGCATTTTTTGATCAACTGAAAGAACTTGTTACCAGAAAAAATCTGTACTTTTCTCTGGACATTTCTCCTATAAAGAATGTTTTCCTGACATGAATCTTAACACAGGATGTTTTCCTGACTTGAATCTTAACACAACAACAATATCACTTATATATATATATAACTTTGAAGGATACGGTGTCTTAAGGGCAGATAACCCTGCCTGTAGACTAACAGCAAACACTGATGACTGGTTAAGCTGGTGAAGTTTAAAGTTCTCATAGCGGAATTGTTGGACCAAATCCTGCCATCGCTTGTCATCTAACAGATCCTGGAAACAACAACATGTTAGTTTATATAAACAATCACACCAGTGTTGCAAAATTGAAACAAATTTTATCAACATATACCGTATTTATTCCAATAAACGCCCTGGGGCGTGAAATTTTTCAGACAGGGGGCGATTAATAGAACACAAAATTTCATAATTTGTTGGTCGTGACATGCCATGGCTGCCACTTAAAAACATTGTTTAACAAACTAACGAATTACTCAGCAAAGAATGCATTTGAAAATTGCAGTAATTCCAACATCGTTGTAGCTTTAAACATTGTTGTCAATTGCATTCTGATAACCTGAATTCTTGTATGAAATGACACGATGTCAGCTTCAGTCAAAAACGTACAATGTTCATCATCGCTTGTAGGCCTAGTTTGCATAACAAAATAAAAAAACACAGCAGTATATAAGCCAGTCTGTTTCTTAATAAATCCCACATACCTGATAACAATGTCTGGGACAAAACGAAATTACGACACTGCTTTCAAGCTTAAAGTAATCGCCTTCGCAGAGGAGAAGGGTAAACATGCTGCCGCGAAAGTGTTTCGTGTTGACAGAAAACCAGTGCAGGACTGGTGTTAAAACAAAGAAAAATTAAAAAATCTTTCTAAAACATCTAAACGCTGTAAAGGAGGTGGGAGGCATGTCAGATATGAAGATATTGACAAAAATCTGATGAGATGGCTACAGGACAGACGGGAGGCCGGAATACGAGTGACTGGGAAAGCATTGCAGTTTGAGGCCCTGCGTATGCATAAGGCAAATGGTAGTCAATCGTTCAAAGCCTCATATGGATGGTTCTCTAAATTCAAAAAGAGACATAACATTTCGTTCAGGCGATCTACGCATGTGGCACAACATGAAGTTTCATTAATTGATGATTGTATTGACAGTTTTTTTAATTTTGTGTTAAGAATGCGTCAGCTACGAGAATACCCCGATAGCCATATCGCTAACATGGACGAAACCCCGGTGTGGTTTGACATGCCAGGAAAATCGACATTGGCAATAAAGGGGGAAAAGGAGGTCAGAGTTTACAGTACTGGCCACGAAAAACAAAAAATAACGGTGACACTGGCAGCATATGCCAATGGGACTAAAATCGCCCCCCTTGTGCACATGCCAGGCATTCGTCCCCTTCCGAAAGATGACATACCAAGTGGTATTGTGGTATACATGTGCGGGGCCGGACAAAAATCCTGGGCAAACGAGGAAAGTATAAAATTTTGGTTAAAAAAACTCTGGGGTGTGAATAATACAGCTAGGCGGTTATTAGTATGGGATGCTTTCCGTGGTCATCTTGCTGAAGATGTAAAAAAACTGGTTCGTCAAAAATATAATTCAGACATCTGTGTTATACCCGGAGGATGTACATGTAAGCTACAGCCAGCCGATGTGTCGTGGAATAAACCCTTCAAACAAAAACTTGGAGAGTTGTATGACGAATGGTGTTTTAGTGGCCCCATTGAGAAAACCAAAGCAGGGAATCGTAAAGCCCCATTTAAAACTGTAATGTTGTCTTGGGTCAAGACAGCATGGGATAGCATTAGCACGGACACAATCAGAAGATCGTTCAAAAAATGCGGTATCACAAATTCGCTGGACGGTAGCAAGGATCATATTTTCCAGCATGATTCTGACGATGAGGAATTCCAGGGGTTTAGTGAAAAGAATGTCCAAGCTGTGGATGACGTTTTGCAAAATTTAATGGGTGATGTGAACACGCCTTCTATTCCACAAATAGAACTGAGTGAAAGCGAGTCTGGCGAAAGTGAAAGTGAAGACCGTAGTTTGTACGGCAGTCCCGGCCGTTAGGCCTGCAGTATATTGAAATGAACCATGGATTAAATTGATATTACTTGTGTACATGTCATGACAGTGTAATTTTCTTGAGCCAAAATTCATTTGTTCATGTTCATGGATACCAGGAATTCAAAATTTATTAAAAGGTAAGCTTTGTAACCTGACTCATGAGTTGTTGAAATTTACTGAGAAAACAGGTGGGGGGGCGTTTATTAGAGACGGAGCGTTTATTGGAATAAATACGGTAGTTATCTTAACTACATTGTAATTGATATACCAATTTGAGAGGTAAATTGTAACACCTGTCTTATTTGTACCTACATGGTAAGTTATAACACCTGTCTGAGAGGTACCTACCAGGTAAGTTATAACACATGTCTGAGAGGTACCTACCAGGTAAGTCATAACACATGTCTGAGAGGTACCTACCTGGTAAGTTATAACATCTGTCTTTTAAGTACCTACTTGGTAAGTTATAACACCTGTCTGAGAGGTACCTAACTGGTAAGTTATAACATCTGTCTTTTAAGTACCTACTTGGTAAGTTATAAAACCTGTCTGAGAGGTACCTACCTGGTAAGTTATAACACCTGTCTGAGAGATACCTACCAGGTAAGTTATAACACCTGTCTGAGAGGTTATAGCACCTGTCTGAGATGTACCTACCTGGTAAGTTATAACACCTGTCTGAGAGGTACCTACCTGGTAAATTATAACACCTGTCTGAGATGTACCTACCTGGTAAGTTATAACACCTGTGTGAGAGGTACCTACCTGGTAAGTTACAACACCTGTCTGAGAGCTACCAACCTGGTAAGTTATAACACCTGTGTGAGAGGTACCTACCTGGTAAGTTATAACACCTGTCTGAGAGATACCTACCTGGTAAGATGTAATACTTGTATCACTAGGAAATGCCAGAAGTCCCATCACTCTTTGCACATCTGATAATTGGTCCTCTTCTAAGTTAACAAAATATTTTCTAGCATGTCTAAAAGTAAAACACAGTATGTATCAATAATTCATGTATTACATATCGTGTTATGTCTTCATTAATAAGAGTCAACATCTCAACATGTTACATGGATAAGACATTTCTATACTGTGCTGCTCTTACACTTGGCAGACAGTAAGTAAGCTTTTTATGTGTCTACTGGAAATTTGATCACTATCTGTCAAACTCACAGTTTATATATATTCATGTTTTTTGATGAGTGGTAAATATAACTGTAACCCAACACAGGTAAACACCTGACATCATGGAGAGGCTCTGCAGTCACAATTGATGAGAGAATCATGGAGGTTGGCAGTACAATTATTTCAAAGGGGAATTATTTATAATTCTTTAAAGAATTTTGCAGTAAAAGGTAAGACACAACTCCACATAACAGTTGACTTTATGTTATGACATTTTAATAACTGATTCTGATATAATCAACATATGTCAGCCTAGATGAAAGGGGAGACAAGTGAATTGGAAAATATCACCAAGATCATCATGATTGTTCTCTTTGCAGGTTAATTCCACGTCAGCTTATGTCAGGACTTTATTGTTAATTTATCCAATAACAGTCAGTTATATACCTAAACATGAAAGATAGCCCCCATCATAATGGCTAGTGTCAAAATGACTTCCATGACAATGTATTGGTGATTCATGAGTATATTAGTGGTTAGTTCATGAAAATCATCCAATGTAAAAATGCATTATATCACAATTATTTTAGAATGTATTTTTGATAATTCACCTTGAGGATGTTAACCTTGTAACACAATCAATTACAACACAGAAGGTAGAACATGTATATATGTTCCTCTGAACAATTATCATGCTACAAACCAACAAGATGTTGAATTTCTAACAAACAAATCAATATAGTTGTGCAACTAATTTTACAAAAACTAGAAGGTAAAATTTTTAATGTTTATTTGCTTAAGCAAAAAAAAAAAAAAAAAAAAAAAATCCCATACCTAAATCAAGTCCTTTAAAAAAAGCATAGTATTCAAATTTGAGAACACTTGATCCCCACTTCTTGAAAAGCATTAAGCTATGCAGTTTCACCCCAAATCTTATTTGCTACTTTCAGACCAAGACAATGAATTAGCATAAACAAGTAGTATTTCTCCAATTTCTAAAACATATGCTGTAATGTTACTAATATTACATAGTTCGAAAATCTTTCTAACCAATTTAAAATTTGAAAAAAAAGGAAAGGTATTTGACTATTTGGATAAAATAAAAATCTTAAATATTTAAAGCCATTGTCATATTTACATGTAATAAATAAAAATTCACTGTTACTTTAGAAAAACTGAAAAAATTCACTTCTGATCTGATGTGTATGTCATTAGTATGATTACCTTACGGCCTCCATCCTCTGATTACTTCGCACCAGTTCTATAAATTCTTGTTGACGAAGTTTGAATTCTAAAGTACTCTAAAACATAATTTGATTATATACATTATATAAATTCATTTACAGGCATAAATAATTTATTTCACAATCTAAACCACAGACTATAAAACATTTTAAGAGTCAGCAGATAGACAACTTTCAATATAAACACATAATGTCTATAAAGATCAAACCATGCATTTGGTATTTGAAAATGTAAACAGTTTTGTTGTAGTTATCTACATCCTGAGAGCCTGCATCACCTGGATATTTCAACAATCATTCCAATATATTCCCATATTCATATGTTGTTAAAGCGAATAATGATTATCTATTCATATTAAATTGTCTGGAAAGAAATCAGTCAATATAATGTGTCTTAAACTGATTGACTTAGAAAAGATGAATACTACATTTGCTGACAGGAGTATCCAAATTACTTTCCACCCACATATCATAGTGTCACTGAATACTGAATTACAACCAGGAAGTGTCTTAGAGTACCCTAAAACCTTTCTAGTTGTCACAACATAATCAGTCTATACACACTCATATCTGCCACAGCATGTTCTTTCACATGGTTTTCAGCTGCATCATGAAAATATGTCAATTAAGTTTACTTTCTTGGCAATTAAAATATCTCAGTGACTAAAATTAGTGATGTATAAAATTACAATCCAACTGCAAAAAAATCTGTTTTTTTTTTTATATGTTTTTAAGGATGTTATTTTTTTAAACTTCTTTTTTTCTTAACTCCATATTTTTCAAGAGAGTGTATTGCATTTTTTAACTTCTTTTTTTTTCGAAACTCCATATTTTTTAAGAGAGGGTATTCCTGAAGAACAATTTCTCAAACTGACATTGCTTAGCAAACTTTGGTAGAAAAATCAGCATCTTATAGCCCCTTATCAAACTCTGTCCTTCTCTCTCCAAAACTGAAACTGCTCCACAAAAGGATGCTCCAGATGGTTAAAATAGTTATGTCTGTACAGAATTTGAAGATGCAGTGACCTTGAAAAGTGTTGCTGTTGGATATAACAAGGAACTTAGGTATGGAACTCCAGATACACAACAGCTAAAACCTATGCTGCTTTGTCAGCCTCAGTAACACTTAAGACGGTAATTTCTAAATTTCAAAATGTTCAAATTGTTTATACTACATTAAGTCACCAATTCATGGACAGACTACAGATACTGCACTATACATAAGATCAATGTTGTTCAATACCAGGTGAGCAAAAAATTGTTTATCAAACAACAATTTTTTATCAAATATTGTTGCTTGTGTTATGAAGTTGCATAAAAAATCTATATGAATTCATATTTGATTTCCTAACCAATCCCCAAACATGAGGAAGTTCAGCAAATACAATATCACCCAAACTAACCTTATAAAGACAATAATGTAAAACTATATACATCTTTATGTGCATTTCTTTTTTCAAGTTCTCCGAACTGATTACAGTCTGACCTAGTTTAAGTAGTCTAACCCAGTTTTGTCAGACACACTTACCAATTCACATTTACTGATATCACTCATAGGTTTATAATCTGTGATAATGCATTAATATCCTGATGTTTGATGTAAAAATAAATGCCTTCATTGCGCATGTTTTATCCTTTTATCAAATATATATAAATCTTCTTGTACCAACCTTCATTTTCCTCAACTTTGATTTATTATCATAGCACCAATTAAGACATGGAGTTGTTTCCCTTCGCAAAAGTGATTCCTCAACTTGTTTTGATGTGAGAAATAAATCAATATTTGTCAGATCCTACAAAAGAACAAAGAAATTAGTGTTAACCAATATTTTCGACAACAACACATATCTTAACAAATTAATTAACACATAGAAAATCGAGCATCAACATCTGGATTTCATGGTTCTATTATTGGTTAAATGTTTCGGCTAGGTTCTGATGACAGTAGCCACTCTGTTTGGAACTTTTGATTGAGTAAAGCAAAGTTGTTTGGTGGCAAGAAGTTCTGTCACTTTATGACAAAACTTAATAAGCTTTGGATGCTCTATATCATGGAGGCAATTCACCGATGATTAATTTTACAGAGTGTAATTTATTATCGGTATATTGATTCCATTCCTCCTGCCACTGAGCTATTACAAATTGTTTGATAAATAGTTTAAAATCAGTAAAATGAAGTATCTCTATACGAAAATTTTTTTTTGTGTTACTATTATTTTCTAAAAGTCAGCTGCAATGACCTTATAATCATGTCCACAATAAACTCAGCCATTTAATAAAGAATTTCAAATAAGAGAGACAATTTCTGACATAATTTCCTATTGGGTTGTGCCCTCGTGGTCAAACAGAGGTCAGATCCACCATTCATGTAAACTGCTTCAGACCAACCTTGGACAATATCCATGTGTGAAAGAAAAGCTTTTGAGAGCTGTCATTTCCCCAATTGGCCCCACTCCCGCCCTAAGGGACTGAGATGCACTGTTTATACAGAATATAGTCAACTTCACCTAAGAATACTTTCGACCAAATTTGTGCTATATTCATTTATTCTTATGGGAAGAGTTAGATTTTAAGGAATTTCTAAAATTTCCCTCTATGAGCACTGTCCCTCAGGCCCCTGGGAATGGAGAACCACATCTTACACAAACTTTGTTCTCCTTAACCCAAGAACACTTCCGACCTAATTTGGGCAATATCTAATCATTCCTAATACTGAAGTTGTATTTTAAGGAATTGCGCCCCTCCTAAGGGGCTGGAATCCATTGTTTATACACAACTGACTCTACTTCATCCAAGAATTCTTCACGCTAAATTTGGGAAATATCCATACATTCCTACAAGGAGTAGGATTTTAAATAATGAACTCTATTTCCTATACTGCATGCTGCCACTTCTGCCCTGGGCGGCCAAGACCCACCATTCATACAAATTGATTCCTCTTCATCCAACAATGCTTCAGACCAAATTCGGGCAAAATCCAATCATTCCTACAGGAGGAGTAGAATACCAAAAAAATTGCTGCATTTCCCCTATTAGGCCCCTCCCCTCTTGCCCCAGGAGGCAAAGACACACTTCTTAGACAAATTGATTCTCCTTCATCCAACAATGCTTCAGATTTTAAAATTTCTCCTTTTGGGTCCAGCTTTTTAGGGGACTGAGATGTATTTTTTTCTTTCTTACAAAAATTCTCGCCTTTCCCTAAGGATGCTTCTGACCCAACTTGGTCAAACTCCTGTAAGTCATTTATGACTAGTAGCAACTTGAAAAAGTTAACAGATGGATGGACGACAGAAGTTGTAGCATGCCAAACTAAGAAGCTAAACCAAGAATTATAGAGGGTTCACTTTTTCTAACAATTGCATTTATAATATTGTAAATCCATTTATGTTCAATTCCCCATATAAGCAATTACTCCTGCCACAATGCATCAATATCAGCACAACAGTTTAACAATGAATTACTATCACAAAATCTTCAAGGCATAGGTGTACTTTCAATAACATACACTTTTATTGAGCCTAGTGGCATATTTTAAGTGACCATTGAATAGATCAATTATGAGGATTTGTAAGGTTCTGGACAAAAGCAGAATCACAAAATTACAAACGTTCAAAGTTCCGGTTTTTGATGGCATATCAACATATACCCCTTTATATCTGAATAAAGAGACAAATTTCCTTGAACGTGTCTAGTGAAGTACATATATTTAAATTTTATGCTGAAAAGTTCACCACATTAAAATCAATACCTTGAAGTATAGGGAAGCTGGGTTTGAGTTGGAACCTAAATCTGCTAATGGGAAATCTCAGCTTTTTGGCCTCAGCTTGAGGTTTTGAGCCAAGTTTGTTTTTTTCATTTGTGATATCCATTTATTGATACTGAGCTTGAGTTTTGAACATGTTAGCCTACATTTCTAAGAGACATTACAAAACACTTATTTATTTCTTTAGTGATACTGTTTCTTGAAAATGCATCAGTAACACATTTTACTTGAAAATACATGCATTGACTAATAGTTATAATTGATATCAAAAATCAACTACCGGTAAGCTTTCTTGAACACTCTTTTAAAAGAATGTTGTAATTCTTATCTAATTGTAACCTGATATTTTGATAATTAACTTGTTTCATTACCTGTAACAGTCAAGTCCTGACAACAAATGTAGAATAAATACAGAGGAATTAAACTTATAAGTACAAATTATCAAAATAACTAAGAATGATCAGCTACTTTTACCTCAATATCAGAATGCTGTGCTAATTTTATAGCTGTGTTGTAGTAGCCAGACCTCAAAAAATATTCCACCAGCATTCGATCAAGTCTCTTCTTGTGCCATAGGGGCTTTGCATGTGGTTCTAATGATTCTGCTTCTTTTAAATGTTCCACACGACGTTTGATCATACGCGCAGCTTCCAATTCCTCATTGATGCTCTCATCAGCCTGCATGTCAATTACAGCATTAACATAAAGTACAGTGAAGCAATAACTTTGTGATACAATCAAAATAACAATTTATATACTGACACAGGCTGAAGATTGGTAAGGTCAAGGTAACAGTTTGCACAGTATAAATAACATAAACATAGGAATTACAGTGAGTTGACTGTGGACATTTATTGATTTTCAAAGGCCAAATCAAATTCTTTCATACATTTCAGTGAAAGGTAGTTCAAAACTCTTTACAAAGCAGTCAAAAAGTGAAAACCAAATTTTGAGATTAAATAACATACTCTTAGCCTCAAAAACTAAGGCTTACATTGAAAACAGAAATGTTAATGTAATGCAGTTTCCACAACTCATTTGAAATTTGGGTATCTGTAAAACTGTTAACCAATCAAAACATGGCAGCAGTATTGTAGTTAATTATTGTTTGATGAACTCAACGTAGTGATATGTTTATATATGTCCAAATTTGGCAGGAAAGGTTTCTGTCATAAGGATTTAAGCTGATGGCCAATCAACTACTTAAGTATAAAGCAAAACAACAAAGTGACAAATATTTGATAAAGCATTACTTTTACCTTAGTTTGAAATCTGTTCTTTCATCATTATCATCTTACTGAACTTAATTTTCTCGTTCATTACGAAAATTTTTGTAGAAATTTTCAACACATCCTTCCATTGCTACATTTCATTATTTTCAAAATTTCAAGAAGGGAAATAACTCATACACAATTGCCATAACTCCTATTGATCATGATATGAATAGGAAATTAATGATTAAATACTTTTCGTTTCAGAAGACACAGCTTTTCTACCATGCTATCTATGGCCCAGGTAACATCTCCAATTGTGGGACTTTTCTGTTGAAGACAGGCCTCCAAGTCATTTCCAGCTGAATGAATGTGAGCGACTTCACGGTCAATACACTTTTGGGCGGATCGGAACTTCTTATTCAGTAGCTCATAAGGGACCTGAAAATTAAATTAGGTGTCAAAAGATATAATATATATACTCATTGACATTGATTAATAATAATAATTGAATAAATTTGATTCATCTTATAACATTTATGAAAATGTTACACATCCTTGATGGTGTGCAGGGAAGTCACCCATCCATGTTTACCTACATGATAGTGTGTGTGGAAGTTACCCATCCATGTTTACCTACCTGATGGTGTGTGTAGGGAAGTTACCCATCCGTGTTTACCTACATGATGGTGTGTGTAGGGAAGTTACCCATCCTTCTTTACCTACATGATGGTGTGTGGGGAAGTTACCCATCCTTGTTTACCTACATGATGGTGTGTGGGGAAGTTACCCATCCTTGTTTACCTACATGATGGTGTGTGGGGAAATTACCCATCCTTGTTTACCTACATGATGGTATGTGGGGAAGTTACCCATCCTTGTATATCTACATGATGGTGTGTGGGGAAGTTACCCATACTTACCCATACTTATTTATTTGCTGGCAATTTATTACTGCTTGTATTTGTTAATGGTGTGCTTTTATCAAAGATTGAATCCATGCATGGCCCCCATATTCTCTGTCCACTGATGTATAAATCAAGCTAGAACAATTTCTTAAGGACAAAGTTGAAGCAACACGATAATCATTAAGTACTATTGAAACTTTCCATATTACCGAGACCTACTTTTCTTTTAAAAAAAAACCTTCCTTGACTCCTAACTCTGATTGTGTAACTTTCTATCACCATAACACTGGTCACTGATCTCAAAGTTAACAAGATGGTATGATGTGTTTACACCTGGGAGTGAACCTGTGAAACTCCAGCTGTCATCTGCCTTACAAATACTGCTAATAGGAAATTACCACACACACAAAGACAGAATTCCATTTCAATATTCTGTTCCTATGAAACCTCATGAAATGGAATATCACACAAAGCCAGAATTCCATTAGAATATTCTGTTCCTTTGAGATCTCATGAAATGAAATATCACACAAAGCCAGAATTCCATTAGAATATTCTGTTCCGGTGAAATCTTATGAAATGAAATATCACACAAAGCCAGAATTCCATAAGAATATTCTGTTCCTGTGAGATCTAATGAAATGGAATATCACACAACGACAGAATTCCATTAAAATATTCTGTTCCTGTGAAATCTCATGGGATGGGATATCAATATCTCGAAGTTGGGGACAATCATTCAGTTTCAGTCGAGGGTGAATACTTTATGAGTAGTACACATGTCACCTTTAATGTGTACCCTGAATGTTTTGATATATTTAGTTATAAATTACTTCACATTATGCAATAACAAGAGGTTCATGGGCCTTAAGGATCATCTTCTACAAAGACTTGTATATATGAAAGAGGCAAAATTGGCCTAAAATAAACTGCTCAACTACTCTACAGCTTACATAGAAGACATTGTTGGTTCATCAAAACATTTTCTGCAAACATCATATACATGCACTACACAATTGCCATTACTGCGGATATATAGCTTGTCGAAAAAGCAAGCTACAAGCCCAATATCAAGACCTGTGGCCTTTCATTTATTGAGAAGAAGTTGCTGAAGCATTTGAACATATTTGTGTGATCTAGAAAGTTAATCCAATAGTACCTATGACCTATAAAGTCAAGTAAGTGCAAATGTTATGGTACATTCAGTTTCCCAGATATTGTCATATATCTGACTCAGTGGTTCAACGCTCTCAAAACTGAGAAAATATAGTAGGAAGATTCCATCATGGTATAACTATGCAAACTTTTTAGCTATTTATGCGACATATTCTGTTGACACTTACTAGTGAATGTTATACTTAAAAGTGCTTAGTATACATACATATAAAAATTAATTTTTATAATGTTGATATTGAAATGAGCTCCTCTTGAGTAGACAAACAATATACTGAATACTGGTGTCCAAAAACAAGTGCAGACGCTGTCTAAATTAATCAGCGTTTTTTTTAAATTTGTCACCGTAAATCAGTGACTGTGAATATTATTCTTTATATAATCAAATTGGTCTCTAGAAATTATGATGAACCCTTAATCCATACAACACAAACCAACCGATTAAAAATTCAGTCAAGTTAATGGAAGCATGCCCACCCTTTACAAATGAAGATAAAGATTGGAATAAACAAGAAATAAATCAGTACAAAAATCTATACCTAATACTCAAAATGAGCAGTATGTGTATTTTAATCTACATTTATAAAAGTCAGAAACAATGTCAATAAGTATGTAGTATATGTGACATTAGTTGTCTTGAATAGTTGTATTAATTAGATGTATGTGGAGGAATTTTTTATTGTTATGATCTGAGTGCAATCCAGAGAGGGTGGTCAGGTGGCGCAGTGGTAATGCACTGGCCTTTCACCTCGCTGATTGGGGTTCGATTCCCGGAACAGATGTGAAAAGGTAAGGGACCACCTGTCCGACCATGTGGGATTTCCTCAGGTGCTCCGGTTTCCTCCCACAAAAAGACCCCTCACACGCTTACATCCGGGCCAACAAGAGTGATTAGTATAAGTTGACATAACTTGTTTCGCAACTGTTGTAAAATAAATAAAGCTTACAAAAGTTTCTATTTTAATCCAGAGATTTTGGGAAATTAACACATGTTAATAGTACAAGCCAATTTTAAGAATGTTGCGTTATCTCTCAAAGCAATGTATCAATGAATCATCTCATCAGGCTTATATATTTTATTCATTGATATTTTTTCTTCAAATTTGTTTTTACCTTTCATGCCTCAGAACATTGTTGTAAAAGGAAACCCTGAAATTCCATAATCTACACCAATCCTCAAAATAACACTTCAGGTTATACCCCTGGTCCACCTGATTACATCACTTTGATGCCATACCTTGACACAAGCATACATTTAAAGGTGTATATTGGACTTCTTGCTGTGGTAACACCTTTAGTAGGTGTGTTTAGTGTTTATTCCTTCTACACAAATTTCACCCCTAAGTAGACTGGGAGTGGTTCAAGAAGATTTCATTAATGAACCAAGATGCTGAATCAAAACTAGTGTGTATTACATATATAGAGAGAAAAAATGGAATCTCATGATTCAATTACAGTTTCAAGAATGCTATAATTATGGAAATATTTTATCCAAGTGAATAATATAATTTAGCTCATATGTGTAACTGGCGGCATTTTGCTGTTTATTATATGAATTGCTGACCTAATATAAGGAATGGTCAGTTTTGTCATTTGTCATATTGATATGTATAAAATATGTCATACATCTTATCATTAATCCACAACAGAGGACATCATTGTTAAAGCTATTTTGTAAATACTGTTGGGCTGTAATGGAACTATGACAGCATGTAACTTTGAAAAATCACTGTTTAACTAAATGATATGGAATAAGAGATCTCACTTTAATTCTCACAGAATTTTCATATGAGATAAAGGAAAATCACCATTGATCAACAGCATTGACAGTGATTGTGTTTAATTTCCCTCAATCCCTGATTATTTGGTAAATTTTTCATCAGTGCCCAGAAACTGTATTCAGTGCTACCAGTTTTTGTTACCCTTTAGTTGTCTGTTTGGTTTCTGTCAAACTGACTAGTAATTTTGACTAATGTTTTGTATCCTTGTGGTAATCCTTGTGAAAACTTCTTTCGCTATTTTTCTAGAAAGACATCTTTATACCAAGGCATGAAATAGTTTTATATAAAATTTCATGACTTTAAATTTTGCATTCAATTAAAACAATTTTCTTCCAAAATTCATACCTTATCATAGACCTTAATTCACATATCTTAAGGCATGTGCAGTCATTAAAACCACAATATATGCAACTTTCACCAAAAAAATGAAGATAAAAATTATCTATTTATACTGATATAGTAAAAATTAACTTCTATGAGAAATAGTCAAGATGATAAGCTGCATTCATATTAAAATAACAGTTGTTGAAATTCACTTTTTGTAAGTATGCCCCCTTTCTTGCTGAACCAAAATCAGAAAATCCTTTAGACATTTCCATGAGAGGTTGGTATTTACTTTAAACAAGTATACATCCTATTGAGACTATACATCATGCCCTTGACTGATTATGCATTCTACCTGTGATGTCAAGAAGAGCATGCTGCACATTCGGCATCACACTTAACCTGTAAAGACACTTACTACACCTGTACATTTGAGTATACAGACTAGTCATGTATTATTTTTGTGATGGCCTTCTAATTTTCATATAACATCAGTTTGCATTTTAAGTGGGACACACGGTTAATCCTTTATTGTGATTTCGTGTTTCTTAACAAATTCCACTCAGCTTAAGTATGTTTTAATCTTATTGTTGCATAATTACAGAGTGCAAGTTTTTTCAGAAATTTTCTTAATCACATACATTTGACAAAAAATAGTCTAATTACATATTGAGATTTTCAAAGTTATGACAGTAATTGTTTTCCATATGTAACTATATAACAGGGGTAGAAGTAAATAAGTTGTAATCAAACTTGTAACTCAACCCTTGTTTTAAGATTGACAATAGATATGTACCAATCTGAATCAATGTCTAAAACTTCTGGCAAACTTCATCTTGCTGGATATCCTTAACATTATCTAATTCTTCAAAACTAAAAGATATTCATTTGCAATTTATACTGTTCTCAATCTTGCCTATTCCTTCCGTGGTGGCTGCTACAGTTGTTTAATTTGTGACATCACAGCTGATAGGGTCCCAATTTGGCATTCAGCACAAATTACACTTATGCTAATTAGAAGTAGGACAGGTGAAAATCACACACAATCTTTTGGTTTTGGGCTAGCCGATTTTGATGTAGTTTTCAATCTTTTTTTATTTTGGATCATATAGAATAATAATACTGGTATATCTATTTCTTCAGGGTACACTTTAAGTCACAACAAGATGGAATCTCTCCGTACCCATGTAGTAGAGAGTTCACCTAAAAAGTGATCAGAGGTTGCTACATATGATCTCATGTCTTGTGAACAAGAGAAACTTTATCTATTGATTATATTCAAACATAATCAGTGATAAATCTATGTTGGAGTCCTACATCATGTACTCATAAAATTTTGATGGGACTCAAAGCATTTCTGAAAATACTGGAATTTTACGATGTGTGGCCTGTTGTTTATAAATATAAACTTCATTTATTTTACAACAATTGCGAAAGAAGTTATGTCAACTTATACTAATCACTCTTGTTGGCCCGGATGTAAGCGCATGAGGGGTCTTATTGTGGGAGGAAACCGGAGTACCCAGGGAAAACCCACGTGGTCGGGCAGTTGACCCCTTACCTTTTCATGTCCGTTCCGGGAATCAAACCCCTGTCGGCTAGGTGAAAGGTGAGTGCATTACCTCTGTTTTACAATGAAGATAAATTGTAGATTGATCACTGTGTAACATAATAAAGAACATCCTCTAAATGCAAATAAATAATTTTATACCGATAAGAATTGTAAAAAACATTACTTTTCCCTTTATGAATCTTGATTGTGAAGCATTATGACCAAATCAATGACTTGAGGTTGGCGACACTGCCTCTGGGATCTCATTTTAATCCATTTTAACAATGTCTATTAAATTATGTTGGGTTATTCATTTGAAAAATGAGATATTCATGAAGTCTAAACTGAAAGACACAAATTTCTTCTGTGGGGTGGCCTGCTGTGTACGTGTAGTCGTGTACAGAACATTATTAGGGAACTGGATTGGTGTAGGCGGCCAAATGATCAAAGAAGCCGGTCAAATTGGCCGGCGAACGGCTCTTATGGAAAACCCTGAATTTTATAGAATTACTTTCTGAATTTATGTAAACAATAACTTTAAAATAGAATTAACCATCTAGATAATCATTTATATACGTTAAAGTAAAGATTTTATTTTTGAACATTCTGATATTTGCTATTATCCATTGAAGGTTGGAATTATATCTCCATGCAAAAGTATTATTTTAGTGAACAACTACCAAAAGCCTGTGTAATGTTAACATCATGTAAACAAAGATTGAACAACAAACTGTTATCTTTGGATAGTCTGAATTTTCAATCATTGTTGTCTTTTTTAACCCCTACCAAAATACAACTTATATTTTTCTAAAAACACTGACCAAATATTCCCTATACCTCATACATAACAATGATTGGCGTACATAAAAATGTACAAAATGTGACTGGTTACAGCCAAAAGAAACAATGTTTATATAAGTAAATATATGGTATGATACATTTTCTGATAATTTACGTGTATTCTGATAGATTTGTGACGATTTCAGTGGCCATTCGTCAATAGTCCAGACGCTGACAGTCCATGATACTTGATTTTGTAAAACATAAAGGGATCTGCCGAATGGCTACCTCACTATTTGTTGATTTTCGTGTGCGGTAATCAAAGGCTTTATATATTGACGATATCTTACGACAATATTATGATATAGAAAATACGTAAAAGACCATCTGATCAACGGTTACCTTCAGAGTTGGGTGTTCGAGTGCCTTCACGTCAGCCATTCTGAAGCAGAAAACGTCTGCTGTTCCGGCCGAGTGTGCGCACTAAAAAATCTGCCCCTATTAGTTGGTCCGGGTCTAGCTCAATAATATCATTATTGGGTCTCGGTGCAATACAAAAATGTCTTTGTCATACCAACGACGTGTATCACGCAAGTTATTTAGTTTTCTGGCTTTATTAAGCTATTCTTTTGAAAATATGAGCCCACGTGTCACCTAAAGGGTGATACTTGGTACTTATCATAAAAAATAGGGATTTCGAAAAGTTAGTAGCCATACTGTGAGTTGCCAGTTTCATTTGTTTATTGCTATTGACTTATCTCGAATTGTTGTTCAGTAAATTTACTAAGTATCAAAAGTATCAAGCATATTGATGCAGTGGTGAATTATATCGGTATAGCACAGACTCCAGTAGATAAAGATCTGTCTGTGATCATTAAAGTATTACGAGTTTCTTTGCTTTTTAGCATTAGCTATTCTCACCATTTGCTTGCATTTTAGCATTAGTTCTTCTCTCCGCTTGTTTGCTCCTCTTTGCTTTGTTATCGTATGTCACTTTACTACTTTCCACTGAACATGTATTATGCTTCCTCACAACCTCACCTCCCCCTCCAACCCCCACCCCTCCCCCAAAAAATAAAATTATAAAAAAGCAAAAAACAGCACAAAACCCATTTTCCGTTGAAGAATTTTTATTTATATGGTTTGGAATGCCTGGACCGACATGCCGCTAATTGGTGATTTGTCATTTGCGCTTTCAGTATTATAATTTCTTTCTATAAACCGCTGATTATTTTCATGTTATGAGAAGAAGCTTTTTCTCCTCCTATATGACGTCACCATGTTTCATAATCAGCATCTTTCCACTGGAACTGACAGGCAATATAAAATGATAATAGATACCCCATGATGCTCTAGATCACGGACGTATAATACAAAAGGATAAGAAACTAGGCCCAGTGGCGACTTCTCTGGTGTAAGCTTTTGTGTTTGTTCAATGAGCCGTGAATCTATGAAGCTCCCTCTTCTTTTGCTGTTATCTAAGTTTACCTATCTGTGCCTCTATGGTGCAGTTAGTGGGGGCTAAACACTGACCGGTCTGACAAGAGCCATTTTATCTGCCAGTGAAAAGTGAGGTTAATTTTCGTAACCAAAGTAATACTTAAAAAAGTAAGATATCATAAAAGTTAAATGGGACAATCGCAAAATTTCTGCCATTGCAGTTACAACTGCATTTTCTCCATCTTAAATATGTTTCGGACAGAAAATGGTATGCAATATCGGATGGTATACAATATGGTATGCAATAGAGGATGGTATTTGACTTGTAAGTACCGTAAACTTGCATTTTATTTTACAACTATCAAAAGTTAAGAGAAATCGATTATTAAACGTTCTGACACTGTTCACTTTGATTGGTTGTGTACTTTTGGAGCCAAATGGTTTATAAAAACAACGAGGCTTATTTTAACTTGATTCTATAGACAGTTACTTATCCTGCTGTCTAGATATACATGTAATATTAGTATTTTTAGCGATCGCGCTATACAGTTATTAAAATGTAATCAGCTCGATTCTGAACAGTGACATAGACGAGTGTAAAAAAACACAGTGTCACGCTTGATCATATCCTGGTGTGCAGTTTGCGCTTAGACCACATTTTGGAACATTGTTATAAGCTTCTGTTGGTGTATTGTGGTATATCTTTTATAGATAATACTGATAAATTATATATGTGTTAGACATTCAGTTGTCTAATGTTTCTCTTGCATTCTAGTGACAGAAACCGTGATCGGCCAATCTTGTAAGGGTGGTAAGACCAATGTTGGTTTAGATTGTGTTTAAAACTATATTTAATTATTGTGGATTTATGACATAGCTGGGAAAGTTGTGTCATGCTCCCGTGACAATTCAATTCAATTCAAATTCTTTTATTGAATCTCAGATCATACATACATGACATATGAGGATGTCCATATGAACACATTGCGTAGTCAGAGTTAGCATGGTATACAATAAATAGTTGTACAATTAAAATGAGATGTTAAACATTTTAATGTTTTGTAGTTTAGGTGTTTATCCAAAACGCCATTTCACCAAATATATAGATATACAAATGTATGTAATTTAAACAGCATTTTAATGTTTTGTTATTATCAAATTCAAAAACTATACATAGAGCGGCATAGTAAAAATGCTACTTCTTAGACATTTGCCCAAAACTTCAATATGTGAGATATAAATTTACATAATTTTATACATACATCATTATCCTTTGTTGTTATCAATCTTACAAACTTAACCTATTTGGAGCATTATAGTAGACACTATCAACGAACTGGTGTCTAATATCAGAAAAGTGATGACACACTAATAAGTAGTGGTATTCATCGCCAACTTCATTTGCATTACATAATTCACATTTACGATCAGTACGTGCCACAGCATTCCATCTGACAACCTCTGACCATATTACCATAGAGCATCGGACGCTGCAACTTCAAGTCAAGATATACTCGAGACAGTTTGTGCTCCTCGTGAAGATCAAGTGGTTGTCTCCTGATAAAAGACGCTTTACTCACGTGACAGGTGGGGTTGATTGCGGCCAGCGACGATATGTCCTTATAGAAGCATACCACCTGACCAAAGACAATCCTTGAACCATTTCAGTGTTAATTCGATCATATACATTCTATCGATGTTTCCTTAGTTTATGCCATTACACTTGCGAGATGTAATATGACAATATCCAAAACAGAATATTTAAACACTGAAAAAAATGTTTAATTAACCAGCATTTCTTACAAACATGTCCAGTCGTAGCATTGGAAGATACTCTCGTCATATCAGCCACTTAACCGTAAAACATAGGAAACAAGTGTTGTCGCATGGACTCATTTCCCGGCTATTTTCACATTTCAAAGTTTACATTTTGTGAGCAAAACTTGGCATGAAAAAAAAGATCGATACTGGCAACTCTTGAAAATGTACGTAGAAAATAATATGTCTAGTGCGTGTATTTCATGTGATGTAAGTTTATCTGACATTTATCAACATCATTAACTGAATGACAATGAGTAAAAGCCCCCAGATTGTAACAGCGTTTTTTTTCCTATCTAAAAATGAATTATCAAAATAGGAAATTAAAATAGTAACAAATAAATTGTTTTTTAAAAATTCAAATTAGTTGCACACACTTGTAATGCAAACTTTAAAGGATGCATCAAAATTTAGATGAAATTTATTTTAATTTTGGGTAGTATGTAATTTTTCTAAAATCACATTAAGGAATGCACCATACCTTTAAACTACGCAGCTATTATGAAAGAAAAATTGAATTCTGTACTGAAACATCTCAGTTATATAATAAGAAAAAAATGCACATTTGAAAATCCGTATACTGGCCTCTGTTTTTACTGACATAGACATGATTTGGCGGGGAAATAACTACTTCCGTAAAAGAACAGGCCCTGTTTACCTTTTGGCTTGGAAAGATATGGTTGAGTGAGCATTCAATGCAAATACACACAATCGCCGAAACTTGGACAATTATATGTAATCTTTGCACGTTTAAAAGCATAATAATTAAAATCGGCATTTTAAAACTGTATTGAAATGACAATTTTTACCCCAGAAATACATTTAATTGAAATATTTAGAAATTAATGAATGAAATATGTGTATCACAATCAAACGAGATTTCGCGAGAGTTTGATCAGTCTGCGGGCTAGCCTGCATTACAGAAGTAACGGACCGTCACGGCTTTGGAAAGTTATCACATTTAGCATTTAATCGGTAAGTAAACTTAATTTGTAGATGTTAATAAATTCCTCGGTGTCTTTTTGTGTGATAATAGCGTACATGGAGGACAACATAAAGTATTTACTTTGAAACTTTACCACCGAAAACCGTACCGGAACGATCAGCAGTCTTTGTCTTTTGATTGTGAAAGGTGAGATTTTGAAACTCCATATTTTCATCTGTATCGTTAATTACATCATTGCCAACCATATATCCAAGTTCATAAGTATATCAGTTAATTATTCAAGGTGAATGAGCTGTTATTTGGGAGCCGCGTGTACTATTACGCTAGGCAAAATGTAGGTCATTGTAGTGCAATATCAAACAGCATGGGCTGGATTGGAAATCTGCAAATATCAGTAGAGTCCTGTACATTTTCATAAAAAAATACCATTTTTTATCGACCGATCATGTTATTAAATATATATGTTCAATTCTGTAATCTAGACATTTTGAATACATTGTACTGTTGGCGCAAATCTCAAAGTAATGGAAGTTAGATACGCTTTACGGGATATGCACAGGACAGCTCGAGTCTATTTGTGTCGGTGCAGTTTATGCAAATGACCCCCAGCAAAGCTAAAGGGTGTCCATTACGGCACTCGCCTGTCTGACTAACTGACACACGGAGGCCAGCGAAAATCGTGATTGCTTTGTTGTCGAGTCGAAGTTAAACGTACTTAAATCAAGATTTAACCCACGGTTTGTAGTAATGTCTGATTTACATGCTTCTTTATTGATTTTTTGTATTGACGTAGTAAAGAGAGTGCTGTTAGTGTAAACAACGTTTCGGTTGTAGGTACAATGAAATAGGATGTGTGATAATGAAATAATGAGTGTGTATAATTATACAATAAAATGTTTAATAAGATGGGTTTGAATTTATATGTAGTAAAGCCTTAAAGGTATGTTACTGACAATGTTAGCTGATGGTCATTGGTTTCATCAAATTATCATGGGTTCTACATCTATTTTTTTTTGTTTTAGCATGTTATTATTTGAAAGATTATTATTGAGTATGATTTATTTATCATAACTACACTATACTTACATGGGGCACTTATGTTTGTTACAGTTATATAACATATGTGTAACTGAAATCACATTTTTTTCAGAAAACCTAGTTTTTTCTTTGTGTTGACAAATAAAATATAAATTTTAATGAATGATCAGTCATGATTTAAATCTTATTTAAATTTATGCTATTCACAGACTATCTGGATATATCATATGTATATAACACATTGCAAGAAGGAACAACTATGTACATGTAATTAGTTTTCCAGCCTCTCATTATAGGATATTTTATTAAAAAGGAGGACAATAAATTTTATCTAATAAATTTTGTGTTTACATCTGAAATTGAGAATGGAAGATGAAAGGGAAAGATGATTAAAGTTGATTATAACTGTTTATGGTTGCTACTTGATAATGAAAATCTGAGCCAAAGCATCAGTAAAATCAAAGAAATTTATTTTTGAAATATATGAATACACCTACATGTATACCTGGTACAAAGCTTGTATATCACTGTTCAGTAAGTATAACACTCATTATCACTTCAAAAAAAAATGAGTGTTATTAGCTACAACACATTTATTTCTAGACTGGCATGGTGAAATTTTTTGCATACTATCTACCCAGACTAGTTAGTCAATAACGTTTCAGTAGGCAGATTGAGGTAAATAGTTAAGCTTGATTGTGTATAAGTAGTTAAAAAACACATTTCATACCAGAGATTTTATATATTTTTTCAACAAAGAATTAGTTTCGTGGAAGGTTAAATTCTGTAAATCAACCATTAAATTTGATGTCTTATAATTAAAAAAGTATAGCTATTGATATAAAAGTCCTGATAAAGAGGTGAGTTCATCCCTCTAGAAGTCAGCAGTTAAACCATAGAGTATATTATTGGCAGGTTTGTTATCAATGTAAATTTGAAAATCTTTGCTCTGGAATCAAAGACAAGAAATACTTACAAGTATATGTTTCCTATTTACTTCATTTAATGGCATTAGTTGGTGTTGTCATGGTATTTATTTTATGTGATAAGCGTAATTGTTGGGCTAGCTTAATTTCATTCCGTGTAGTGGGTTAGAGCTGTTGTGCACTGCTTATTTACCATTATGCATGCATCAGATACAAATTGAAATTCTCATTGATATTTCACAGCTCCAGTGATTGGTATCCACAATTAGGGACATAGCAAGCCATCCCAACCTGACAATAGGGCACTGGCTTTATTATGTACACAAAGGAGGTGTGAACCACCTGTAGTAGCTTGTTACAGTTGTCATTCATTTACTTACATGCAGAAGAAGATTATCTACTGTAAAACATTGCAACTGACAGCTAGAATTGATTGCCATCTTGGTTTCGTTTCATGTGTTTAAGGAGATGAAATTGGAATGGAAAATACAGAATTCACCATAGAATGTTCAGATAAGAAATTGTCAACTTTGTCATGATTATATCAATTTATGAATCGGTAATTTTACTTGATTTTCACTTAAAATGAATGGGTACTGAATGTACAAGTCCCTACTTGTGTTGTTTTTTTTTTTTGTTTGAAAAGATGAAAGAAAGTTCTTTGAAAACTTTGAAAAACATTCTTCGCAAATATCTTAATCTTTAAAATCTTGAATAAATCTTTTGTAATCTTTTTTATTTATAATTATGGTTTTAATAATATTTTTTTTTCAAATTGTTTCTTTAATTTCAAATTGTTTCCTTAATTTTGGTTTAATAGATTTGATGTAATACTTGACATGTTAATGGATCTCAAAGATTGTACAAAAGACAAACAAGTGAATAGCACTTTTACTTTTTGTTTATGAACATATGGGTCTGAAATTACATAAAATTACTTTTATTAAGTTGAAGAACAGGTCTAGATAATTAAATCTACTGTAAACACTGTATAGTTATTATTTTTCAGGTTTCATTCATGTTATTTAGCATTATGTGTTGTGGTATCTATACAAGAATAATGTATGTGTATGTATGTCAGCATGCAAAAGGAAATATAAGGTAGTGTTTTAATTAATGTTATTTAATAACTGAAGATTAAATTATTTTCTTATTCATGTTTTTTTAAGCCATATTATTATGAACCATTGAATTGTAGTGCTGAAATTGCCTTCGCTTAATGCCATGATCCAAGAGGAAAAAATAAGTACAATAGTCCATGGCAAAAAAAGAAACCAAACATTTTTTTTACTCTACTAGATTTTTAGGCCACATGAGACAAAGTCGCCTTCATCAGATGTTGTACATCTGTAAACAATTTAACCTTTTCAACTTCTCAAAACCTCCTGAACCGATTTCAATGAAATTTTGCAGAAATTTTCCCTAAGATGAAACAAAATTGTGAGTTATATGGTCGTCAACCCAGGGGGCCTGAGGGTGGGGTCAAAAGGGTCAAATTTACATGAGTTTTTGAAAATCTTCTTCTCAACACCCAGAAATGGTAGAATCAAATGCTGTTTATGGATGGAAGTGTCTTAAGGTAGTTTACAATAATTGTGAATTTCATGGGCAAATGGTCTCACATTTCCCCATAGGGAGGGGGGTCAAGTTAATTGAAAAATAGATTTTTTAGTATAATTTGTTTATTTTCCATTGGAAATATTTCAAACATGGTTAGAATTGTGAATGAAGGATGATGACTAGATGGTGTGAAAAGGTTGATCCTGACTGACCCCAAGGGGCTGTTATTGCAGAGCCAGAAGGGGCCAAATTGTCTTAAATTTCAAAAATCTTCTCAACACCCAGGTTTGGTGGAATCAAATACTTTTCTAGGATGGAAGTGTCTTGAGGTGCTTTAATTACAAAAATGGCTCTCACAATTCCTTCCTTGAGGTTAAATTTTTTTAAATCTTTATAGAAAAACTGCATTTTTGATCATAACATTGTTTATTTCCCACTGAGCATAACTTTGTAAGATCTATTAGTATAGGATGACAGTTTCGATGGTATGCATGTATTGACACTGGCTTACTATCATCAATGTCACAATTTCTTTTTCATGACACTTGAAAGCTACTTTCCCTTATATCTTTATATTCAATCTTGCTTATCTCAGGTGACCATCAATACCGCTAGGCCTCTTGTTTAATTTGATGAACTTCTTGCTTTGTCTGGGTGCTTTTAAACAGAAAACAATTTTACTCCCCAAAAGGTATAAGAATAATCTTAACCTGTGAAAAATTAGCAAGATTTAAATTGATATATTTAGAATCAGCACAGATGACTTGAATAGTATAATTAAGTTTTCTCCACTGCAGAATTTAGCTATATATTACAGGGAGTGATGATTGATTTGCCAGCAGCTGTGATATTGCACTTGCATTTGCAGCATTGGAATTCTCTTGAATATTGATCAATCTTGTTGTGAAATACAGATGCGGAACTGAAAGAAAAACCCATTCAAGATTATTAGACCAATAGATTCCAAGTTAATCAGAAATGAGATAGTTTATTGCTGCGAGATTTGTGTTTGCAAACTTACACAATTTTGCCTTGTTGGACTCCTTCTGTTAAGGCTGAAAATAATGCAGTTATTTGTGCATTACTTTTATGTACATTATGTCCTTGTTTGAATTGAGTACTGTTTGTGGGCTATCAACAAATGCAATAAGTATGCAGGAAATTATGTGTAATGAAGGAAGGGTTAAATTCTTTTTCACACATCATACAGTATGTAACATGAAAGCTAGTGATCACAGATAACATTGCCATGATGAAAACCATAACATGACAGTTTTTGGAATAAGAAAATTAAAAGTTGAAATCTAAAAGAGGCATATCGGGACTCTAGAGCTGATCAGGGATCTGATATCAAAATGATAATGGTTGTATTAGTAACCCTTTACATATAAGAAAAACAAAACATAAACAAACATTATTTCTTTAAAATATGTCATTCCTTATTTTGGCAAATTAACAAAAAAGAAAAACGAAGGTTTAGATTTCATTTTTATCGAAACAACGACATTGTATTATTTCTCCACGAGGTAAATGTTGATGCTGGATTGTTTTGCTTCAGACTTGAAAGTTCATACTCAGCTTTATCTTTTTTCAATCTGATGATCATATGAAAAACCCTGGTATTTAATCAGCCAACTAAACCAAGTCAATACACTCCAGATATTTATTTTAAGACTCCAGTTAATCCATGAATATTTTGATTGTAGTTTTCTTGTTCTTGTTTCTTCATGCTTTCCATAAAAACTTTGTTATCATTAGTATCATTGAATCGCTCTCCTGCATGCACAACACATTTCATCTCCTTTTCAGTTCATTCATTGTAAATTTGTTCATGTAATTCAATAATCCTTGCTGTCAGAAATTTGGCAAGAGATGCGATATAACTTTTCTAGGGGGTACAACATCAGTTCGGCTGACATCAACCTGTGGAAATTTAGACTTATCACGCATACAAAAAATGGTGTTTTTATTAGTAAAAATATGATAAATTGTTGTATTAAATTCCATGACTAAATATTGTTGGTGGAATAGTTTTGTAGAATTCCATATGATAACCATGAAACATACTAATGTTGTATTACCAGGGTAAACCTTGTTTTTTTAAAAATCAAACCCAGACATCAATCATTTTTAGCCAAACCTCGTAAACAAGTCCTTCAATCCATGATGATTGATGTGGGACATTGTAGATAGCTGAAATATTTCAAGGCACTTTTGTATACCAAAATAATAATAGGGTGTTATTTGTATTGTAAGCATAGATTGATACCTTTTGAAATATTGATAAAACATAGACTGTTATGAGGGCAAATCATTTGTGGTCACTGGTAATTTCTTGCATTCATGTTCACTTGTGTTGTAAATGTCTTATATTTTATGGGTATTTACAAGATCCAGGAGCTAGCTATATGTCCACAAATTAATAAAATGTTGTAGGGGTTTGTAACTTTTTGGGATACTGTACACATGTGGAAAACATTTGAAGCAGTGATTGCTAATAATGAAGTCAGCTTATGAATAAGACATTGTTAGAAAGGAAAGTGGGAAAAAACAATTGTTAATGGTACATTCAAATAACTCCCAGGGGAGCTGTCATGTTCATGTTCTAAGTAAAGTATTAAGTACAATGAATATTACCCTGCAAATTAAAGGAAATGACAGGACAAGCCATCACTTACAATTGCATTTGTACGGGAACCAATGCCATTATATCCATTTGTCATTACTTAAAGGAAAAGTTGCAAGGTTAACCCCGGAATTAAACATTAATGATGGGAACAGTCTTGTGTGTTATACCTGATCAATGATGTCAGAGAAGATTATAGACTATTAATCAGATATAAGTAGCTTGAGTCCTAATCGTTACTATATACAGCCATAGAAAATCCTGTTATTCTCTAAAATTATTGCTTCTCTGCAGTAGATTGTCATTTGTGGTGAAGTATTTGTCATTTGTGGTGAAGTATATCTAGTTCATATATATCATATCAGTAACTTTATAGCATAGTATGATCAGCAGGAATATTTTTACAAGTCATGCTTGAAATATTTCTCAGTCTGGAAGAAGAACATCAGTGAAAGTTTTATGTGAACCAACCCATATTACCAAATTAATACAGCTATCAGCACAATTTTAAGGGCAGAATATATTGGCAAGTCACAGATGAAAAAAAAATCTTTAAAGGATCAATCTCTGTAGGAGATGTTTGGATGTTAATTACCAGATTGTTTTTACAAGATGTTAACACCGCATTTCAGTTTTCATTATCACCGATAGAAACACTATAAAAACAAGATAATCATGACAGAGCTGATACTTTTATGTTTGTGCTGCTCAGATACATGCACTGCTATATTGTGTTAAATCTTGTTCTACTGTATGTTTAAAAACAGGGTTGGTTTGATGTTTGAAATTATTGTGTTAACAGCCAAGGGAATTACTGCCTGTGATTTGGAGATTTTTTTAGCATTAGGAATCCTAAGGATAAAATATATACTTTTAAGTATTACTTGTTAAGTTATATAGAATGAATTGTTTGTATATATTTAACAGATAAGATTTTTTGAGGAAATTACATTAAACATACTTGTATAACTTCCTTTTCATTCAACGAGCAAAGAGAATAGCTCTATACCTAGACTTGCAATACTTACACTAGCTGCAACATGATGTTTAAAATATTTATCACACAATCAGTTTTTTATCCAGTGAATATGCCCAAATAATGTTTTCACATATATATCACTTTGGTGTTACATACCCTAGAGCGTTTTTCATTGGCTGCACCAGTCAGAAATCAATGGGGATGTCATATTTACCATGACGTTACTCCCGAGTTGAAAATGACCCAACAAAATGGTTGTATCTGTTTATAAACTTTATTTATTATCCAAAAATTGCGAAGCAAGTTTTTCCAACTTATATTAATCACTCTTGTTGGCCCGAATGGAAGCCTGTGAGAGGTCATACTGTGGGAGGAAACCAGAGTACCTGGGGAAAACCCTCGTGGTTGGGCAGATGACCCCATACCTTTTCTGATCCAATCCAGAATTCAAACCCTGGATGTCTAGGTGAAAGGCAGGTGTGTTACCACTGCGCCACCTGACCACCTGTCATTTTTGCATCTGTTTGATTTTGTTGTCCATATTTTTACTCTAAAACTGTACAGCTTTTCTAAGTTATGTGATTATGCTAATTTGCTTTTGTTTCATTTGAGATTTAATGAAACTCGTCTCGAAGTTTAAAAACTTTTGACACTCGTTTCATAAAATGACAAAACCTCATAGAAGATCCTATGTTTGAGTCACAACTATAGCTAGTGTATATATTGCTAGTTATATATTATAGTTGAAGTTATATTTAATTATGATACATACAAATACAAAGGTTTCAGGTTTTCTTTGTATAAGTTATAAAATATTATATATTCAGTTTTCTTAAAAAAAGTATGAAGAAAACACGAAAAATTGAAACTTGTCTGTACTGCTTTCTTGCAAGAAAACAATTTCAGATTTGTCTTTGCCAGTTTCTCACAAGAAAACGAAAAGACCTAGCTATATGTAGTCTTCCTTTAGTAAGAATTACACTTGTGCCACTTTTGAATGATAATGTTTTCATACTTTCAGACTGCCCATTGTGAAGTATGAAGCGCTGCTAAGGCAGACAACATGAAGATGATTTCATGAAGCTGACCACCAATCAGAACCAAACGTGGATGCAATTCATGCCAGAACAGAAATCTGACCAAAAACTGCTGACAAGAAAAACTGACCATAATAGAAGGAAAAGGTAGGAATTATTGATATGTGATTTGCTAACTATAAAAGTTATGTATCTCAACCTTGTTTAAAAGCACTGTAAGTTATTTCTTGAAGAACAACAAGTATTTTGTTTTGCACTTTCGCAGTTACAATGATCAGATTCATTTTTCTGGTTGTCCGGAGGTTACAGTACAGTGCATATCTAGTGTTATGACACAGAAAACAAACAGTGTAAGTTATCCAAACCATTTGCTGATATGGTTGACACACCAGTTCAACACCCAAGCTTCCACCTGTATACTGACAATGTTTCAACTCTGTATGGACAGGTTTTTGGGATAAGATAAGTTGTGCATGAGATGCCTTGGCAGTTTGTCCATCTGGTACATGTCTTTGTATTCATGTTCTTTTTAGGCCAGCAGTCAATCGCAAGCACATTTCTCTTTCAAACCTGTGTAAAAGAATAGTGTAAATACCTTTAACACACAAAACCAGCATAATTTTGAAAAAAATATCTTTGATACTTCCTGCCAAGGTTGAATGAAACTGATAGATGACACGCCATAGGCATGATTGAAGTCAGTGTACGTCATACTGATGTTGCCAGACAATATGGTATGCACCAAAATACTGTAAACATCATGTGGAGACGGTACCATCAGTTCGGGATTACCAGAGATTGGCCTTAGTTAGGACGTCCATGTGTAACCTGTTAATCACCATGATACATATATCTGGGTCATTCATCTACGTGAACCTCTCAGAACGTCTTCTTGGCTTTGGCCTTAGAAGAATTAATCCCCAAATGTACGTTTGAACGAGGCCAGGACGTCCAGTCATACATCCTGTTCTCCGGCAATGTCATTGTGTAGCATGTTTAGCCTGGTGTAGACAACACATACACTTCACACAAGACTGGGCACTTGCTCTTTTCACGGATGAGTCCAGATTTCATCTTGACAGCAGTAACGGTTGTTCTAGAGTATAAGGTTGTGTTGTTGAACATTTCCATAACAGTTAATAGATTCAATGACATACATTTGGCAGAGGTAGTGTCATGGTGTGGGATGGCATCTCATTCCTTGGCAGAACAACATTTGTGGTGGTGGACAACACACTTACAGGCATCATATACTATGAAGGAATCATCCAGCTTCATGTCCTTCCATTTGTGCAGCAGCGTCCTCCAAAATCAGGTGTTTACATGACCTGACCTGTCACATGTTCTTGTGAAAATATGGAATGGTATTCCTTGGCATTTTTCAGCATACTTGTTGCATCAATGAGGCATAGTTGTCAAGCATGCGTGGATTCCAGTGATGGACATACACAGTATTGATGAGCCAAACTTTGTTTAGAGAATGCCTGTGAAAACTGATCTCTGTCCAAGACACTGCTGATGCAATAACCTTATCAATCGAGCTGGTGTTAAATATAGGCCCGCTAAAACCCCATTGAACATTTTTTGTTGTTTCTTATATACCTCCTAAATTATAGAATATAATACACTTGCACAGTTTCTTTTTTTAGCTAGGATATATATATCTATTAAAATAACTTCAATTGACATGTCAAATTAAGCATTGGGGCTTTCAATTCTGAATCTTAACAATTCTTAATAAATTGCCTAGATACTTATCTATATTGTTACAAGATGTTTGAAATTATAGTATATTTCACTGGACACTGTAAATTCAACATTTGAATATAAACAAATATATATATAAAGGATATCTTTGTGTATTTCATAGATAGTAGATCCTTTTTCTTGAAGCAGACTTCAGAGTTGGCGAGTCTTCTTTACTGCCAACCAGAATACACAATTTTGACAATAAACAGTACCGTATTTTCCAGATTATAAGCCACACCTTTTCCTTGAGGATTGGTGGATGAAAATAAAAAAAAAAAAAAAAAATGATAACAGGAATCATAACAGTACACAGTAAGAGATCACATTTAGTGTTTTTATGAGTACTTGCCCGTCACATGTTTGATTGAAACAGATGGTCTAGAACCGTCATTTGCAATTGTATACAGGAGGATTTGACGATTTAAATAAAAATTACATTCTTGTGGATTTAATTAATCATACCTACTTAATATGAATCATGATAATATGTTCTGGACTTTCGTGGTTACTTAAATGCCATGGCAGAAGATTACAATAGACTTTTGCATTCTGGGATCGATAGGTCATCGAGTTATAGGTCAAATTCTATAATGACTTATGCTTGTTTACGATATGAATGGCTTCATGTAACTTACAAGAAGAAATGATATGGAACAATAAGAATTTGGTCAGCATGCAAGGTTCTTTGTTAATATTTAACAGTACGACACCAATGGAGAGATTGTTTAGTAAACCATTTGTAATGTCAGGCCCCCTTTCTGTGCATAGACAATCTGTGGATGCACCCAAACCAAACAAGTTTGATATTTCCTATTTATGTTTCTGAAATACATCAACAAAATAAACTGTATAATTCATTTGCAAACATTAGAAATGTTTCTCTGATGATCTTGATAAATTGCCCTCTGTTGTCCGTTATATGAACAGCTTATCTACCGGTGCAGCTTATAACCTGGAAAATACAGTACTCAGTTTTATAAATGTAATAGTTTTTAATGGTTTGATTCTGTTTTTCTCCTCATCAGTGCCTAAGAAATCGAAAGTAGAATCTTGAATCTGCCATTTTGTTGTCATTGTAAACAACCTGGCTTAATTCAGCTGATTTCTTGGCATTTTGTTGTAATAAATTAATACGCCTTTAAGACATCAAGATTATCATCATAATTTGATGTTACCCAGTATGTGTCATGAAGGCATGTTTACAGCGACGTCTCAGATGTCACAAAGGATGCTGGAGTACTTTTTTGTGACGTGATGTCATGATAATGAAAAGAATTAATCCCCTACACCCAGGTGACACTTTACACCCACCGAGTGTTTGAGTACCACAACACTTGATGCATACTGTATATTGAAATATTGCAATTTTTAAAAAATTGAGATAGTTTAAGGTGCGGTTTTAAATTCACAGGTACAAGGGAGTTGTTTCTACTGAAGTGTTAATATATTGATCAGAGGTGGAGTGTTGTCGCCTGCTGCGTTTAACGCCTCCCAACGTCATCACATGGACCAAAAGAAACTCCTTCAGCCAATCAAAAGACCTCGGCTAGAAGCACCGACCAGCATGTATCAAGGTGTGTTTCCTGTCATTTTATGGGAATAGCATATAGTGTTATGTCTTGTCCTTATTCAGTGTCAGAGCTCCAGCTTTATTTCATTTAGGATTAAAGTAATGACTATACAAAATTTATTGTAACAATGAACTCATGTTACTTGGTTCTAATGTCAAAAATAAGGCCAGAGTTACTGTTTATAGATATTTTTCAAACATTGGGTAGTGTTTCCCTGAGGTCTCCTGTAACAATTGGTAATTATAAGGAAAAGGAGCACTTTACAACACACAGATTTATCACAGAGGGTACATGACTGATAACTATGTCTCGGCATCGCTCCTGGCACATAAATTCATGACATGATTGCTTTTAATACAACACCTCTATTTAATAAATTTAAGCATATTGTACAGTTTTAATAATATAATCTGTTTTTACCACTGTTCAGTATGCTTTAAACTTATTCATTTATGGTACAAATGATTGAAAAAACTTGAATTCATAAGGTTATTATATAACATAAGAAAAGATATAGAATTTGTATCTCTAAAGATTTTTTTTCTGCCTTTTCATTTGCATTACTTAAACTCTACTGTATACTACTCCTTAAGTATTTTGAAGATATTTAAGATTTGCGTACCCAGTACTACTACAAAATAATACCCTCTCACCAATTAGTTGCTCTGGCTTGTATCTAATGTGAAACATACCAAAAACTTGTCTTTTCTTAAATTAGAAGTTAAATCAAGGTAAATCCCATCATTAAAAATAATCCTACATGGGAGGAAAAAAGAAATCAGTATTTGTGGCAAGATTTGAATTCTTGGTTGAGATTTTCTTCTTTCTTTTAATCCACAAAGCAGATAGCATAATTTTGATTATATTCTTTCAATTGATAAGTAATTGTGTAGTGTTTGTATGTGCTGTTTAGAGCGCTTTTGTTATTTAGTGTTCCAGATGAAGCAATTCAGGGCACATTTATAGGAAGAGTATGGTGTCACAAGAACAGCAAGTTTAGATAGGACAGCAGAGAAGAGCAAAATAGGGGTAGTGTGGGACTGACATCATGCTATTCATGTGTAGGGGCAACACTATGGGTACTTCTTTACAGGTAGCAGGCTGAGGGACATTCAAGTCTTAAGATATTTTCTAGCTAGATACTATTGCTTAAGAAAATATATATCCATTGTAAAAGATTGATGAAAATAATGTTATAGATTATTATTGACTTGTGATTTCGCAGTGTCTATTCGTGGGCCGATACCTAATGGCCCGATGCACCCCCGGCCACTCATAGCTCTCCTTGATGGTCGGGATTGTTCTGTTGAGATGCCAATACTTAAGGATGTGGCAACAGTAGCATTCTGTGATGCTCAGTCGACACAAGAAATACATGAAAAAGTAAGTGTCTTAGTACGCGACACAGCACCAGCATCATGTCCATTTTTAATGTTTTTTTTCAACATGAATCTTTTGTAATGCATGTTTTGATTTGACATAGTTTCATTATTTTTGCGATGCAATCATTGTGAAAATGTCTTGATCCTGACCCTTATAGTACAAAACAATGTTACTGTAATATGCATTCTTAAAATTTACTGAAAGAATGTCATTTGTGATCATACATTATTGGATGAATTGATACAATGTTTTGAGAATATGTGCTGTGTACTTTGAATTTGAAAAGGTAAATATTTTTGAAAGTGACACCTTTTTTTTTTGCTCAATGACTAATAATGACCAAGGTAAACTGACCTGTAGGGAAATCAATAATGTTTCCTTTTAATGTCATTGAAACAGAAAATTCTCCATAGTTAAATGGAGATAGGAAACTTTGAATTATGTGTATTCACATAAGTATGTGTATAAGTATTCACATGTATCATGTGTTAGGCCCATATAGATAGGATCATCTCTCATGTTATGTGGATTGCCTAACACACCAGGTTACTGGTATGCTTTGTGGGAAAAATCCTGATATTTCAGCTAATACCCCCTTCCCCCTACACACATATATATATTATAGTAAGCTGTTGTTGGTGGGCATTGGTCAAAGGTAAAAGTCACTTGTGACAACCTCAGAAATACAAAGCTTCTGTACAAGATAATCTCATGAACACCTGAACAGATTAAGTTTTACACTAAGGTCTATACTTGATTACCTTTTGAGGGTAGGAGAGGGAGTAGGAGTAGGTGATGGGAATAGGGGGTGTGAAGTGGGGTAGAGTATAAGTGGTAGGGATGGGAGGTGGGGTAGGTATAGAGGGCAGGGGACGGGAGATGGGAAAGGGGTGGGATAGGGGTGGGGTAGGGGGTAGGTGACGGGAGATGGAATAGGGTGTGGGGGGAGCTGGTGGTTATATCCATGAGAGCACCTGCTCTCTTTATCACTTTACTTAAAAAGACTCTAAACACAGAAAAGAGAATTAATTGTCTTATACTGAAAATGAGTGACAGTTATGGATATTCTGAATCTTAACCATCAGACAATCTTTTTGTTCTTGCTAGCAGAGAAATGTTGATTTAACTGGTCAGAGTGCAAGAGAAGATCGGTAGTATATTATATTTTGTGTTTGCCAGGTCCTGAATGAGGCAGTAGGAGCCCTAATGTGGCATACAATCACACTGTCAAAAGAGGACTTGGAAAAATTCAAAAGTTTACGTGTCATTGTGAGAATAGGCAGTGGCTACGACAACCTCGATGTCAAGGCAGCTGGAGACTTTGGTAAATAATATTGATTTGCCTTTTTCTGATAATCTGTAAAAAACATTTCACTTGGAATGAATATTAAAGTGATCTTTAGGTGATATGTAAATTGATGCTGAAAACAATTGAAACTGTTTTAGATGAAAATTACCAATACCTATACAAAATACACCTCTAATGGTATTTCTCTGGTATCCTGGTTTTCATTTAATATTCAACTGGTATTCTGGTATCATCTGAACTACACTTATTGCACAAGTACAGTATCATAATCATAAAAAAAATTGATGTTGTACGACAAACATAGTCATACAAAATAATTTTCAGTTATATAACAAACATAATCTTAGATAACAATTTCAGTTTTACAACTAAATAATCTTACAAAACAATTTTTGTCATACAACAAAACCTAATCTTACAAAAATAATTTCGATTGTACAACAAAATAATTTACAAAATTATTTCTGTTGTACAATAATCTTTCGAAAATGATTTTTGTTATACATTTAGTAAAGTAAACTGCATTAACAAGTCTCTATATAATAACTAATCTGTACACAAATTTTATTTGGATACAGGCATAGCTGTTTGTAATGTTCCTGGGTATGGTGTAGAGGAGGTGGCTGATTCTACTGTGTGTCTAATTCTGAACTTGTATCGGCGGACATATTGGTTGGCTAACCAGGTAAAGGAGGGTAAGAAAATAAGTGGACCAGAACAGTTACGGGAGGCTGCACAGGGCTCTGCTAGAATCAGAGGAGACACTCTCGGCATTGTAGGTTTAGGTGAGTCAGAAAGACAATATTTATTCAAAGACTCTAGTTAAAAGCTATACATACTTATTATCTTTTTCTGTCTTTCCTAGATTTCAGAGTGAATCTAAAAATATCTTTTATCATGAGACTAACGTTTTGTGCATGGTGAAAAAGCTATCACATCAGATTTAATTAATTTCACCAAAGTGTGACATAAATCTGTAAACAGAGTTGATTGTGTGCTACATCTTTATGAAACATACATATGGCAGCAGCTAAAAATACTTGAAACAGAAAGGTCTCAATTAAATGTCACCTTTCTCAGTGGTTTAAAAACTATGTTCGTTGAACATCTTTGGTGTACATAATAAATGTAATAGGAAGCAAAATATGTTTCATCTCAATATCATGGGACTGTTTCTAAATATTAAGTATTCAACTATTCATAATATTTCAAACAATCAAATTTGCAGTTTTTGTCTTTCTTTATTTCTTTAATATGCAGGCTAACTCACTAAGTTAGAACAATGTGTTAAAAAATGACCAACTGGCATGTCAATCAGATTCAATAACGAATGACGAAGGATATGAAGTAAATTAGGCAAATCATTTACTTCCCCTTGTACATGTTCTTTGGAAATAATTTGGAATTTTTCATTTTAACTCACCAGAGGGTGGCAAAATCACGGGTGTTGGAAATGTTAATTGGTTTTCAAAACAAAGGGAAGCAATCCGCATATCTCTCTCTCTCTCTTTCTCTCTGAGATGTTGTGACAGTCAAACTTAAAGTTTATGAATCACTATGGCTGTTAGTGAAGTCTTCGTTGGCAAACAATGTTATATTTTCTTTACTCAGTTTTATAATTATAGCAATGATAATGAAATGAAATTTTTTTATTGACAGGTCGTGTAGGCACAGCAGTGGCCCTTCGTGCTAAAGTTTTTGGATTTAATGTTATATTCTACGATCCTTACCTTCATGACGGAGTAGAAAAATCATTAGGTAAGTAGGTTGATGAAACATTACCATAATGTAAGAGGGTAAAGGAATAATTATGATTAATGTTAATTCTGACTGAAAGCTAACATCTTGTGTTTATAATCAGTCTGACTATTTGTTGTCGCTTTCTATCAGGATTAACTTCTACGAAGATAAAGGAATATTCAGATTTGTAAAATATGCCCCTTACTTTTATGGCCCTCATCTTGTTCTTGTTAGTTATATATATCTAAGGTTAATGAGCTTAGCCTCAAGTTAGGTCAATGCAATATAGTTGAACAACTTGGATAAGTTGAAATGATCTGCAAAAAAGCTTAAGTCATCCAAAAATTTGAGTAGGATCTAGAAAAAAAACTGTCAATTATCCAAGAATTTGAGTTGAAGTAGTTGTCACATTTAATTAGCCATTGTGGGTTGTTATATTTTGAGTCAGAGTGTCAACAGTTGTTATGGATATGATGTACAGTCAAAACTTGTCTCAAAATTCAAGGGACTGTGGAAAATATATCGACTTATCCCTATTTCAACTCAAACAAAGTGAGTAAATAAGGTTGACAATATCAGTTTCCTGATGTTGATTACGGTTGAACGAAGCAGGGCTTTGATAGCACGCAAACAGCATAGTTTAGTCTGATATTTGAAATGGCAGTAAATAAACAAATGAATTTATCCTACTTTCTCCATTTACTGTTTATTATTCATCCAAATAACAAAAGATTGTTATCTGGTCATAAAAATACTTTCTTTAATTTTAAGTGTGAAAAAATACACTTGTCTGATGTAGTATGATGCTCGACTCCTCCAAGCCTCCACAGTAATGATTACATGGTAATTTGGTGTTGTGTAAGAAAACTTTTTAAGTTGTATTGAAAGCCATTCATGTTAATTAAAAGCTTGAACCAGAAAACTTGGTCTGGATTTGGATTTCAACTACAGGTCCAAGTTGCACATGACCAGACCTATAGTAACAGTATTTTTACTGACTTTGCCTTCATCTTGTATATTATTATTGCATCTTTTAAAGAGTCTAAATTTTGAACATTGCTTTTTTTTTTTATTTACATTCACTTCTGATAACCACTTTACAATTCCTTGTCCTTAAACCACTTATTTAGATACATTTCTTTACAACTGCCTGCTCTGAAAAGACCTTGTACAAATTAGTTATCTATATTTAAACTTGGTCATACATGATACTTGTTATAGACATTGTAATTATTCTTTACCTCTGTAGATCTACAAACTGTGTTTGAAAATTTTGGAATGATATGTATGTGAGGTTTATTACCCATTTTCCGTCAAATGTCAACCAGTCTCTAGCAAACACTGGGACTAACTAAAACATCTAAGTTCAGAGATTGGGAAACAGGTGGATGGTACATGTGTAGATAAAACCAGCATAGTTCAGAATTTACATTTGTGTTAACAACTGCATTGAACTTGTTTGTTTCAGGTATTACACGAGTGTACACTTTACAGGACCTACTGTTTCAGAGCGACTGTGTGAGCTTACACTGTAACCTTAACGAACACAACACTCACCTCATTAACGATTACACTATCAAACAGATGCGGCCAGGTAAGTGTCCTCTCCTGCATGGTATCCAGCCACTGGAAGATGTTTTTGTCGTTTTACAGTGCCACAGCAAATAACTTGACCTTATGAGAGATACTGACATAGTGAACCATTATATGTGGTTGTTAATCCACCTTGTTATCCATAACAAATTACTTAATGTTAATATAAAGTTTTAAAGTGAAAATATGGGTGATACTGTGCACCTCACTGGTGTACAGTTATTCACCAAGAAAAAAAGATCTTCTATATATTGTAGTGGAGGACTGGTAATCACAGTAAAAGCTGTTAAATAGAGAGTAGGACTACAGACTACTGCAACTTGGTGTGGTGTTTGTTGTGGTGTTCTGTGTTGATAAAGTAAGGGACAGTAAATGCCTTTACTCTCATGTGGATGTCAAAGAGAAGAAATATTGTCTACATTTGATTGCAATGTTTCTTACTGTCAAATTCTGTAGCAATTTCTGTAAGTAATAATGTAAAATTGGTGGTACATGATATTTTCCCTTTCCAAAAGGAGCTTTTCTTATCAACACTGCTAGAGGTGGTCTCGTCGATGAGCATGCATTGGCAGCAGCATTAAAGGATGGAAGGATACGAGCAGCAGCATTAGATGTCCACGAAAATGAACCTTTCAGCCTATCAACCAGTAAGTATTCCAGCTTACTTTTGTCAGTGATATGGATATGTTTATATCCAGTTCATACATTGTTTGAAGATTCTATTAAATAAGGTCTTTATGCTGTTAAATTATTTTGACCTTCACACCTATTTCTGATATGTAAATAACAAATGCCAATTTTTTTTTCTGTCTTTTCTTGATATTGCCTGCTAGTATGCTCATCAATCCAATCAAACATAAGGGCCAAGAAAGGGAATTTTCTTGGTCATCCAAATCAGACTTTGGAGTTTAATCAAACCTTATGGCAAGGAAAGGGACTGTGTCATCATATGCAAGCTTAGAAGAGTTCAGAAACGCAAATAAGTGAAAAGTTATCTAATTAATACACATTGTGTTATTCCTATTTTCCCTCTCATGAAAAATGGATTGATGTCCTCTGTTTTGCATTGACAGGTCCTCTCAAAGATTGCCCTAATCTGATTTGTACTCCACACTCAGCATTCTACAGTGAACAAAGTGTTACAGAACTGCGAGAAATGGCTGCTACGGAAATTAGACGGGCAATTGTTGGCCGAATTCCAGATGGTCTACGCAATTGTGTTAATAAGGAATACTTTACTACAGGTAAGATTCTGTTATAATTGACAGCTATTTCATTTCCCTAGTTACTTCTTATCGCGTCTTTGCAAAGGTCATTAGTCTCAAATGCTTCAGGAGTTTTCATGTCCACTATTTCTACCTCATTTCATGTTTTCAGTTTTCCATTGAAAGATATGGATAAATAGAGCTCATGTTGTCCTTCCATTAACGTTATACTCCCAAATCAGTGAAGGGAGTGAATTTAGTAATCACTTCCTTGTTGATGTGTTCTTGCCTTTAAAGTTTATATATAAGATATCTCTGAGCCCCACAACAGATTTAGTTCACAGATATAATTAGTTATGTCATTGCTAGTGAAATTTTTAGAAAAAAAGGTAGGTTTTAGTAGTAATAAACTACAGCTGGAGAGGCATTATTGCTGTTGTATGTCTCTGACTCTAAGACTAACCAGGGTTTCATTTTATTTTTCTTTCAGTTTAGGATTGGCCATTATTGCTTCATTTTGAAAATTAAAAAAATGGTGAATTTAGAAGGATGTATTTAGGAATAAACTGCAAATTTTTGAAGTTTGGCTTAAATATGAACTAATTTCAATTTGAAATGGGGCACATTATTGACCCCTAAAGGTCCTAAAAAAACATGGCTCTCAGGTAACCTATTGGGCCTTTTAATTTGTCTCATCAAATGGAGTGAGTCCTACATACTTGTAATAATACAAAACTTGTCTTGGTTGTAACTTTTTAACTATAAACAAAGAGTTGTAATAATAACTTTTTGTGCTGATATGATTGGCATCAAAGTACATATCCTTTAGCAAACAAGTTGAAAAAAAAAGATTAAAAAGCTATTGAAAGAAAAATTATGAAAAAGTCATTCACAAGATTAAAGACGAAGAATCTTTCTTTTGTCAATTTCATAGGGTAATAAATTGAGTTGCTCTTGATAAATTTAATGACGGACGTTTATTTAGTGAACAATCATTATACATATTATTTACCTTCATCAGTTTGTATTTTGCAAATATCTAGATCAATGTAAATCTGGTCAAATTCATGGACAAATGAAGCAGGCTAAATTTGTTAGTTTCATTGAGTCCAGTTCAAGTTGAAATTGAAGTATAGTGAAATGGTAAAAACATCAGATATTGAATCGCCCTAAAGTAGGTAAAATCATTATAAAAAAGGATATATTTTGTTATTACGTTATCAAGCAAAATAGTGGTTGTCACCTTACTTCAGGCCAATCTTTTACTGGTTTATATTTTGTCTGTAGCAAAATTGATCAAAATCAATTGGCAAGTCACTCCATTGATAGTCAATGTTATTTATTCAGAGGCCAAGATAACAACTTATATATGCTCTCTAGTATATATTTTATATGCCATTATGAAGCAGAGTCGATTGGAGTGTGTGAAATGAGAAAAGATCAGTATCTAAGGTTAAGGTTAGAACTGGTAGCGGTTCCAACATAGCTTGTTACAATTGATTGTGTCTCTTAGTTTCTGTATAATTTTTAACAAATAAAACCTATTTAATGGTCTTTGTTCACAGGTAGTGTTCGCCCTCCATATGCCTTCCCAGGTTACCCAGAAGGAATGAACGGTGCTGGCTATCCATTCCCTAATCCAGCAGCTGCGGCAGCTGTTGCGGCCTTGGGAGGTGTGCACTCCACCACAATGGACCAGCACCCAACAGTGTCCCACTCTACACCTCACTCTACTCCCCACAGTACCCTCTCCGACTCCTCCATCCACAACATGGCTAAACCGGAGAACTCTGAGGTTCACTAGTGCTACTCTGCCTCAGTTATCACCCCTGACTTGTACAATGGACATGAGGGCCGATAGATTGATGAAGACACATGAGTGCTGTTGGTCAAGATATAACATTTTAATATTGACCAGAGTTGATCTGGAGAGAGAATTGACAGAAGAAAATATTTTCTATGGAAGGAAGTGTAGAAAAGGAAGTTTTTTGAGAAGTAAAACCACAGTCGTTTTTTGTATCACAGACATTTTCTATGTATGTGTTTGTTCGTTTTTTTTTTTTCATTACAGGGGGAAATTTGAAGGGAAGTTATAAATGAGTTTGATGCATACTCTGTGTATATATAAATCATCTTTTTGTTTCATCACACATCTTGCCAACTGTTACATATATTTCATACTTATAATAGAAATGTTTGTAAACAGTTGATACAGAATTTGTACTAGGCAGTGGTTTTCTTTCTCAAAAGCATGACCCTGTAGAAGATACGTTTCAACTGTTTAGTGCGGTCACTCACTGGGGCCACTTTTTTTTTTTTTAGCTATACAAGAAATCAAGAAATGATGGCGCTTCATTTTGAAAGTTTCATATCCAGCTGCAACTCACAGATATTTAATTCTGTGTTTCCTGTTGTATGAATCTTTTGTAGGATAGTATTCTCTTAGGATGAGAAGTATGTGTTGCAAGTTGTGGTATCTGGATAATTGACACGTAGGTCTGTACCTACAGTAACAAGGTTTATAGACTGGAGGAACTAAAATACTTGCAACTATTAAAAGTTCATCCTTGGTAACTTTGTACGTACAAAGAACATGATCTAGACATACTTCAAGACGTTTGTTGGATATCATATTTTGTTAAAATTGTCCAACAATCATTTGAAATGTAAAAAACAAATTCTTTGTTGCATTCCAGGGGAGCTAACTCTTCATTAACGCATCAAAGAAAACTGGAATCTCATCCATATTCTTCATTTAAAGGCATTAATAGTTTTCTTCCTGTTCATTGTTGAAATTTACTGCAAACCTGTAATACAGAATATTTCAAGGATTTCATATCTGCATTAAGTCAAAAAACATGATTCATAATGGAAATTTCTTTCTCTTTCACTATCATAATCTGTTGGATCACGTCCGAAAGAGGGTGTTAAATGACAATATATTCCCTTACAAAGCATAGGAAAAATATCCTGCATGATGTCTTTTCAATGAGTTTTAAATGAAATAATTGGTATAGTCAATAATAGCATGAATGTACAGACGCAAATGCTATCTCACTTCGGGGAGAAAAATGTTGATAAATTAGATTATCTTATCTTGTGCACATATGTATAAACCTTCCTATACCTCAAATATATTACGACAGCCATGCCTGAAAGGCAGTTCACAGCTATGGGCACCTAATCTCCCAAACACTTAGAAACAATACTTCTGTATTGGAAGCTTTTATATTGGCAGTGTTGGTTATAGTCTTAATCAAAACTTGTTCAACTTTTGTAAACATTATGTATACATGTAATGTTGCTTGTAGGCATTTTGACTAAAGTATATAATAATTCGAATTTGGATATTTACCTCAGTTTAACTTTTTAAGACAGACCTACCATTTAACAATGTATCATTTTTGGATGTAGTTTGTGTATAATTGAATATTATCAATGAAGAATGACAATGCAAAAAAGTACAGTGGCTATGTATATTCCTCTGAAATATTGTTAAGAGTTTTTCTTACCTTCCTAGTGACAAACCTGACAAAATGTTTGGAGAATTAGATAGGTAGTAAAAATTTGCTTGCTATACACCAAAAGTGATTTCAAATTACAGGCATCATTGTATTTGTTGTTTTCTAGGTAATTTCCATGTAAGGAAGGTAGTATATGTAAGTGTGCGTGTGAGAAAGCGATACTTTGGTCATGTGTGGTAGAGAACATGCTGTCTGTGCCTATATTCTACTGAAAATTCTAAGCGGGTCTCTGATGTGCTATTTCATTTTTTCACTCTTTAGAATCTGATGCATACATTTTTGAAAAAAAAAAATCTGAAATGATCCTTCAATGGATCGAGGTTTTGAAATAAAATCATGATTGTAAACTGAAGTCTTATGCAAGTAGTTATTTAATAACAATGAAATGTATATCAGTGAAGTAGTTTTCACTGTTGAAATTTTACATTATTGATATTTTTGTAGTTATTAGATTGTGTATGATGTATGAAATAGTTAGGGAATCTTCAAGGAATTAAAATAAGTCTAATCATTCATGTTGGTTATATATACAAATTGAAACATGAAACAAAAGTCAATGATTTTACAAAGTGAATTTCTCTTGTAGTTTGTTGTACATTGTAATTAGTTGTACAAACACACATTCTGCATCTACCGTACTTGAACATCATATTTCTTTGTGGGGTTCAAACATTGATTTTTCAAGAAGGTTATTTTTGTGGGCACTTTTATTTCATTCATAGATTGTACATGGGGAATCCCCAATACTTGAAATGTGTGTAAATTTTGAAACATTTTATGAATTCATGGAAAAATGAATTCAAAGATGAAGAGTGTTCCTGAATTAAGTGAAAATTCACCCTGTTCCCCCTTGAGTGTTAATGACTGTATTGTATTATAGTTAAGTAGGCTGCACACGAACATCTACCATACAGTCATGTTCACAGTAAATTATGATGACTTAATTACATCTGTATAATCTAATCACATTGTACCATCCTCATCGGATTCAAATGGAGCAGTAGTTTGTGTGTTTTAATGTGCAGCTTACAAATTACCAGATTTCAGTCATTTAAAAGAAAATAGAATGGTTTTATCTTGGCATAAGGCTTTCAGCTGCAGGAAAGATTCTTCATTCCTGTTATCTGCTAGGGTTCATTACTTATGTAACCATTTGTAGGAAGCTGCATTATCTCACATCTTTTCTTTTGTTGAATGTAATTGTTTTAATTCACAAAGGACATTGGACATGTACCGTCTCCCAAGTGCGACCATCAATGTTCTCATTTTCTTTTGAAATAAAAACACATGCAGAGAGAAATATTTTTGTAAAGAGAATCAAACTAGTTTTTTCCAAGTTCACAAATATTAAAAAATGCACTTCATTTTTCATCTTTTTGATGCCATAAAATCATGTTATTAGCATTTGATCATGTGTAAAAAGGGTTATGACTGTTTGTGTACGGATGGATTTCTTTTTCATCACATATTTGTCACAGGACCTTCATACATTAGAGACATTGGATACCATACTTCACCGTTCACAATATTATAAACTAATGCTGGATTCAAATTTGTCTGAAATTTGTCATTAAAATAAATAAAATACAGACTGTTTTTGTTCTTATATTTTTGACAACTGTATATTGAGCATTCACTTTTCAAAAATTAAGTGACATTGTTTTGTTTATATAATATTATTATAATGACTGATAAACTTTTCACATGGTCGAGGGATGGACCCCATTTCTGAAAAATTCAAAGATACATTAAAACTATTTTTTTCGATTTGTGACATGCCCAATAACTTACTGAAACAGTTGATGAAAAAGGTTGTATGACTGTATTTGGTGTAGTTACAAGTGTTCTTTAAGAAGAGAACTCTTTTTGTGCAAAGGCTGATGCTGATGACTGAGATGCCTGGGAGAAAGTGATGCAATGACTTCACATATAATGGTTATATTCCCTCCCAGTAGTTTTCTTGTGGATCAAAGATCCTACTTGGTGTTCAGGAATGGAAGTCATGGAAACTGAAGATTTTGGTGTTCCGTAATTCTATATACAGTGTACTTTATACAGCTTATTGAATTTGCATTACGTGTGTATATACAAGACTCAATGCCATTTATATGAGGAACTTAAACAGCACACCAATTCAAAGTATTGCAGGTCAAATATGATACTTAAGTGGGCTACTGACAGATGTGTCTCAGGATCTCTTTGATATCAAGAAGTATGTACTTTGAATATTCACCCACTGACATTTGAAGATAAGTGTGGTTATTGCTTTGAATTAACTTCAGCTGTTCATCTGTATGTCAGGTCTATAGCACTCTTTGTTTTCTCTCTGGCTCTAGTAGATTCATTCCTTCAGAGATATTTTATCAAACTGCATGCATTTTGTCAGTACCACATACAATAATTTGGAGTTTCTGTTTCAGGTTTACAGGGCCAAGGTCATGGTCACAATTACTATTTATAGAAAATTCTGGTCAGTACTCTAAGCTTCATTCTTGGAGAAATTTTGACCAGTATTTAGACTATTATAGAGGCCTGGACCATAATATCTCTGACTAATATGAGTTGCAGGGTTGTAGGGTCAAGTTCAATATCATTATTTCTGTGTGTAGATAAACTTTCATTCTGTGAGGGATGATAGATCAAACTTCTTAAACTTAAGCATCTTTTATTGAACATCAGTGGAAGTTAGACTTTGGGCAGAGTTTTGTTGTTATTTGCAATGCCTTGTCAAGAATCTGGTGTTGTTAAAAGAAGGAAAGCTGATGCTAGATGACCGCATGAAGGATAGATGTTAATTAATCAAGTGCTTGCATTTTGTAATCTAAATATCAGAAAATGTAGAGAAACATGAATAGAAAAATATCACATAGATAAGACAGTTGATTGTCCCTAATATTTCCATTCACATGAAAAAAAACTTATGATTTTATATGAAAAGCATCAAGAAAATACCAACATAAACATAATGGAGATAGAGATTCTTGAAAAAGTTCAAAATAGAATAAGACCAGGTGTTTCGGAAGAGTAAACATCTGCTTCATTGACGACACCAGCCATGTAAACCTTGGTCAATCTTGATAAGTTATGTCACGCTTCTCAAATGAGAACAAGGTATACAAACATGGAACCAATAGGCAAACTATGGAGCATCAAACACGTCCAGCTCCATATCACAAAAAGAAATAGAACATTTCTCAATGAGATCACTATGGTGACCTTAAAACTTCACCATAATTTTCATAAAACTATGTTCATAATGTAAAAGGAGGTCATCTGTATCATCTTCTACCAGTAGGCCTACACTTACACAATAGCACAAATATTTAATATTAATTGCTAGTTGGCCTCATATGTAATATAAGTGGCCAGACTCCTAGATCTATACTGGTCCATAAAAATTAATGTTAGAGTAACATATAAGCAACATTATGTAAAAAAAGAAGGTACAGGTGTGTCTTCTACACGTAGCATTAATTACAGTCATTATCACTAAGTTAAGGAAGCATATTTCTTCAGTTTAGTTTGTAGAGCTGTGAATGATCACACCAGATACTCCGATTTTTTTCCTGTTTGGGCTCACAAGCAGGAAAATGTTTTCTCAGTTCTATTACAGTAGCAGTAACAAGTCAGACCTGAACTTTTCAGATGTGCAATATTGTCAGTTAACTTAAAGCTTTATGTATTTTTTCATATGAATTAAAACTTACATTTTACAGTCGGTATTATTCAAACATTAATTCCTATCAAGTGATTTCCGGAAATCCTATTGGTCGTTTTTCCAGTTTAGAAAACCTTTCAAGATGGCGATCTCCACTCGTAAACACGCTTACGGTTTTAACGTTTCAGAACTTGCTTGAAGAGGTGGCTTTCGGTCGATTTGGGACAAAACAAAAGTTAGTGGATTTTGTGGTGTCTTTCGTGATGTTGTCAACATATGTAGTTGCCTCGACAATTAAAATAACACATAATAACCTGTATATATTAGCCGTCTGTTCACATGTGTATCGACAGACGCGGCTAGTACATGTGGTTTGTTATAGAGACGTGCAGATGCTGTCTATAAAACTGTGATAGATTTTAATTGTGCATTATATATCCTTGTCCATTGTGTATACATACAACTTCTCTTTAGCTCGATCTATTGAACATCAGACTAGCAAGCCAGAGGTCTCTTGTTCGATTCCTATCAGTGACCTCTGTTACATTGGTGCCACCATAAGAACTCAGGGATAATACACATAGCATTACTTTCACAAGAAAAACCGTAAACCTGGAAATCCAAGGACAGGTTATTTCCTGGTTATTTCTCTGTAACTTAGGTAAAATATTTACCACAATATACTGCAGGGTTAGGGTGAACTTTAGCTTGATTAGTGTCAGACTAGTAAGCCAGAGGTCCAAGGTTCGAATCCTAGCAGAGACATTTAAAATATACATTGACCACTGTTACATTGGCACCGACGTAAAGACTCAGGAATAATACTTAGCTTTACTTTCACAAGCATCGCCATAAACCTGGGAAAATATTAGCCACAATATATCAATTGGCTAGAGAGAATTCTGTTTAACTTGATTGGTTTGGCATCAGACTGGTAAGCCGGAGGTCCTGGGTTTGAATCCTAGTGGTGGCATTGAAATATCAATAAGGACCTTTGTAGTCAATTGTGCCCTATGTTGTGTGCCACCATACTAGTTAAAATTAGAGGTCTGTAATTTGGCTGGTACTGCTGGGTGTCTGTGGGTTTAATCCCCATGTAAGCAATACTTCTTTCTTTCCTGCTACAGTTACAATATGTTCTGAGTACTTCATATATACCAAAGCAAATACATAATGGCTTTTGTTAAATGCTAAAGTAGCCAGGTGATGTTGATTAAAACATCTGTTGTAGAAATAAGGACATACACCGAGAATAACCCAGATTTTAAAGTTAGCTCGTCAGTCATGTAAAATTACAGCAAGGATAGTTTTATTTCACACTTTCATTTTATACCCTGGTTTGTTTCTAAATACTTACTGGATTATCTTGTCAGGAGGAGAGTTCAGGACATTTCATTCTCAACTGAGATGATCTATCATTCATGTTCAGTCACCAGAATTTGCAATTTATTTCTCTATCATGGTGAAATGATATATTTTCATAGTGCTCAAATTTTGTGGTTTTACCAGTGTATGCATTTTTGTCATTAGCACTTGATATTGTGGATGGTTCTTGCTCACGATCTCCTTAACGACTAAAACTCATGTTGATTGTTATTGGTTTATCATTTCCGGCATGTGTGATTTCGTAGATTAAGACCCCATTTTTATCCAGTTATTCCTTCAGTATTATTAATGTGAAGAATTGATATTTACTTTGAGATATTAAAATCACACTGATGTCACTACTACAGAGTAGAGAAGTTCATGTTTACGTCAAGAAATGAATATGCAAAATTCCTAATGTTATTGGGAGGATGGCTTATTCTACCTTAGATGGATTAATAGTACCTATGCTGTTTAATTTCCTCTGTTTAAAAATGGTTTATATATTTTGTACAATAATGGTATCTTTTTATGTACAAATATCTGTAGTTCAGTATATGATAACCTCACTCTGCTAACAACATTTACTTTAGATTTTAGTAAGTTATGTAGCTATAGAGAGTGGTATGCATAATGATGTAGAAATATTCAATTTGTTTTGTAGTTATTTTTCTAAAAATCATTAACAAAATCAAAATTTGAAAAGAAGACATACCACAAATTCAACAAAAATGAATGATTTTACAGAAGTCAGTGAATGTTTAAAAAGTGTCAGATTTGATTGATTTATGCTATAGTTGTTCAGATCTATAGAATGGATCCTTTGCAGTAGTTGTGTGGAATGTATAAGTTGTCCCTCAGAAAGGAATGACAATTATTTTAGTCGACTTGCTTATAATTGTCTCTGTTGAATTGTTTTATTATCTATTTGCTTATATATCAGGTTGACTACATGCTGCTTAAGCAAGTACATTGGAGACTCTTGGTAACTGAATGCTCCAGACATCTCATCAGAGCTACAAGATCTAAGGTGCGTGATTGGAGATGACTATAGAATAAGGTTGAAGGAAAATTTCCTCTGGTCAGTAATGAGACATTCATAGGAAACATGAGTGTCTGTATTCTTGTTTCATAATAACTAACAAGTGAAAGTGAGATGATTTTGTAACTATCCTACAGGTGAACATGTCAATGCCATCAGGCAAATTTTTTCAGAAAGTTTATCCAAATTTGATTCTAAATTGTATCAGAAGGCATAAAACTAAAATTATGACAAGAAATTCACAATAAACAATAATTGTACCATTGTTAATCATTACTGTCTTGTAGATGTCAGGGGTTGTTGTTACGATAGGTGATACCAAGGTGGAAAAAATGGCGGAAGACTCAGAGAAAAAAATAGAGGACACTGGAGAAGTCAAAGGCGAAAAACGAAAACTGGAGAGTGAGGAAGTGGCAACTTCATTTAAGAGAGAAAAAACAGAACAAATTACTGAGGTAAGTATAGTGTGTTGAGATCTTCTAGATACTGAAGCTACTGCTTTTATACTATCCAGGAGTCCAACACATTACCTCCAACTCAAAGTCAGTAGATGGACTTATTACAGGACAATAAGCCCATTGGGCTTTCATGTTATTTCTGACAAAATGTCAGGAGGCAGGCTTATTACAGGACTATATCGGGTTAAACTATTACAGAACAGTAAGCCTAAAGCCAACACATAACCTCCAACTAAAAGTCGGGATTGGCTGGTATAGGGCAGTAGAATAGTATTTATGGATGGCATAATACCAAGCATAGGCTTATTGATAGTTAAATATAGTAGTGAAATTCACTTAAAATATCAGTCAAAAGGTGTCTCATCTCTCCACAAAATATCATTGTCTAATCATTCCATGTCACACTCTCCATAACATCATTGTCTAATCATTCCATGTCACACTCTCTAAAACATCAGTGTCTCATTATTACATGTCACACTCTCCACAAAATATCATTGTCTCATTATTCCATGTCACAATCTCCATAACATCATTGTCTCATTATTACATGTCACACTCTCCACAAAATATCATTGTCTAATCATTCCATGTCACACTCTCTAAAACATCAGTGTCTCATTATTACATGTCACACTCTCCACAAAATATCATTGTCTCATTATTCCATGTCACAATCTCCATAACATCATTGTCTCATTATTACATGTCACACTCTTCACAAAATATCATTGTCTCATTATTCCATGTCACAATCTCCATAACATCATTGTCTCATTATTACATGTCACACTCTCCACAAAATATCATTGTCTAATCATTCCATGTCACAATCTCCATAACATCATTGTCTCATTATTACATGTCACACTCTCTAAAACATCAGTGTCTCATTATTACATGTCACACTCTCCACAAAATATCATTGTCTCATTATTCCATGTCACAATCTCCATAACATCATTGTCTCATTATTACATGTCACACTCTCCACAAAATATCATTGTCTCATTATTCCATGTCACACTCTCCATAACATCATTGTCCCATCGTTCCATGTCACACTCTCTAAAACATCATTGTCTCATTATTCCATGTCATACTCTCCATAACATCATTGTCTCATTATTCCATGTCACACTCTCCATAACATCATTGTCCCATCGTTCCATGTCATACTCTCTAAAACGTCATTGTCTCATTATTCCATGTCACACTCTCTAAAACATCATTGTCTCATTATTCCATGTCATACTCTCCACAAAATATCATTGTCTCATTATTCCATGTCACACTCTCCATAACATCAGTGTCTCATCATTTATTGTAACACTCTCTAAAACATCAGTGTCTCATTATTACATGTCACACTCTCCACAAAATATCATTGTCTCATTATTCCATGTCACAATCTCCATAACATCATTGTCTCATTATTACATGTCACACTCTCCACAAAATATCATTGTCTAATCATTCCATGTCACACTCTCTAAAACATCAGTGTCTCATTATTACATGTCACACTCTCCACAAAATATCATTGTCTCATTATTCCATGTCACAATCTCCATAACATCATTGTCTCATTATTACATGTCACACTCTCCACAAAATATCATTGTCTAATCATTCCATGTCACACTCTCTAAAACATCAGTGTCTCATTATTACATGTCACACTCTCCACAAAATATCATTGTCTCATTATTCCATGTCACAATCTCCATAACATCATTGTCTCATTATTACATGTCACACTCTTCACAAAATATCATTGTCTCATTATTCCATGTCACAATCTCCATAACATCATTGTCTCATTATTACATGTCACACTCTCCACAAAATATCATTGTCTAATCATTCCATGTCACACTCTCTAAAACATCAGTGTCTCATTATTACATGTCACACTCTCCACAAAATATCATTGTCTCATTATTCCATGTCACAATCTCCATAACATCATTGTCTCATTATTACATGTCACACTCTCCACAAAATATCATTGTCTCATTATTCCATGTCACACTCTCCATAACATCATTGTCCCATCGTTCCATGTCACACTCTCTAAAACATCATTGTCTCATTATTCCATGTCATACTCTCCATAACATCATTGTCTCATTATTCCATGTCACACTCTCCATAACATCATTGTCCCATCGTTCCATGTCATACTCTCTAAAACGTCATTGTCTCATTATTCCATGTCACACTCTCTAAAACATCATTGTCTCATTATTCCATGTCATACTCTCCACAAAATATCATTGTCTCATTATTCCATGTCACACTCTCCATAACATCATTGTCCCATCGTTCCATGTCATACTCTCTAAAACGTCATTGTCTCATTATTCCATGTCACACTCTCTAAAACATCATTGTCTCATTATTCCATGTCATACTCTCCACAAAATATCATTGTCTCATTATTCCATGTCACACTCTCCATAACATCAGTGTCTCATCATTTATTGTAACACTCTCTAAAACAACTTTGTCTCATTATTTATTTTAACACTCTCCATAACATCAGTATTTTCCTTTACTGTGCATATAAATTACAGATTGAAGTCTCTTTTGACATGGAAACAAAACATTTATTGTTTGTTTATCCTGTTAGTTTCCAGTTGACAAATCAGAAGATTTGATGAAAGGGTAAAACTTTAATATATTATGATTAATAATAACTGTTTTTGGCCTTTTTCAGACTGACACAGAAACAGCACCCCTGAAGAAGAAAAAAGTAGCCCTACTCTTGTCTTATAGTGGTAAAGGATTTTTTGGTCTTCAGAAGTGAGTTGATCTTCTTCTCATGTGTGAATTGACCTATTATATAGGTTTTTCTTCTCATATATGAATTTACCTCCTTTATCTGGATTTTGTTCTCAAGTGTATCTGATAGTGGAGCTATTTTCCCAGCTGTCATCCTAATATCTGGGTCAGTTCCTAACAGTTTATCTGATAGTGGAGCTATTTTCCCAGCTGTCATCCTAATATCTAGGTTCAGTTCCTAGCAGTTTATCTGATAGTGGAGCTATTTTCCCTGCTGTCATTCTAATATCTGGGTCAGTTCCTAACAGTTTATCTGATAGTGGAGCTATTTTCCCAGCTGTCATCCTAATATCTAGGTTCAGTTCCTAGCGATTTATCTGATAGTGGAGCTGTTTTCCCTGCTGTCATCCTAATATCTGGGTCAGTTCCTAGCGGTTTATCTGATAGTGGAGCTGTTTTCCCTGCTGTCCTTCTAATATCTGGATCAGTTCCTAGCAGTTTATTTGATAGTGGAGCTGTTTTCCCTGCTGTCATTCTAATATCTAGGTTCAGTTCCTAGCGGTTTATCTGATAGTGGAGCTGTTTTCCCTGCTGTCATTCTAATATCTAGGTTCAGTTCCTTGCGGTTTATCTGATAGTGGAGCTGTTTTCCCTGCTGTCATTCTAATATCTGGGTCAGTTCCTAGCAGTTTATCTGATAGTGGAGCTGTTTTCCCTGTTGTCATTCTAATATCTGGGTCAGTTCCTGGCAGTTTATCTGATAGTAGCCTGTTTCCCTGCTGTCATTCTAATATCTGGGTCAGTTCCTAGCAGTTTATCTGATAGTGGAGCTGTTTTCCCTGCTGTCATTCTAATATCTGGGTCAGTTCCTAGCAGTTTATCTGATAGTGGAGCGGTTTTCCCTGCTGTCATTCTAATATCTGGGTCAGGTCCTGGCAGTTTATCTGATAGTGGAGCTGTTTTCCCTGTTGTCATTCTAATATCTGGGTCAGTTCCTAGCAGTTTATCTGATAGTGGAGCTGTTTTCCCTGCTGTCATTCTAATATCTGGGTTCAGTTCCTAGCGGTTTATCTGATAGTGGAGCTGTTTTCTCTGTTGTCATTCTAATATCTGGGTCAGTTCCTAGCAGTTTATCTGATAGTGGAGCTGTTTTCCCTGTTGTCATTCTAATATCTGGGTTCAGTTCCTAACAGTTTATCTGATAGTGGAGCTGTTTTCCCTGCTGTCATTTTAATATCTGGGTTCAGTTCCTAGCGGTTTATCTGATAGTGGAGCTGTTTTCCCTGTTGTCATTCTAATATCTGGGTTCAGTTCCTAGCGGTTTATCTGATAGTGGAGCTGTTTTCCCTGCTGTCATTCTAATATCTGGGTCAGTTCCTAGCGGTTTATTTGATAGTGGAGCTGTTTTCCCTGTTGTCATTCTAATATCTGGGTCAGTTCCTAGCGGTTTATCTGATAGTGGAGCTGTTTTCCCTGCTGTCATTCTAATATCTGGGTTCAGTTCCTTGCAGTTTATCTGATAGTAGCCTATTTTCCCCTGTTGTCATTCTAATATCTGGGTCAGTTCCTAGAGGTTTATTTGATAGTGGAGCTGTTTTCCCTGTTGTCATTCTAATATCTGGGTCAGTTCCTGGCAGTTTATCTGATAGTGGAGCTGTTTTCCCTGTTGTCATTCTAATATCTGGGTCAGTTCCTGGCAGTTTATCTGATAGTGGAGCTGTTTTCCCTGCTGTCATTCTAATATCTGGGTTCAGTTCCTAGCGGTTTATCTGATAGTGGAGCTGTTTCCCCTGTTGTCATTCTAATATCTGGGTTCAGTTCCTAGCGGTTTATCTGATAGTGGAGCTGTTTTCCCTGCTGTCATTCTAATATCTGGGTCAGTTCCTAGCGGTTTATTTGATAGTGGAACTGTTTTCCCTGTTGTCATTCTAATATCTGGGTCAGTTCCTAGCGGTTTATCTGATAGTGGAGCTGTTTTCCCTGCTGTCATTCTAATATCTGGGTTCAGTTCCTAGCGGTTTATCTGATAGTGGAGCTGTTTTCCCTGTTGTCATTCTAATATCTGGGTTCAGTTCCTAGCGGTTTATCTGATAGTGGAGCTGTTTTCCCTGCTGTCATTCTAATATCTGGGTCAGTTCCTAGCGGTTTATTTGATAGTGGAGCTGTTTTCCCTGTTGTCATTCTAATATCTGGGTCAGTTCCTAGCGGTTTATCTGATAGTGGAGCTGTTTTCCCTGCTGTCATTCTAATATCTGGGTTCAGTTCCTAGCGGTTTATCTGATAGTGGAGCTGTTTTCCCTGCTGTCATTCTAATATCTGGGTCAGTTCCTAGAGGTTTATTTGATAGTGGAGCTGTTTTCCCTGTTGTCATTCTAATATCTGGGTCAGTTCCTAGCAGTTTATTTGATAGTGGGGCTGTTTTCCCTGTTGTCATTCTAATATCTGGGTTCAGTTCCTAGTGGTTTATTTGATAGTGGAGCTGTTTTCCCTGTTGTCATTCTAATATCTGGGTCAGTTCCTAGCGGTTTATCTGATAGTAGCCTATTTTCCCTGTTGTCATTCTAATATCTGGGTCAGTTCCTAGCGGTTTATCTGATAGTAGCCTATTTTCCCTGTTGTCATTCTAATATCTGGGTCAGTTCCTGGCAGTTTATCTGATAGTGGATCTGTTTTCCCTGCTGTCATTCTAATATCTGGGTCAGTTCCTGGCAGTTTATCTGATAGTAGCCTGTTTCCCTGTTGTCATTCTAATATCTGGATCAGTTCTTAGCAGTTTATTTGATAGTGGAGCTGTTTTCCCTGTTGTCATTCTAATATCTGGGTTCAGTTCCTAGCGGTTTATCTGATAGTGGAGCTGTTTTCCCTGTTGTCATTCTAATATCTGGGTCAGTTCCTAGCGGTTTATTTGATAGTGGAACTGCTTTCCCTGTTGTCATTTTAATATCTGGGTCAGTTCCTTGCAGTTTATCTGATAGTGGAGCTGTTTTCCCTGTTGTCATTCTAATATCTGGGTCAGTTCCTGGCAGTTTATCTGATAGTGGAGCTGTTTTCCCTGCTGTCATTCTAATATCTGGGTTCAGTTCCTAGCGGTTTATCTGATAGTGGAGCTGTTTTCCCTGTTGTCATTCTGATATCTGGGTCAGTTCCTAGCGGTTTATTTGATAGTGGAACTGCTTTCCCTGTTGTCATTTTAATATCTGGGTCAGTTCCTAGCGGTTTATCTGATAGTGGAGCTGTTTTCTCTGTTGTCATTCTAATATCTGGGTCAGTTCCTTGCAGTTTATCTGATAGTGGAGCTGTTTTCCCTGTTGTCATTCTAATATCTGGGTCAGTTCCTGGCAGTTTATCTGATAGTGGAGCTGTTTTCCCTGCTGTCATTCTGAGGTGTAGTCATCAACATCTACTCCCACAGAATATTCAAGTCATGTAAGTTTGTGAAATGTAACAAAAAGATTTTGTCAACAGAAAATCAGAATAGTAAATTAAAATTGTACTTGTGTTTCAGGTAATACAAATAATCTGTTACTTAGTTTAATGGAAGCTCTTGATTTCACACAATTTTGGTGCATTGTAATAATAGTTGATAACACATTTCAGACAAAAAGATCTGCCTACTATAGAAGGAACTCTAATCAAAGCACTTCTTGATGTGGGTGTAATAACAAAGGAAGATGGAGAAACACCACAGAAGGTCAGTTCAGATTCCAAAGGCTTATGCCATTGTGTGGTGTGCCTTGTCAAGGCTTTTATTTAAACAACTTAATTTCAATAACCAAGAGGTGCAGGGATATGCTGTTAGGCTAGCAGTATACTAGTACAAAGGCCTACTTGGTCTGTTCAAATGAATTATCTTGACTCACTTTCAATGTCACAGGGGTCAAATATGGTAAAACGTGAAGCAATTTCTTCAAAGGAACAAAAAGGCTCTGGGTCATGGTATTTATATAGAAGCGAGCTTAGGAATCGGGTTTTCAAGATGGCGGAATTTGACTTCTCACAAAATGTGGGTGTCATTGAACTCCCAAGGCATCAGTTAATCATCTGTTGCGTAAACAGAACAGACAAATCACAAGAGGATCAATGTGTCTTTGATTAACTAACTGTGTGAAATCTGACTGGAACTACTTTGTGATGCAATGTCACCATGCTAAATGCCCACACAAACAGTGGGAAATGATGGGGTTGAATTAGTTTCTGTTTTTTAGGATTGTATTATGGTGGCATATGTAAATGATCATGAGCACTAGGGGCACTGTTCCTTTTATATCTGGAAATGTCAAGGTGTTATTTACTCTAGTGACAATGACAATTCTGACTGACATTAAAAATGAATGAATGTACAATTTAGCAATTCACATGCTTAGGAAAAGTAAATCGCACAAAAAGTAGAACATGATTGTTGTTGTAATAAGATGAATTTTTAGATTGATTTCTATCAATTTATTGTTTCGAAATTAATTACTTGTTATAGTTCGTAATGAATTATGTATATTATTTTTTCATATTCCTGAAGTTGTCAGTTTTACTTATTAATTACTGACATTTCACTACAGGTCATGTCATTACGTCACAACTTATATTATATACAAATTCAACCTTGTTGTATATGCTATTCTTTCACTATTGTTTTTTTCATAAAAAATTACAAAAATACTCTCTTAAAAGCAAGTGGTTTTTTGTAACTTATGAAAACTATTAAATTGAAGTGAAAGAAATACCACATACAACAGACACTCATTGCATAACTTTAAATCAACCAACAAAAAATTAGTTATTAGTAAATTTCAAAGGGCCAAAGGTCACATCTGATAACTTGTGGAAATTCATCTGACAGTGATACATGACTTGTATGCATTTGATTGGGGCATTCATGTCTTATGGACATTTTCTATTATTAGATACTGTAAACTTGAATGGTCAGCAAATTTTTACCATCTCCATGGGCCTTGCTGTGTGTCTTGCATATTTTCCTATTTTAAACTTGTTGAGATGGATCTATAGGATTTTGCTCACATTTCCCTGAAATAATTGCTATCATCATATTCATTCCAGTTAATTTTGACAGTACAAAACATGATTATCATTGTTTTGGCGAGTTGTTTTGAAATGAAAAGATCAATTGCCATATCCATCTGACAATAAGGCCATTTCTGATAATAAGGCCACCCCTTATATCAAGATACAGTTTGATAGAATTAACAATCAATGCTGTTCCATTATCCTTTAATAAGCCCACCCCTTACAAAGTTTGAGTTAATCAAAATTTTCTGGCCTCTGACCTTATCACAGAATATGACAAGACTTAAATTTATATAAAGCTATTTTTGACATATCCTGTTGTATGTTGTTGGACAGATGTGGTTCCAGCGGGCTGCGAGGACTGATAAGGGGGTGTCTGCAGCAGGAAATATGGTCTCTCTTAAGATATGTATCTGTATTGGTCATACACACTTATATTTAGAAAATGTAAAACTTCTAATCTTTGTTGCTGGTCTTGTTCCACATTAAAAGTAGACTTGTCTTTTCAAAAAATAAAATTTCAAGTTATCACTGATAGACCTATACAACAATAAAGAAGATTTATCTATGAAATAAATTTAAACTTCAAAATCATGGTTGCCGGCACTGATGCAAAATTTTACAAAAAGAAGATGTCAGTTAAGTCTAGATTTCCCGAAGAATTCCTGTAAGGTAAGATTTCTGCTATTGAAGACATATTTATCAAGTTTGCCCATGGTCAATATTTCTCTTCAAGGTTCAAAATGACACCATATTGACGGTTATGAAAGGCCCATCATTTTTGTATGACATACGTACTGGTATTTCAGTTGTTTCCTTGTAAATATGAAAGAAATAATCTTATATTACAAATTAACTTTCAGACATGATAATCAACAAATGTGTTCATTTTCTTAACAGAGAACAAATATCCTAAAATCTTAATAAGAATATAAAAGATTATCCTCTAAGACAGGGTCCGTTCTAAATTTAGAAACATGAAGTTCATGGTCTGGCTGTTCTGAAATTTAGAGACATAGAGTCCATGTGCTCGATATCGACCTGCATATGACAGCTTCCTATCTAATCAGAACAAGTCAAAATCTTGACATATCTAATATTTTGTGCTTAGATTATTGCTTTCGCATAATTTATTTTATTATCGTGATAATATAAATCATGTTAACATCACTGTATGTGTTGTCTTATCTTTTCTCTCTGTTTATACATGTCGTTGCATGTGGAAAACTTTATAGAGGAAATCAACAAAGTGTTACCCGAACAGATAAAAGTTCAAGGTAGGTTCACAGGAAATGGACAAAGTGTTACCTGAACAGGTAAAAGTTCATGGTAGGTTCACAGGAAATGGACAAAGTGTTACCTGAACAAGTAAAAGTTCAAAATCAATACATCAACAAAGAATGACCCTTTCACAGTGGTGGCGCCATATAAAAGCAATTGCTTGTTATTTTTAAAGCTGATCATCTGTGTGTTATCTAGATGAGTTAAACACCAGTCTTTTGAAATATTATAAAAGTATAACCTACTTAGCAACCTCTCACTAGACCAAGTTGGCTGAGACATATACAAGTGTAAGAAATAGCATATGTTTATTTGACTGAATCCTTCAATCTGTATAGAAAATTACTTCAGTTATGACTGTGCAACTCTGTAAAGTACATGAATCATATATGGAATCATAATGCAGATGCTGAATTTGTCAAATATTTCGCTTTTTGTTGCATTGTTTATGACAACATCTGTAGATCAAAATATCTATAGTATTTATATGATTAATTTCTGCCAACCCCCTTAAAAACAGGCCTTATATGTCTCTGCTTAACTATAATGATTTGTAGGGGATCTCACAATACTTTCCATGGCATATGAGATTTATGAAACAAACTTTGATTTTTTTCCTTTTACCAAAACTTTATGTGAGGGAAAAACAAAAACTTGACAATTTAGAAAATATCTTTCTGTAAAAAATGGTAGGGGTGTGTTTATAATGATATCTAATGCCTGTGTTCTCTGTGATCTTCTGTATACACACATGAATACTTTACCTTGTTATTATAGCTTGTATCAGAACAACAAAGGGATTTGACAGTAAAAACTTCTGTGATGGAAGAACATACTCCTACCTCACTCCAACATTTGCATTTGCCCCTCGTACCCTGGTGAGTCACAATTATTTTTACTTGTAACTACGTACTGTATGTGTTATTTTTTTCGCTAGTGTTTAATTTGAGCTATATATGTCATACAACTGCACAGCAACTAATATTGACCAGGCAAATCTTAAGTGAGAGTAATGTTACTTGATATTTCTTCCTGTTCTGCTGTGGTGAAAATATGACATGACTAAATTAAATTGTTTTGAACACCACGTGTCATTATACAGTATGTGGAACATATTTTATGGCAGTAGAGGTACCAGGCCAATGTGACCTGTATAAACCTTTGTTATCCAGACATTATTACAAAGTAAATATTTTACCAGCTATTACAGAATCTTTTAAATGCCATTTACATATATTTTCAGGCAGTCACAGAAGGATACAGAATACCAAGTAAGTGGTCTGTGATAATTGAATTAAAAGATCAGGATCTGATGTGTTCAAGCCAGACAGATAAGGGTGAAAGTGCAATGTCTCCTGTCAGTAACATGTGATAGATTGTAATATTATCTACACTGGTAAGGGTGAAAGTTCAATGTCTCCTGTCAGTAACATGTGATAGATTGTAATATTATCTACACTGGTAAGGGTGAAAGTGCAATGTCTCCTGTCAGTAACATGTGATAGATTGTAATATTATCTACACTGGTAAGGGTGAAAGTTCAATGGTTTCTGTCAGTAACATGAGAGATCGTATCTACACTGGTAAGGGTGAAAGTTCAATGTCTCCTGTCAGTAACATGTGATAGATTGTAATATTATCTACACTGGTAAGGGTGAAAGTTCAATGTCTCCTGTCAGTAACTTGAGAGATTGTATCTACACTGGTAAGGGTGAAAGTTCAATGGTTTCTGTCAGTAACATGAGAGATTGTATCTACCCTGGTAAGGGTGAAAGTTCAATGTCTCCTGTCAGTAACATGAGAGATCGTATCTACACTGGTAAGGGTGAAAGTTCAATGTCTCCTGTCAGTAACATGAGAGATTGTATCTACACTGGTAAGGGTGAAAGTTCAATGGTTTCTGTCAGTAACATGAGAGATTGTATCTACCCTGGTAAGGGTGAAAGTTCAATGTCTCCTGTCAGTAACATGAGAGATCGTATCTACACTGGTAAGGGTGAAAGTTCAATGTCTCCTGTCAGTAACATGAGAGATCGTATCTACACTGGTAAGGGTGAAAGTTCAATGTCTCCTGTCAGTAACATGTGATAGATTGTAATATTATCTGCACTGGTAAGGGTGAAAGTTCAATGTCTCCTGTCAGTAACATGAGAGATCGTATCTACACTGGTAAGGGTGAAAGTTCAATGTCTCCTGTCAGTAACATGAGATAAAGCAGTTCTTCCTCAACCTGATTATGTTCTGTAGATAGAAGAATCATGTGCTCTACAGATAATGTCCACTCTAGTAATAATAAGTTTGTATAAAATATATTTCATTAACTCTTCAGTGAAGGGCATATACCCAGTAGTGTCATAACCTTAAGTTCTACATGTATCATATTTCGATGATCTTTGGTTGAGGTTAAAGGGTCAAAGGTAACATTTTTCAAGGGAATGTGAGCATTTATGTCGTGATGAAAATTTCCTTGTTTCTAATAAATATTATATAAGGAAACATTATTAGTCTTGTTGATCAAAATCACATGACAAGTCACATGACTACAGTTCAAAGTCAGCGAGTCAAAGAACAAGGTCAAACTGTCTATCTCTTAGCTGGTAAACAATTTTCAAATGAAAATTCAAAGATGATTGGACTTAAATGGAGAGTCACATGACCATAATTAAAGATTATGAGTCCAATATCAAAGCTGAATTGTTGATTTTTGAACCAATGAATATGAAGTAAGGAACAAGAACTATATTCTTGGTAAGTAAAGATAGACATAAAAAAATGTTGTAGCAATTGAGTGTGTTTTATTCACAACATTGCCTTTGTTCTTTTACAGATGATACTGTACAAAGAATTAGAGAAATCATAAAGAGATTTGAAGGAACTCATAACTTCCACAACTTCACGTCAGGATTGTAAGTATAGATATTCAATTGATTGCGTGTTATGTCAGGGAAGGTATATATTCAAGGGATCCAGTATGAGTATGCATTGATGTAGATATTTATTATTATATATAAATATTGTATGTGTATATACATTTTCAAGATTGTGTGTTTGATAATTGTTATTTGAAATATATAATTGTGCTTTCAGGAAGCCAACAGAGGCCAGAGCTAAACGATATATCATCGATTTTCAGGTATATTGTATTACTTAAACTTAATACCAATGTAGTAGACAAATCAAGACATGATTGAGCCAGTTTTGTAAGTTTCATTCTTAAAAGTTGTTACTAGCGACAAAGTGAATTTTGACTAGATTTAATTAGAAGTATCCTGTGGGGAAGTGGAACCAATTTCAGGCAATTCTTTAAAATCCTCTCGTAGGAATGACTCTTGGCTGGAAGGGGAACTTGTGCAAACTGGTGTCAGGATTCTGTCTCAATTAGGTCTGAAGCATTCTAGGTTGAAGGGGAAACAATTTTGTATAAATAGTGTGTCTCAGTCTCTTGGGGCAGGAAGGGCAAGCCCAATCAGGGTAATAGAGCAATTGCAAATTTGTTAAAATCATTCTTCTTTTGTAGGAATGCCTGTATTCTCTCCCAGTTTTGTCTGCAACATGCTTGGTTGAAGGGGAATCAATTTTGTATAAGCAGTTGGTCTGAGCTCCCTTGGATGAAAGGGATGGGGCCAAATTGTTGAAATAAAGCAAATTCTTTAAAATCCTTCTTCTTCTGTAGGAATGGCAGGATTCTGTTCCAGTTTGATCTTAAGCCTGCTTTGGCGAAGATAATTGTGGTATAAATGATTCTGGCTGACTCCTGTGGGGGCAAAGGGATAAGTGGGGAAGTAAATATAAACCTTTACTTTTTCTTCTACTTTCAATGAAGCAATTTCAGTAAAACAAAGCTAGGGGAGCAATACAGGCCCTATGGCCTCTCTTTCAAAGATAGTCTAATACATCCTTGGGTGAAGGGGCTTCAATTTTGTATATAGAATCTTTATACACAATATTTCATATATGATTTTATAAGATTGATAAGTTCCTATATTTCATTGGCAAAAACAGTGAGAAAATGTCTTTTTATAGAGTATATTTCTTGGTTAGAGTATGCCTTGTCTTAATACAATGTAGATTTCTGTGTTAAAGTATACCTTGTCAATGTATATATCCTTGTTAGAGTTTACCTTTTCTTAGCACAATGTACATTTCTGTGTTAGAGTATACCTTGTCTTAATACAATGTACATTTCTGTGTTAGAGTATACCTTGTCTTAATACAATGTACATTTCCTTGTTAGAGATTACCTTGTCTTAATACAATGTACATTTCCTTGTTAGAGATTACCTTGTCTTAATACAATGTACATTTCCTTGTTAGAGTTTACCTTGTCTTAATACTATTTACATTTCTGTGTTAGAATATGCCTTCTCTTAATACAATGTATATATCTGTGTTAAAGTATACCTTGTCTTAATACAATGTATATATCTGTGTTAAAGTATACCTTGCCTTAATACAATGTATATATCTGTGTTAAAGTATACCTTGTCTTAATACAATGTATATATCTGTGTTAAAGTATCCCTTGTCTTAATACAATGTATATATCTGTGTTAAAGTATACCTTGTCTTAATACAATGTATATATCTGTGTTAAAGTATACCTTGTCTTAATACAATGTATATATCTGTGTTAAAGTATACCTTGTCTTAATACATTGTATATTTCCTTGTTTGAGTTAACCTTGCCTTAATACAATGTATATATCTGTGTTAGAGTATGCCTAGTCTTAATACAAAGTTTATTTCCTTGTCGGAGAATATTATGTCTTAATACCTTTTGGTTGCAGTGTGGTGACCCCTTTGTACGGGATGACATTGAGTTTGTACAATTAACAGTTCGAGGACAAAGCTTCATGCTTCATCACATTCGCAAAATGATTGGTGAGTTTTCCTAGTGTTGATAAAGATACATGTGCACCCTCAGAAATTTACTTGTACACCCCCTATGGTGTGTCTGTACTCCCCTATGTTGAATTTGTACTCCCCCCTATGGTGTGTCTGTACTCCCCCTATATTGTGTCTGTACTCCCCGTATGGTGTGTCTGTACTCCCCCTATGTTGTGTCTGTACTCCCCCTATGGTGTGTCTGTACTCCCCCTATGGTTTGTCTGTACACCTACATTGTATCTGTACTCCCCCAATGGTGTGTCTGTACTCCCACTATGGTGTGATTGTACTCCCCCTATGGTGTATCTGTGCTCCCCGTATGGTGTGTCTGTACGCCCCCTATGGTGTCTGTATACCCCCTATGGTGTATCTGTACTTCCCCTATGTTGTGTCTGTACTTCCCCTATGGTGTGTCTGTACACCCCCTATGGTGTATTTGTACTCCTTCTATGGTGTGTCTGTACTCCCCCTATGTTGTGTCTGTACTCCCCCTATGGTGTGTCTTTACTCCCCCTATGTTGTGTCTGTACACCTCCTACATTGTATCTGTACTCCCCAAATGGTGTGTCTGTACTCCCCCTATGGTGTGATTGTACTCCCCCTATGGTGTATCTGTGCTCCCCCTATGGTGTGTTTGTACTCCTCCTATGGTGTGTCTGTACACCCCCTATGGTGTATCTGTACTTCCCCTATGTTGTGTCTGTACTTCCCCTATGGTGTGTCTGTACACCCCTATGGTGTATTTGTACTCCCCCTATGGTGTATTTGTACTCCCCCTATGGTGTGTCTGTACTCCCCTTACGGTGTGTCTGTACTCTCCCTATGTTGTGTCTGTACTCCCCCTATTTTAGATCTATACTCTCCCTATGGTGTGTCTGTACTACCCCTAAGGTGTATCTGTACCACGCCTATGGCGTGTCTGTACACCTCCTACATTGTATCTGTACTCCCCCTATGTTGTGTCTGTACGCCCCCTATGGTGTCTGTATACCCCCTATGGTGTATTTGTACTCCCCCTATGGTGTGTCTGTACTCCCCCTATGTTGTGTCTGTACTCCCCCTATGGTGTGTCTGTACTCCCCCTATGTTGTGTCTGTACTCCCCCTATGTTGTGTCTGTACTCCCCCTATGTTGTGTCTGTACACCTCCTACATTGTATCTGTACTCCCCCAATGGTGTGTCTGTACTCCCCTTATGGTGTGTCTGTACTCTCCCTATGTTGTGTCTGTACTCCCCCTATTTTAGATCTATACTCTCCCTATGGTGTGTCTGTACTACCCCTAAGGTGTATCTGTACCACGCCTATGGCGTGTCTGTACACCTCCTACATTGTATCTGTACTCCCCCTATGTTGTGTCTGTACGCCCCCTATGGTGTCTGTATACCCCCTATGGTGTATCTGTACTTCCCCTATGTTTTGTCTGTACTTCCCCTATGGTGTGTCTGTACACCCCCTATGGTGTATTTGTACTCCCCCTATGGTGTGTCTGTACTCCCCCTATGTTGTGTCTGTACTCCCCCTATGGTGTGTCTGTACTCCCCCTATGTTGTGTCTGTACACCTCCTACATTGTATCTGTACTCCCCCAATGGTGTGTCTGTACTCCCTCTATGGTGTGATTGTACTCCCCCTATGGTGTATCTGTGCTCCCCCTATGGTGTGTTTGTATTCCCCCTATGGTGTGTCTGTACTTCCCCTATGTTGTGTCTGTACTTCCCCTATGGTGTGTCTGTACACCCCTATGGTGTATTTGTACTCCCCCTATGGTGTATTTGTACTCCCCCTATGGTGTGTCTGTACTCCCCTTATGGTGTGTCTGTACTCTCCCTATGTTGTGTCTGTACTCCCCCTATTTTAGATCTATACTCTCCCTATGGTGTGTCTGTACTACCCCTAAGGTGTATCTGTACCACGCCTATGGCGTGTCTGTACACCTCCTACATTGTATCTGTACTCCCCCAATGGTGTGTCTGTACTCCCCCTATGGTGTGATTGTACTCCCCCTATGGTGTATCTGTACATCCACATTATTGATCTGTACACTCTAAACATTGCATCTGTACACCCTAAATGTTGTACTTATTCACCCTCAATATTGAACCGCTATATCTTTCATGGTGTATATGTTTGCACACAATGTTGTATCGATACATCTTCAATACTGTATACGTACCTGTACACCCAGTATTCTATCTGTACACCCTCAGTATTATACCCGTACACCCTCAGTATTGTACCTGTACACCCTCAGTATTATACCTGTATACCCTCAGTATTGTACCTATACACCCTCAGTATTATACCTGTATACCCTCAGTATTGTACCTGTACACCCTCAGTATTATACCTGTATACCCTCAGTATTGTACCTATACACCCTCAGTATTATACCCGTACACCCTCAGTATTGTACCTGTACACCCTCAGTATTCTATCTGTATATCCTCAGTATTATACCTGTACACCCTCAGTATTATACCTGTACACCTGCAGTGTTATACCTGTACACCCAGTATTCTATCTGTATATCCTCAGTATTATACCTGTACACCCTCAGTATTCTATCTGTATATCCTCAGTATTATACCTGTACACCCTCAGTATTATACCTGTACACCTGCTGTGTTATACCTGTACACCCAGTATTCTATCTGTATATCCTCAGTATTCTATCTGTATATCCTCAGTATCGTACCTGTACACCCTAAGTATTATACCTGTACACCTGCAGTGTTATACCTGTACACCCAGTATTCTATCTGTACACCCTCAGTATTATACCCGTATATCCTCAGTATTGTACCGGTACACCCTCAGTATTGTACCTGTACACCCTCAGTATTATACCCGTACATCCTCAGTATTGTACTGGTACACCCTCAGTATTGTACCTGTACACCCTCAGTATTATACCCGTACATCCTCAGTATTGTACCGGTACATCCTCAGTATTATACCTATACACCCTCAGTATTGTACCTATACACCCTCAGTATTGTATCTGTATACCCTCAGTATTGTTCCTGTACATCCCCAGTATTATACCCGTACACCCTCAGTATTGTACCTGTACACCCTTAGTATTATACCTGTATACCCTCAGTATTGTTCCTGTACACCCCCAGTATTATACCCGTACACCCTCAGTATTGTACCTGTATACCCTCAGTATTGTTCCTGTACACCCCCAGTATTATACCCGTACACCCTCAGTATTGTACCTGTACACCCTTAGTATTATACCTGTACACCCTCAGTATTATACCTTTACACCCCCAGTATTATACCCGTACACCCTCAGTATTGTACCTGTATACCCTCAGTATTATACCTGTACACCCTCAGTATTATACCTTTACACCCTCAGTATTATACCTGTACACCCTTAGTATTGTACCTGTACACCCTCAGTATTATACCTGTTTACCTGCAGTATTATACCTCAGTATTATACCTGTACACCCTCAGTATTATACCTGTATACTATCAGTATTGTACCTGTATACTCTCAGTATTATACCTATACACCCTCAGTATTATACCTGTACACCCTCAGTATTGTACCTGTTCACCCTCAGTATTGTACCTGTACACCCTCAGTATTGCACCTGTACACCCTCAGTATTATACCTGTACACCCTCAGTATAATACCCATACACCCTCAGTATTATACCTGTACACCCTCAGTATAATACCCATACACCCTCAGTATTGTACCTGTACACCCTCAGTATTATAACCGTACATCCTCAGTATTGTACCTGTACACCCTCAGTATTATAACCGTACATCCTCAGTATTGTACCGGTACACCCTCAGTATTGTACCTGTACACCCTCAGTATTGTACCGGTACACCCTCAGTATTATACCCGTACATCCTCAGTATTGTACCGGTACACCCTCAGTATTATACCCGTACATCCTCAGTATTGTACCGGTACACCCTCAGTATTGTACCTGTACACCCTCAGTATTGTACCGGTACACCCTCAGTATTATACCCGTACACCCTCAGTATTGTACCTTTACACCCTCAGTATTATACCCGTACATCCTCAGTATTGTACCGGTACACCCTCAGTATTGTACCGTTACATCCTCAGTATTATACCTGTACACCCTCAGTATTGTACCTGTATACCCTCAGTATTATACCTGTACACCCTTAGTATTATACCTGTACACCCTCAGTATTGTACCTGTATACCCTCAGTATTGTACCTGTACACCCTTAGTATTATACCCGTACACCCTCAGTATTATACCTGTACACCTGCAGTATTATACCTGTATACCTTCAGTATTGTACCTGTACACCCTCAGTATTATACCTGTGTTTTGATTTTCCATTTTGTACAATTTCTTTTCAGGTTTAACAATGGCCATTGTGAGGGGCCACTGTGATGAGGAAGTAATTGACAAAAGTTATTCCCTTGTCAAGGTAAAAAATAACAATTTTCTCAAGGTAGATATACCCCTACCTAAGTATAGCTAGATGTTTCTGTAGGTAGTTATACCCCTACCTAAGTATAGCTAGATGTTTCTGTAGGTAGTTATACCCCTACCTAGGTATAGCTAGATGTTTCTGTAGGTAGTTATACCCCTACCTAAGTATAGCTAGATGTTTCTCTAGGTAATTATACCCCTACCTAAGTATAGCTAGATGTTTCTGTAGGTAGTTATACCCCTACCTAAGTATAGCTCGATGTTTCTCTAGGTATTTATACCCCTGCCTCAGTATAGCTAGATGTTTCTGTAGGTAGTTATACCCCTACCTCAGTATAGCTAGATGTTTCTCTAGGTAGTTATACCTCTACCTCAGTATAGCTATATGTTTCTGTAGGTAGTTATACCTCTACCTCAGTATAGCTAGATGTTTCTGTAGGTAGTTATACCCCTACCTCAGTATAGCTAGATGTTTCTCTAGGTAGTTATAACCCTACCTCAGTATAGCTAGATGTTTCTGTAGGTAGTTATACCCCTACCTCAGTATAGCTAGATGTTTCTCTAGGTAGTTATACCTCTACCTCAGTATAGCTAGATGTTTCTGTAGGTAGTTATACCCCTACCTCAGTATAGCTAGATGTTTCTCTAGGTAGTTATACCCCTACCTCAGTATAGCTAGATGTTTCTCTAGGTAGTTATACCTCTACCTCAGTATAGCTAGATGTTTCTGTAGTTAGTTATACCCCTACCTCAGTATAGCTAGATGTTTCTCTAGGTAGTTATACCTCTACCTCAGTATAGCTAGATGTTTCTGTAGGTAGTTATACCCCTACCTAAGTATAGCTAGATGTTTCTGTAGGTAGTTATAACCCTACCTCATTATAGCTAGATGTTTCTCTAGATAGTTATACCCCTACCTCAGTATAGCTAGATGTTTCTGTAGGTAGTTATACCCCTACCTCAGTATAGCTAGATGTTTCTGTAGGTAGTTATACCCCTACCTCAGTATAGATAGATGTTATGTTTCTCTCCGTCTAGCATTGATATTATGAAGTGAAATTATGAAATCTTTATTACTTAAAATTGATCATGGTTATTTAAAAGGCTGATATCTCTTTGTTAAGCTTCATTACAATCAAGGTGAGGTTTCTGGAATTAGTATTTTTAACCAACATTCTTTAATGAGAAATCAGGAAAACCCGATTTTAGATTGATGTTAACTCTAAAAGAAGACAGTCTATTGGAATTTTTTAACTACACATGACAGTCTATTGGAATATTTTATACTACACATGACAATTGGTTGGAATATTTTAAACTTCACATGACAATCGGTTTGGATATTTCAAACTACACTTGACAGTCTGTTGATTAACATTGTTCAGTGTTAATGTCACGATGTCCATTGATGATATATTGATTAACTTTGTTCAGTGTTAGTGTCACAATGTCCATTGATGATATATTGATTAACATTGTTCATTTTTAGTGTCACGATGTCCATTGATGATATATTGATTAACTTTGTTCAGTGTTAGTGTCACGATGTCCATTGATGATATATTGATTAACTTTGTTCAGTGTTAGTGTCACAATGTCCATTGATGATATATTGATTAACATTGTTCATTTTTAGTGTCACAATGTCCATTGATGATATATTGATTAACATTGTTCATTTTTAGTGTCACGATGTCCATTGATGATATATTGATTAACATTGTTCAGTGTTAGTGTCACGATGTCCATTGATGATATATTGATTAACATTGTTCATTTTTAGTGTCACGATGTCCATTGATGATATATTGATTAACTTTGTTCAGTGTTAGTGTCACGATGTCCATTGATGATATATTGATTAACATTGTTCAGTGTTAGTGTCACGATGTCCATTGATGATATATTGATTAACTTTGTTCATTTTTAGTGTCACGATGTCCATTGATGATATATTGATTAACATTGTTCATTTTTAGTGTCACGATGTCCATTGATGATATATTGATTAACATTGTTCAGTGTTAGTGTCACGATGTCCATTGATGATATATTGATTAACATTGTTCATTTTTAGTGTCACGATGTCCATTGATGATATATTGATTAACTTTGTTCAGTGTTAGTGTCACGATGTCCATTGATGATATATTGATTAACATTGTTCAGTGTTAGTGTCACGATGTCCATTGATGATATATTGATTAACTTTGTTCATTTTTAGTGTCACGATGTCCATTGATGATATATTGATTAACATTGTTCATTTTTAGTGTCACGATGTCCATTGATGATATATTGATTAACTTTGTTCAGTGTTAGTGTCACGATGTCCATTGATGATATATTGATTAACATTGTTCATTTTTAGTGTCACAATGTCCATTGATGATATATTGATTAACATTGTTCAGTGTTAGTGTCACGATGTCCATTGATGATATATTGATTAACTTTGTTCAGTGTTAGTGTCACGATGTCCATTGATGATATATTGATTAACTTTGTTCAGTGTTAGTGTCACGATGTCCATTGATGATATATTGATTAACATTGTTCAGTGTTAGTGTCACGATGTCCATTGATGATATATTGATTAACTTTGTTCAGTGTTAGTGTCACGATGTCCATTGATGATATATTGATTAACATTGTTCATTTTTAGTGTCACGATGTCCATTGATGATATATTGATTAACATTGTTCAGTGTTAGTGTCACGATGTCCATTGATGATATATTGATTAACATTGTTCATTTTTAGTGTCACGATGTCCATTGATGATATATTGATTAACATTGTTCAGTGTTAGTGTCACGATGTCCATTGATGATATATTGATTAACATTGTTCATTTTTAGTGTCACGATGTCCATTGATGATATATTGATTAACATTGTTCAGTGTTAGTGTCACGATGTCCATTGATGATATATTGAGTGTTAGTGTCACGATGTCCATTGATGATATATTGATTAACATTGTTCATTTTTAGTGTCACGATGTCCATTGATGATATATTGATTAACATTGTTCAGTGTTAGTGTCACGATGTCCATTGATGATATATTGATTAACATTGTTCATTTTTAGTGTCACGATGTCCATTGATGATATATTGATTAACATTGTTCAGTGTTAGTGTCACGATGTCCATTGATGATATATTGATTAACATTGTTCAGTGTTAGTGTCACGATGTCCATTGATGATATATTGATTAACATTGTTCAGTGTTAGTGTCACGATGTCCATTGATGATATATTGATTAACATTGTTCAGTGTTAGTGTCACGATGTCCATTGATGATATATTGATTAACATTGTTCATTTTTAGTGTCACGATGTCCATTGATGATATATTGATTAACATTGTTCAGTGTTAGTGTCACGATGTCCATTGATGATATATTGATTAACATTGTTCAGTGTTAGTGTCACGATGTCCATTGATGATATATTGATTAACATTGTTCATTTTTAGTGTCACGATGTCCATTGATGATATATTGATTAACATTGTTCAGTGTTAGTGTCACGATGTCCATTGATGATATATTGATTAACATTGTTCATTTTTAGTGTCACGATGTCCATTGATGATATATTGATTAACTTTGTTCAGTGTTAGTGTCACGATGTCCATTGATGATATATTGATTAACATTGTTCATTTTTAGTGTCACGATGTCCATTGATGATATATTGATTAACATTGTTCAGTGTTAGTGTCACGATGTCCATTGATGATATATTGATTAACATTGTTCAGTGTTAGTGTCACGATGTCCATTGATGATATGTTGATTACCTTTTTTTAGATTGACGTTCCCAGGGCTCCAGGAAGTGGTCTCATGCTAGAGGAGGTAATCATATTTATATAATCTTTCCACTCCAGTATACATGTGGTCACTGATTAAAATAGATATATGTCATTTGAATCAGATTTTCAGTTGAGGTACTTCAAACATCATTGACATTACTGTAAAATCATCAATTTTTGTGGGGTTTTATTTTCATTTATTCTGTGGTTAATGTTAATCCACAAATTCATATATCCTCCAAGTGATTCACAATTCCGAATTAAAGTTAATTTACAGTAGGTGTGAATTCGTGAGCACTGTATATCAATGAAATCAAATGTCAATAAATTGGTTTTTCTTTTGAAAATTCACAAAAAATGAACCCTTTGAAAACATGTATGATTTTACAATATAGAGTTTCTAGGATAGAACAACTTCAGATCATCAATGCAAGAAATTATTTTTTAAAATTATAATTAGAAACATGTTTTGTTATAGAGAGTTTGACAGTGGCTTTGTTTAGCTATTTTATGAGACGTAAAAGAGGACATTTGAAATCATTGTATGTTATTCTCATGAGAGGCAGGTAATCTTGCAGTGTGATACTATATATATGGTGAAAGTTCTGCCTAAAAAATGTAATATTTCTCTCTCTCACATGTTTTATTTAAAATTGGTCTTTGGTAAAATTTAAAAATGATATCATAAAACTGGGGTTTTATTTTCATTTATGTTCTGTGAGAAATGTTAATCCACAAATATCTTATCCTCCAAGTGATTCACAATCCGAATTAAAGTTAATTTACAGTAGGTGGAGAAACTGTGTATCTGAAATCAAATGTCTAAGAAATTGTGTTTTCTTTTGAAAATTCACAAAAAATGAACCCTAGGAGAAACATGTGTATTTTAGAAAGTATAATGTCCTAGGAGAAACTGTGTATGTAGAAATTATTTTTCTTAATGTCCTAGGAGAAACTGTGTATTATAGAGAGTTTGACAGTATCTTAATGTCCTAGGAGAAACTGTGTATCCTAGAAAGTGTCTTAATGTCCTAGGAGAAACTATGTATTCTAGAAAGTATCTTAATGTCCTAGGAGAAACTGTGTGCCTAAAAATCTTCTGTGTAAAAGTGTCTTAATGTCCTAGGAGAAACTGTGTAAATGATAATGTCTAGGAGAAACTGTGTATCCTAGAAAGTATCTTAATGTCCTAGGAGAAACTGTGTATCCTAGAAAGTATCTTAATGTCCTAGGAGAAACTGTGTATCCTAGAAAGTGTCTTAATGTCCTAGGAGAAACTGTGTATCCTAGAAAGTATCTTAATGTCCTAGGAGAAACTGTGTATCCTAGAAAGTGTCTTAATGTCCTAGGAGAAACTGTGTATCCTAGAAAGTATCTTAATGTCCTAGGAGAAACTGTGTATCCTAGAAAGTATCTTAATGTCCTAGGAGAAACTGTGTATTCTAGAAAGTATCTTAATGTCCTAGGAGAAACTGTGTATCCTAGAAAGTGTCTTAATGTCCTAGGAGAAACTGTGTATTCTAGAAAGTATCTTTATGCCCTAGGAGAAACTGTGTATCCTGGAAATGGCAGAATTCCTCTGAAAAGTCCTCATCCTCCTTCAAATTATGTTTTTTTATGAAACTAAATTAGCTTTTGTTATAGATTTTGTATGATGTAGACTTTCAAAATTCCAAACTTACAGTTAGTTAGATGAATTAAATTGAAATATATACATGTATGACTGTTGCTTTTTTCCCTTTTTTTTGTAGCTACACTATACAGGTTATAACAAGAGATATGGAAGTGATGGCCTTCACCAAAAACTCAGCTGGTCTGACCATAGAGTAAGTGTCAATTTTCATGCATGAAGAATTAATGTGAACAATAATTATTGCTGTTATCACAGAATCAATTTTCAATAGCTCAGCAGAAAAGGAAATTACCACGGTGACACTCACATTGTTTGATAGGTAGAGACTGTATGTTAGCATACAAATGTAGATAAAAGTTTTTGCAATAGTTGACACACGAAAAAAAACAAGATGTAATTACTGTAAAAGAAAAAAAAAATTTTTTTTCATGTATAAAATTGTCTGGAAAAGTGTAGCAAATACAGGAATCTTGACTTGTGTGATTTCAAAGCTGAGTTGGTTTATTTGGTTTTCATATGTTCTCTTTCACAGAGGAAGAAAAGTAACACCTTAATAATGTTGTTATCAAAAGTAAAATTATTGTACTAGTATTATGGTATACTGACTGTAAATGTTATACTATAGAAAAAAAGTTCTTAAGACACAACCAGCAGAAGGTTTGAGTGTGACATTTCGATGACTACACAGTCACCTTCATCATACACATGACCAGTGTGAAGAGTACTGGCTATGCTTTGTTCAACACATGACACTTTGTCATTACCATCGTAGACTTACGATTAATATGAAACAGCAATGAATTTTACAGACAGGTGATAAGGTGTACAATTTTTTTGTATATAATTTTCTTACAGTAACTTTGAAATCTTTTCCAGGAAGCAATAGACAAGTTCAAAGAGGAGCATATCTACCCAGAAATGATCAGAAGTGAAAAAGAGGAACTCTCGTATCTTTTTTACTATGAATTTATGGGATGCTTTCTTTATTACCAATAATTTAAGGGATACTTTGTTTTTTACTATGAATTTATGGGATGCTTTCTTTATTACCAATAATTTAAGGGATACTTTGTTTTTTACTGTGAATTTAGGCGATGCTTTCTTCATTACCATTAATTTAAGGGATACTTTGTTTTTTACCATTAATTTAAGGGATACTTTCTTTATTACCATTAATTTAAGGATACTTTGTTTTTTACTGTGAATTTAGGGGATGCTTTCTTCATTACCATTAATTTAAGGGATACTTTGTTTTTTACTGTGAATTTAGGGGATGCTTTCTTCATTACCATTAATTTAGGGGATACTTTCTTCATTACCATTAATTTAGGGGATGCTTTCTTCATTACCATTAATTTAGGGGATGCTTTCTTCATTACCATTAATTTAGGGGATGCTTTCTTCATTACCATTAATTTAGGGGATGCTTTCTTCATTACCATTAATTTAGGGGATGCTTTCTTCATTACCATTAATTTAGGGGATGCTTTCTTCATTACCATTAATTTAGGGGATACTTTCTTCATTACCATTAATTTAGGGGATGCTTTCTTCATTACCATTAATTTAGGGGATGCTTTCTTCATTACCATTAATTTAGGGGATGCTTTCTTCATTACCATTAATTTAGGGGATGCTTTCTTCATTACCATTAATTTAAGGGATACTTTCTTCATTACCATTAATTTAAGGGATACTTTCTTTATTACCATTAATTTAAGGGATACTTTGTTTTTTACTGTGAATTTAGGGGATGCTTTCTTCATTACCATTAATTTAAGGGATACTTTGTTTTTTACTGTGAATTTAAGGGATACTTTCTCGTTAGCTAAAAAATTATGGGGTACTTTCATTTTTACTAAGCATATGGGGAACTGAGAGTTTTTATTTTTACTGAAAATTTAAAGGGTACTATCTTTTTTACTGAGAATTTATGGAGGACATTCTTTTGTATGGTTTATAGCATTTAGGAGATATTTTATACTTGTGAGTTTTTATGGAGCATTGTTTGAATCTTGTTTTCACAACTAAATTAAAGAGAAAAACAGTAAAGGAGTGACAAAACCCTAAACGGATGACAGTTTCAGGACATTGTCTCCAATTATGTACTCTTGTTGTTGCCAATTCTGTACAAATGTTACGAGGGCCGATTGGTAAGTTGCGTGCCTCATATTAAAGGGTTTGACTTTTGGCGGACATATTGAATTATTTTTTCAATATCAACCCCTTCAGTATCTATACACTTTTGCCAGCAATGTTTAAAGACCTCAATGCCGCTTTTAAGGAATCATTTTCTTGACTGTTCAGAAAGTCCTCTACTGCATGTATGAAGTCATTATCTGACCGAAAGTAGGTACAAGAAATGGCTTTTTTCAACTTTGGAATGAATTTTGGATGACAGTCTGATGGAGCGAGATCATGTGAATAAGGTGAATGCTCAGTTAATTCAAAACCACAGTTGTTAATGGCAGGCTTGCCAATGACAGACATGTGTCTTCTGCTGTACTTTAGTTTAATATTTGCTCTTAACTGCCAGAGAGGTGATGCATAATATGTGCCATTGATTGTTTGTCCCTTTATACCATCAGAATACCATCAGCATCTCAGAAAACAAAGGCCAATACCTTTCCAGCTGATGGATCAGTTTTTGCCTTCTTTGTCAGGGGTGAACCAGGCTGCTTCCATTGTTTAGACTGTTGTTTGGCCTCTGGGGTGCAATGATGGACCCACCTTTCACCAATAGTCACCAACTACTTTAGAAATTAGCAGGATTTGCCTCTGAAAGGTTCAGATTAGCATGTCACAAAGTCCACCTGGTATGCTGGTGATCAACTGTCAGAAGTCTTGCTTCCCAAATGGGCTCAGAGCTTTCTCATTGCAAGAATGGAATGTACTCTTTTCTATGAAATTCCAACTGTACTTGCTATATATTTTTCTGTAGGTTGCTTGTCAGCAAAAACAATATCGTGGAATTTATTGGCCAGTTCTGGGGTTACAGCAGACTGGCCTTCCAGGACGGGTGTCATCCTCAAGGCTCTGCCTGCCATGCTTAAATCCTGCCACCCACATTTTCACGGTAGCATTTGAAGGGGCATCATTCCCTAATGTTGTTACCATATCAATTTGGATATCCTTTCTTATGCATATATTGAATCATTGATCTTTCAGCAATTTTGTCTATTTTGAAAAAGTCACTTGCCTTGTCTAGAGCATTACCTCTTTGACATAAAGTGACCCAATGACACCAGTCTTTGGGTATACTTAAATAGTCAGGAAATAGAAACACTGAAAAAGGACATCCCTGCTTAACTTCTTCAATACAAGGCTGACAACTTATCAATCAGTCCTCATATCTTCAATTCTGTACACCTGTAATCACCAATTTTGTACACCTGTAATCTCCAATTCTGTACACCTGTAATCACCAATTTTGTACACCTGTAATCTCCAATTCTGTACACCTGTAATCACCAATTTTGTACACCTGTAATCACCAATTTTGTACACCTGTAATCTCCAATTCTGTACACGTGTAATCTCCAATTCTGTACATCTGTAATCTCCAATTCTGTACACCTGTAATCTCCAATTCTGTACACCTGTAATCACCAATTCTGTACACCTGTAATCTCCAATTCTGTACACTTGTAATCTCCAAATCTGTACACCTGTAATCTCCAATTCTGTACACCTGTAATCACCAATTCTGTACACCTGTAATCTCCAATTCTGTACACTTGTAATCTCCAAATCTGTACACCTGTAATCTCCAATTCTGTACACCTGTATTCTCCATTTCTTAACACTTGTAATCTCCAAATCTGTACATCTGTAATCTCCCATTTTCTACACCTGTAATCTCCAATTCTGTACATGTGTAATCTCCAAATCTGTACATCTGTAATCTCCCATTTTGTACACCTGTAATCTCCAAATCTGTACACCTGTAATCTCCAAATCTGTACACCTGTAATCACCAAATCTGTACACTTGTAATCTCCAAATCTGTACACTTGTAATCTCCAATTCTGTACACCTGTAATCTCCCATTTTGTACACCTGTAATCTCCAAATCTGTACACCTGTAATCTCCAAATCTGTACACTTGTAATCTCCAAATCTGTACACTTGTAATCTCCAATTCTGTACACCTGTAATCACCAATTCTGTACACCTGTAATCTCCAATTCTGTACACTTGTAATCTCCAAAACTGTACACCTGTAATCTCCAATTCTGTACACCTGTGATATCCAAATCTGTACACTTGTAATCTCCAAATCTGTACATTTGTAATCTCCAATTCTGTACACCTGTAATCACCAATTCTGTACACCTGTAATCTCCAATTCTGTACACCTGTGATATCCAATTTTGTTCACCTGTTATCTCCACTCCTGTTTACCTTTATTCTTTGATGCGAGATGTGCACAATTGCTGTTTTGTGTTTTAAATAATACCTGTGGTTGTGTCTGATATTGTGCACAACTCCACTGGTATCAGACTTGTTAATGATAAGGATGACTGATATTCTTGGTCACAAGGCAGCCGTTATGGATTGTATTTTGTTATGATTATACTGGAGATATCTTACCCATTGGTTACTACATAATTTACATAATCCAGAAGTCTATTTTATAATGTGATACTGGACTTGAAGCCTTAACTGTTCAGAATGAAGATTTGGCTGGGGACCCTTGAGCACCATGACTACGACGAAATACCTCCAGAAAAATTGTTAAACTGGAAATACAAAGATGTGAGTTTGCTTTTTTATATGTAAACAGTCTAACCCCTGATCATTAACTCGGCAGGACCATCGAGTATTGGATTGAAGTAAGTTTGAATGTTTTGTGTAAAGTGAGGCAGGGACCAATGATATGCTTCAAATTAAACAGGGTTTTCATGTAACACGAGTTTGAGATAACAAGGTTCGACTGTATATACTGCATCTTCCAATAAGCTCGGGCAGATACTAAACCACTGAGGTGTGGCCACGTTACCTGTGTAGTGTGGGTGCCATCTTGTGCCAGCGTAAAACTTGATTGGGAAGTAAGACAACTAAGCTGTCCATATAATATGAGAACCATATTGTTTGCCTGTTAAACCTGACCAATACAAAGTACATAGAAAGTGAAGCTACAATAAGCTACATGAAATGTCTTGTATAATATACCAGATATCTCATATATCTAAATAAGATATTATATCTAAAGCTTTATATAATATATGATTTATTCTATATATCCTAGTAAGATAGGTGATATGTTATTTAAGGTATCATATATAATTGAAATAAAAATATATAAGATATATATGTATATATAAATATAATAAGGACCGTTATTGCTCTTTGAATAAGAAAGATCGGCCATAAAATTGTTGAAGGATACAAAAATGTATTTCCATATAATGGTTCAAGTAAAATGCGGATGTTTTGTGTAAATTTATGTTTCATATGATGCCTTATCAATTCTGATTTGAAAATAAAGGAATAAAATAGACAAAAGAAATTTGTGCCGTAACTTGCGTACTACGCTATACTTACACCCGTACCTACTGAGACCAATAAGTCTGCTGATTTATAACCATGTACTACGCTATACTTACATCCGTATCTACCGAGACCAATAAGTCTGCTGATTTATAACCATGTACTACGCTATACTTACACCCGTATCTACTGAGACCAATAAGTCTGCTGATTTATAACCATGTACTACGCTATACTTACACCCGTATCTACCGAGACCAATAAGTCTGCTGATTTATAACCATGTTTTACTGACACAGATCTGTGGTATTTGTATTGTCCAACATAATGCCATCAAAGCAGAAATGTTTGTAGTTGATTTATTTTCATTTATTTTATGGTTACTCGTAATCATGACTTTATATGTCCATGAAATGACAGACAGATAGGTATGGATTATAGTACTAGTGGATTTTGTGAACAAGAATTATCCATCAAATGAAATGCCAAGAAAAACAGACATGTTTGGAAAACCAGGAAATTTGAGCCCTACAAAAATATATGGTGTCACAGTCAACCAAGTGTGCTGTAATCACCTGTTTAAGACACACATACACAGACACATTCAGGTAACTTAAAGTGAATTCAGATTTTCATATTTCTGAATATCTATGTGACATCAATTTACATAAACAGCCTAGAAACACTCCCATGTTCTTAAAAGGATATTTAATACCATATCATTGACTTCTACACACAAATCCTTGCCGTCATGCTACTAAAAAGATATTTAATACCATATCATTGACTTCTACACACAAATCCTTGCCGTCATGCTATTAAAAAGATATTTAATACCATATCATTGACTTCTACACACAAATCCTTGCCGTCATGCTATTAAAAAGATATTTAATACCATATCATTGACTTCTACACACAAATCCTTGCCGTCATGCTACTAAAAAGATATTTAATACCATATCATTGACTTCTACACACAAATCCTTGCCGTCATGCTAGTAAAAAGATATTTAATACCATATCATTGACTTCTACACACAAATCCCTGCCGTCATGCTATTAAAAAGATATTTGATACCATATCATTGACTTCTACACACAAATCCCTGCCGTCATGCTATTAAAAAGATATTTAATACCATATCATTGACTTCTACACACAAATCCCTGCCGTCATGCTATTAAAAAGATATTTGATACCATATCATTGACTTCTACGCACAAATCCCTGCCGTCATGCTATTAAAAAGATATTTGATACCATATCATTGACTTCTACGCACAAATCCCTGCCGTCATGCTATTAAAAAGATATTTGATACCATATCATTGACTTCTACGCACAAATCCCTGCCGTCATGCTATTAAAAAGATATTTGATACCATATCATTGACTTCTACGCACAAATCCCTGCCGTCATGCTATTAAAAAGATATTTGATACCATATCATTGACTTCTACGCACAAATCCCTGCCGTCATGCTATTAAAAAGATATTTGATACCATATCATTGACTTCTACGCACAAATCCCTGCCGTCATGCTATTAAAAAGATATTTGATACCATATCATTGACTTCTACGCACAAATCCCTGCCGTCATGCTATTAAAAAGATATTTAATACCATATCATTGACTTCTACACACAAATCCCTGCCGTCATGCTATTAAAAAGATATTTAATACCATATCATTGACTTCTACACACAAATCCTCATCTGTGAAATCCACCACAAACAAGATAGGATTTGAGTACCACTGAAACACATGAACTGTATACCTGCACACCATTAGGGACTCTGAGTACCACTGAAACACATGAACTGTATACCTGACTTCTACACACACACCATTATGGGACTCTAGTACCACTGAAACACACAACTGTATACCTGCACACCATTAGGGACTCTAATACCACTGAAACACATGAACTGTATACCTGCACACCATTAGGGACTCTGAGTACCACTGAAACACATGAACTGTATACCTCCACACCATTAGGGACTTGAGTACCACTGAAACACATGAACTGTATACCTCCACACCATAAGGGACTCTGAGTACCACTGAAACACATGAACTGTATACCTGCACACCATTAGGGACTCTGAGTACCACTGAAACACATGAACTGTATACCTGCACACCATTAGGGACTCTGAGTACCACTGAAACACATGAACTGTATACCTGCACACCATTAGGGACTCTGAGTACCACTGAAACACATGAACTGTATACCTGCACACCATTAGGGACTCTGAGTACCACTGAAACACATGAACTGTATACCTCCACACCATTAGGGACTTGAGTACCACTGAAACACATGAACTGTATACCTCCACACCATAAGGGACTCTGAGTACCACTGAAACACATGAACTGTATACCTGCACACCATTAGGGACTCTGAGTACCACTGAAACACATGAACTGTATACCTCCACACCATTAGGGACTTGAGTACCACTGAAACACATGAACTGTATACCTGCACACCATTAGGGACTCTGAGTACCACTGAAACACATGAACTGTATACCTGCACACCATTAGGGACTCTGAGTACCACTGAAACACATGAACTGTATACCTGCACACCATTAGGGACTCTGAGTACCACTGAAACACATGAACTGTATACCTGCACACCATTAGGGACTCTGAGTACCACTGAAACACATGAACTGTATACCTCCACACCATTAGGGACTTGAGTACCACTGAAACACATGAACTGTATACCTCCACACCATAAGGGACTCTGAGTACCACTGAAACACATGAACTGTATACCTGCACACCATTAGGGACTCTGAGTACCACTGAAACACATGAACTGTATACCTGCACACCATTAGGGACTTGAGTACCACTGAAACACATGAACTGTATACCTGCACACCATTAGGGACTCTGAGTACCACTGAAACACATGAACTGTATACCTGCACACCATTAGGGACTCTGAGTACCACTGAAACACATGAACTGTATACCTGCACACCATTAGGGACTCTGAGTACCACTGAAACACATGAACTGTATACCTGCACACCATTAGGGACTCTGAGTACCACTGAAACACATGAACTGTATACCTCCACACCATTAGGGACTCTCAGTCATGTCTTTACTGTTTAAAAAAAAGTAAGCAATCAGGCCCATTGGACCTTTTGTTCATGATTGAAAAGTGAATTTAATATAAAATAATGCTACAGTACAATATCAGACTGTCCCTATAACATTTATTTTATTGTCTAGTTTCAGAATGAAGAACTCAGTAAGAAAGAAAAATCAGCTTCAACTTCTGAAAATCAAGAAACAACAGGTAGGGGATTGTTGTCACAGTGAAACAGATCTGTAGTATAGGAGAGACATGAGGTAGGGGATTGTTGTCACAGTGAAACAGATCTGTAGTATAGGAGAGACATGAGGTAGGGGATTGTTGTCACAGTGAAACAGATCTGTAGTATAGGAGAGACATGAGGTAGGGGATTGTTGTCACAGTGAAACAGATCTGTAGTATAGGAGAGACATGAGGTAGGGGATTGTTGTCACAGTGAAACAGATCTGTAGTATAGGAGAGACATGAGGTAGGGGATTGTTGTCACAGTGAAACAGATCTGTAGTATAGGAGAGACATGAAGTAGGGGATTGTTGTCACAGTGAAACAGATCTGTAGTATAGGAGAGACATGAGGTAGGGGATTTTTGTCACAGTGAAACAGATCTGTAGTATAGGAGAGACATGAGGTAGGGGATTGTTGTCACAGTGAAACAGATCTGAAGTATAGGAGAGACATGAGGTAGGGGATTGTTGTCACAGTGAAACAGATCTGTAGTATAGGAGAGACATGAGGTAGGGGATTGTTGTCACAGTGAAACAGATCTGTAGTATAGGAGAGACATGAGGTAGGGGATTGTTGTCACAGTGAAACAGATCTGTAGTATAGGAGAGACATGAGGTAGGGGATTGTTGTCACAGTGAAACTGAACTATAGTATCGGAGAGACATGAAGTAGGGGATTGTTGTCACAGTGAAACAGATCTGTAGTATCGGAGAGACATGATGTAGGGGATTGTTGTCACAGTGAAACAGATCTGTAGTATAGGAGAGACATGAGGTAGGGGATTGTTGTCACAGTGAAACAGATCTATAGTATAGGAAAGACATGAGGTAGGGGATTTTTGTCACAGTGAAACAGATCTATAGTATAGGAAAGACATGAGGTAGGGGATTTTTGTCACAGTGAAATAGATGTGATTGAATGATGGCATTGTTTAAAATGTTTTGATCATTTTTAAGGCATTTTTGTTTATGATGTCTTACAGAGGAAAAAGACATCAAAATCTCTTCTAATGAAATTGGAAAGGAGGATGAATCGAACAAGGAAGAAAGAAAACTAGCAGACAAGGATATGGAAGAGAAATCTGGTGATACAACGGTTAATAACAAGGATAAAAACAAGATGGAGGTCTCATGATATTGGTCTTTTCTTGTTTAATTTGGTGAAGGTCAATTGAATGATTAAAACCACTAGTCTGTAGCTGTGGTCTTTTAAGTCTTGTGACCTTCAGGAAGGAATGTCAAGGGATGCACTATTCTGTAGCAGGGCTCTGGACATGAAAATCTTTTAGGCACAGTCAATGTGATAACTTGCTGCTGGTTCTTTATTCAAAATGTAAATGTCAATGATAAGATGACTGCCTGTTGGCTGGTGTCATGTGTTATTACACTTGTATGCCATTTCACAATTGTGATGCCACTATTGGACAATAAAGAATGTGATGAGGTATGGTTCTGTTTCTTGACCTACTAAGTATAACACCCAGATGTTGTTTTTCCTATGACATCTTAATCAGCTTTAGATTGGACTCCCTGGTATAGTTCATGATAGTAATATCAACTTTAATAGATATGATGTAGATTCTACTACTGTCAAAAACCATTAAGGAAGAACTGCTTCCTACTAAGGTCACATCAACAGGTCACATAAAGGGTCATAGGTTAAATATCTGTTATCAATACAGTATCTAATAACACCTGCCATCCTTTAGAGCACCAACAGCTCAGAATTCACAGCACATGTCATCGCGGAGCTCAAAGAGTTGTGGCCTGAACTCATCATGGTTCATGGCAAGCCTAGACACCTCCAAAGTCAAGACTCTGTTGAAAGAGCAAATAGCGACATTAAAGATATTTCTTGTGACCTGGATGAGACACCACAACACCAGGACTGGACAGTGGGACTCAAATTTGTTCAACAAAAGAAGAACTGTGCCCATCATGCAGAACTGAACACCATACAAGGCCATGTTTGGAGAGGACCCTAAAGTCAGCTTGACATCATCCAATCTCTCACCTTAAATCCTCGACAGGCTTCAGTCTGAAGATGGTCTTCTGGCCCTCTATCACTTTCAGAATATTTTATTGTCATGGTGGTATTGACAGTGGGAATTGGGCAACAGGCAGAGCCTATGAAAGCCCTCTCCTTACAGTGCATAAACAAGTATACAGAAACATCAATCAAAATTAGAGATAACAGATAATAATAATATTAGGAATAAGAATGTAGAAGATAGATTCAAATGGATGATTATATAACCGAAATGCAAAATAGGCATCACCATCGTTTGTATTATTGAGTACCAGAACAGTAACATAAACTAAAAAATACAAATTAGGTATCACAAGATATTACAAGACTGGGTCAAAATATGTCCATTTGTGGTGGGACAGGCTGCAGGTTCAAACAGTCCATTTGCACATAATCCTGAGCTGAGTCCCTAAAATGGACAGGCGGACCCACACTTGAGACATCAAATACAAATGAGAGATAGAAAAGATAGAAGTATAGAATGGGATGTACATTTGCTAAAATAGGCGACCAGTGTCAGTTATGAATCTCTGAACTATATCAAGAATAAATTTATTCATGTTTGCATCAAGTATAGGAGAACCTTTGAGAAATGTATCAATTGAAGGAGGTATAGAATCACTAAGGTCAGAAAGGGAATTAAAGAGGAGTTGTCTCTGGTTAGTAAAGAAGGGACAGTGGAAAAAGAAGTGGGTACAATCTTCAACTGGGTGGCCACAGTTACAGGCAGGCCTTCTATGAGTCACCACTTCTGACCAGAGCTGAGCTATCGATCCCTACCACCACTGAACAACCGCCTTTGACCACTACCATCACTGAACCACTGCTTTCAACAACTACAACCACTGAACCACTGCCTTTGACCATTACCACCACTGAACCATCGTCTTCTACCACTACCACCACTGAACAACTGCCTTTGACCACTACCACTACTGAACCACCGCCTTCGACCACTACCACCAGTGGACCACCGCCTTCGATCACTACCACCACTGAACCATCGCCTTCAACTACTTTCACCACTACCACCACTGAACCACCGCTTTCAACAACTACAACCACTGAACCACCGCCTTCGACCATTACCACCACTGAACCATCGTCTTCTACCACTACCACCACTGAACAACTGCCTTCGACCACTACCACTACTGAACCACCGCCTTCGACCACTACCACCAGTAGACCACTGCCTTCGATCACTACCACCGCTGGACCATCGCCTTCTACCACTACCACCACTGAACAACTGCCTTCGACCACTACCACTACTGAACCACCGCCTTCGACCACTACCACCAGTGGACCACTGCCTTCGATCACTACCACCACTGGACCATCGCCTTCGACTGCTTTCACTGCTGAACCGCCGTTCCCGCCGTTCACTTCTTCATCTCTTGACAGACGGCTTCAAGATATCAGCGATCAGCATAAAAGAGTGCGAGCGGCTCAGCTAGTCCACAGAGAAAGGATGGTGAAGTGTACTGACATAAAAACAGGTGAACCTGGAGATAATATTACCATGCCCATTCCCATGGTGGACAGATGTAGAGGTGACCCAAGAAATATCCTTGGAGTAATTGTTAATTGTGATGAAAATGACATGTACAGAATTGTGATGAAAGCTGGTGTTTTTAAAGTTAAGTATACCAGGAATCAGTTCGATCTCTGTCCCCAGCAACTCCTGAATTACTATGATGTTAATATGGACAGTACAACCACACTTTGTCAGGCTCTTAAATCTACAGCTTCTGGTGGACAAGGATTCTTTTGTTGTGATTGCAGCAAAGGCAAGACACAGTGTCAGACAAACAGGTGCAAGTGCTATAAAACAAAGAGACTTTGTAAAAGTAGATGTCACAATAGCCTTACTTATCCAAATAAGTAAAGTGTTTACAGATACCATGTAGGGAGAACATTATCTGCATTATACAGCTTTCGATGGGGATGATTATAAACTTAAAAATAAACAAAGCTGTTTGTTGCTTTTTATCATGATGATCAGTTGTGGTTAACATTACTAGGATGTATGAGTAATCAATAAAGTACATAAAAAACATTTTTTTGTTATAATTTAACACAAAGGAAATCCAGGGATTTGGTGAAATAACTTAAGCATCATTCCAGTAATACTGAACATTTTCATCAGGTTGGAAAGTAAGGATTATGTAAAGATTCTTTATACACAACCAGGAATTTTAATATGTGACGTTTCGGTGACCAGTACAATCCGTACGCTGTCACCTTCCTCAGACAAATGACCAGTAAAACATGTACACAAAGGTGTGATATGTGTACGAGTTGTCGTCGATTTCGGACATGCTGACAAGTGCCGAAATGACTGTTAGCGAATAGTAAAACCATTCGGCTACGCTTATTTTATTACTTGGTCATAGATGTGCGAGAGTCTATGAGCCCCCTCATCTCGGTTCAGAACTGCCCCGCTGCGGCGTATCCAGATGGCTTCTTTGATCTGTCGCTTCAGAAGATGGTTCTCTCTATCGAGCACCTTTGAGTTTTCCCAGTCAATCACATGGTTTTCCTGCAAGGCATGGTCAGTGATTGCCGATTTGTTTATCCTGGTTGTGTATAAAGAATCTTTACATAATCATCATTCCAGTAATTACAGGAAATCCCTAAAGATGACTAAGTGAATTAGGGATTTCACGAATTCATTGAAAGTTTCAGTGATTTCATGAAATCCCTGATTTCACAATCTTACTGTAACATATGTATATATATATTATCAAAAGTGGTTATTTTTCCATGATTCAAATGTTTGTGGTTTAGCCAAACACTTCAACAGGTAACAATTTTTCGTGAAAGTCATGACATGTACCATGGTTTTGTTTATTGATTACAGGTTTAACTTATCTGTATTTCTTGATATTATTACATTAGTGCATGTATGTATATTGAAATGTAAACTTTAAAAGACAACAAAATTAGGAGCACCTGTATTTTAAACATTGATTTTATTCATCATGATATTTGATTAAGGGGCAGATGTTATTAGACATTGATTTTAAATAAAATCTGATTGATCTTACACTACAGTACTGATCAAATACATAAATATCTTTAAACAAGTCAATTTCAACAAAAATATCACAAAATTTCATCAATAAATTATCTGATTATTGGCATGCTCTTCCTGCTATCATTCTTTAAGGCTGATGGTTCTACATGTTTCTCTATTTGTATTGTAATCTCTCATTGAGTGAGATCATCTTTATCCTCGGTTATAATAGGTCACATGATAAGAACTCATAGTGATGTAATAATACATTGGTAATTTCATTGTATGTATGTGATAAAAATCTCCTTTGTGTGTCTTATGTCAGAAATACCAATATTTACACCACTGTCTACACAAAACATTGTGTGTCTTATGTCAGAAAAACCAATATTTACTCCTCTGTCTACACAAAACATTGTGTTTTATGTCAGAAATACCAATATTTACTCCACTGTCTACACAAAACAATGTGTGTCTTATGTCAGAAATACCAATATTTACTCCACTGTCTACACAAAACATTGTGTCTTATGTCAGAAATACCAATATTTACTCCACTGTCTACACAAAATGTGTGTCTTATGTCAGAAAAACCAATATTTACTCCACTGTCTACACAAAACATTGTGTCTTATGTCAGAAATACCAATATTTACACCACTGTCTACACAAAACATTGTGTGTCTTATGTCAGAAATACCAATATTTACTCCACTGTCTACACAAAACAATGTGTCTTATGTCAGAAATACCAATATTTACTCCACTGTCTACACAAAACAATGTGTGTCTTATATCAGAAATACCAATATTTACTCCACTGTCTACACAAAACATTGTGTCTTATGTCAGAAATACCAATATTTACTCCACTGTCTACACAAAACAATGTGTGTCTTATGTCAGAAATACCAATATTTACTCCACTGTCTACACAAAACATTGTGTCTTATGTCAGAAATACCAATATTTACTCCACTGTCTACACAAAACAATGTGTCTTATGTCAGAAATACCAATATTTACTCCACTGTCTACACAAAACAATGTGTGTCTATGTCAGAGATTCCATTATTTATTCCATTGTCTACATGAGACACTTTGTGTGTCTAGAGACCAGAAATATATCAGTCTACACTGAAATCAGTATAAAGCATTCAAATGATAGTTTGTAATAAGTATGCACCATACACAGATAAAACCATTTGACCTTGGACACCTAAGAATTTAACCAAAATAAATTATGAATGATTAATTTTTTTTTGTTACATATTCCATATATGTAGATTTATATAAAACAATTAGACATATGTCTGTATCATTATAGTATACTAGAAATGTTTCCTGTACTTTATATCATAAAAGTTGACATTATAAACTATCATAAAACAAAACAACGTATATTATCAATAAGCTAGCTGATGATAAAGGAACAAAATAAACGTAATACGAGTACAGATAAATACATAGATGCTGCTTGGTAACTGTAAAATTAGCAATGAGACAAAAGAAGTAATTTTTCTAACTAAAACCACTATTGACCACTATTCCCCAGAGCTGATCATTAGTGACCACTACCAACTACTGTTGACTAAGAATGACTCTTACACAACTTGATTATTTAAGCATTGAACTGCTTTCAGTATCTGTGCAGTCCATTTTGTCCCTAGATGTCCAGCAGATCAGTGCAGTCCATTTTGTCCCTAGATGTCCAACAGGTCAGTGCAGTCCATTTTGTCCCTAGATGTCCAACAGGTCAGTGCAGTCCATTTTGTCCCTAGATGTCCAGCAGATCAGTGCAGTCCATTTTGTCCCTAGATGTCCAACAGGTCAGTGCAGTCCATTTTGTCCCTAGATGTCCAGCAGATCACTGCAGTCCATTTTGTCCTTAGATGTCCAACAGGTCAGTGCAGTCCATTCTGTCCCTAGATGTCCAACAGGTCAGTGCAGTCCATTTTGTCCTTAGATGTCCAACAGGTCAGTGCAGTCCATTCTGTCCCTAGATGTCCAACAGGTCAGTGCAGTCCATTTTGTCCTTAGATGTCCAACAGGTCAGTGCAGTCCATTCTGTCCCTAGATGTCCAACAGGTCAGTGCAGTCCATTTTGTCCTTAGATGTCCAGCAGATCTGTGCAGTCCATTTTGTCCCTAGATGTCCGAAAGATCTGTGCAATTCCTTTTATCCTCAGATGTCCAGCAGATCTGTGCAGTCCATTTTGCCCCCATGACATCTGATGACAACTACCTGAAGCTGACGAGATAAGCAGGATATGCCTGGCTATCATGGAAAATGATATAGATGGATGGAGCAGACACATTGTTGGTGGCTGAATCATATGTTGTGCCCCGAACTCCATCGGGTAGGTATCTCATCCCACTGTGTCCTGCACACAACTCCCCTGTCAAGACACGTGTGTAAAATATGTGATTTAGTCCATTTCTGTCTGGCTGGCAGAAACCGACAGAGTAAGAAGCATCTACTGCAAAATATACTCCATTACCATAGGCTGTGGCTGTAAGAGAAGAAAACATCTTGTTACAGCCAAATTTTCAATAAAATGTGGCTTATTTTAAATACTCCTTTTTGCTCAATTCTTAAAGTAACAGTAACATACTTCTGAAAGCCATTGGGGTAAAATGTCTCACCCAAGGACACAGCCATGATCTCAAACTGCCCTGAGTAAGGAACACCAGGTCATCATCTGCGGCTGTAAAATCTAATGCTCTACCTAATGAGCAATCTATCATGGCCCCTCTCTGTCTCAACCATTCACGGCTATCATGGCCCCTCTCTGTCTCAACCATTCACGACTATCATGGCCCCTGTCTCAACCATTCACGACTATCATGGCCCCTCTCTGTCTCAACCATTCACGACTATCATGGCCCCTCTCTGTCTCAACCATTCACGACTATCATGGCCCCTCTCTGTCTCAACCATTCACGGCTATCATGGCCCCTGTCTCAACCATTCACGGCTATCATGGCCCCTCTCTGTCTCAACCATTCACGACTATCATGGCCCCTGTTTCAACCATTCACGACTATCATGGCCCCTGTCTCAACCATTCACGACTATCATGGCCCCTCTCTGTCTCAACCATTCACGACTATCATGGCCCCTCTCTGTCTCAACCATTCACGACTATCATGGCCCCTCTCTGTCTCAACCATTCACGGCTATCATGGCCCCTGTCTCAACCATTCACGGCTATCATGGTCTCAACCATTCACGACTCTGGCCCCTGTCTCAACCATTCACGACTATCATGGCCCCTCTCTGTCTCAACCATTCACAACTATCATGGCCCCTGTCTCAACCATTCACGACTATCATGGTCCCTCTCTGTCTCAACCATTCACGGCTATCATGGCCCCTCTCTGTCTCAACCATTCACGGCTATCATGGTCCCTGTCTCAACCATTCACGACTATCATGGCCCCTCTCTGTCTCAACCATTCACGGCTATCATGGCCCCTGTCTCAACCATTCACGACTATCATGGCCCCTCTCTGTCTCAACCATTCACAACTATCATGGCCCCTGTCTCAACCATTCACGACTATCATGGCCCCTCTCTGTCTCAACCATTCACGGCTATCATGGCCCCTCTCTGTCTCAACCATTCACGACTATCATGGCCCCTGTCTCAACCATTCACGACTATCATGGCCCCTCTCTGTCTCAACCATTCACGGCTATCATGGCCCCTCTCTGTCTCAACCATTCACGACTATCATGGCCCCTCTCTGTCTCAACCATTCACGACTATCATGGCCCCTCTCTGTCTCAACCATTCACGACTATCATGGCCCTTCTCTGTCTCAACCATTCACGACTATCATGGCCCCTCTCTGTCTCAACCATTCACGACTATCATGGCCCCTGTCTGTCTCAACCATTCACGACTATCATGGCCCCAGTCTCAACCATTCACAACTATCATGGCCCCTCTCTGTCTCAACCATTCACGACTATCATGGCCCCTCTCTGTCTCAACCATTCACGACTATCATGGCCCCTCTCTGTCTCAACCATTCACGACTATCATGGCCCCTGTCTCAACCATTCACGACTATCATGGCCCCTCTCTGTCTCAACCATTCACGACTATCATGGCCCCTCTCTGTCTCAACCATTCACGGCTATCATGGCCCCTGTCTCAACCATTCACGACTATCATGGCCCCTCTCTGTCTCAACCATTCACGGCTATCATGGCCCCTGTCTCAACCATTCACGGCTATCACTGTCTCAACCATTCACGACTATCATGGCCCCTCTCTGTCTCAACCATTCACGACTATCATGGCCCCTCTCTGTCTCAACCATTCACGACTATCATGGCCCCTCTCTGTCTCAACCATTCACGGCTATCATGGCCCCTCTCTGTCTCAACCATTCACGACTATCATGGTCCCTCTCTGTCTCAACCATTCACGGCTATCATGGCCCCTGTCTCAACCATTCACGGCTATCATGGCCCCTGTCTCAACCATTCACGGCTATCATGGCCCTTCTCTGTCTCAACCATTCATGACTATCATGGCCCCTCTCTGTCTCAACCATTCACGGCTATCATGGCCCCTCTCTGTCTCAACCATTCACGACTATCATGGCCCCTCTCTGTCTCAACCATTCACGACTATCATGGCCCCTCTCTGTCTCAACCATTCACGACTATCATGGCCCCTGTCTCAACCATTTACGACTATCATGGTCCCTCTCTGTCTCAACCATTCACGACTATCATGGCCCCTGTCTCAACCATTCACGACTATCATGGCCCCTCTCTGTCTCAACCATTCACGGCTATCATGGCCCCTCTCTGTCTCAACCATTCACGGCTATCATGGCCCCTGTCTGTCTCAACCATTCACGACTATCATGGTCCCTGTCTCAACCATTCACGGCTATCATGGCCCTTCTCTGTCTCAACCATTCATGACTATCATGGCCCCTCTCTGTCTCAACCATTCACGACTATCATGGCCCCTCTCTGTCTCAACCATTCACGACTATCATGGCCCCTCTCTGTCTCAACCATTCACGACTATCATGGCCCCTCTCTGTCTCAACCATTCACGACTATCATGGCCCCTCTCTGTCTCAACCATTCACGACTATCATGGCCCCTCTCTGTCTCAACCATTCACGACTATCATGGCCCTCAACCATTCACGACTATCATGGCCCCTCTCTGTCTCAACCATTCACGACTATCATGGCCCCTCTCTGTCTCAACCATTCACGGCTATCATGGCCTCTCTGTCTCAACCATCTATCATGGCCCCTCTCTGTCTCAACCATTCACGACTATCATGGCCCCTCTCTGTCTCAACCATTCACGGCTATCATGGCCCCTCTCTGTCTCAACCATTCACGACTATCATGGCCCCTCTCTGTCTCAACCATTCACGACTATCATGGCCCCTCTCTGTCTCAACCATTCACGACTATCATGGCCCCTCTCTGTCTCAACCATTCACGACTATCATGGCCCCTCTCTGTCTCAACAATTCACGACTATCATGGACCCTGTCTCAACCAGGCCCCTGTCTCAACCATTCACGACTATCATGGCCCCTCTCTGTCTCAACCATTCACGACTATCATGGCCCCTCTCTGTCTCAACCATTCACGACTATCATGGCCCCTCTCTGTCTCAACCATTCACGGCTATCATGGCCCCTCTCTGTCTCAACCATTCACGACTATCATGGCCCCTCTCTGTCTCAACCATTCACGACTATCATGGCCCCTCCCTCAACCATTCTCTGTCTCAACCATTCACGACTATCATGGCCCCTCTCTGCCCCTCTCAACCATTCACGACTATCATGGCCCCTCTCTGTCTCAACCATTCACGACTATCATGGCCCCTCTCTGTCTCAACCATTCACGACTATCATGGCCCCTGTCTCAACCATTCACGACTATCATGGCCCCTCTCAACCATTCACGACTATCATGGCCCCTCTCTGTCTCAACCATTCACGACTATCATGGCCCGTCTCTGTCTCAACCATTCACGACTATCATGGCCCCTCTCTGTCTCAACCATTCACGACTATCATGGCCCCTCTCTGTCTCAACCATTCACGACTATCATGGCCCCTCTCTGTCTCAACCATTCACGACTATCATGGCCAACCTCTCTGTCTCAACCATTCACGACTATCATGGCCCCTCTCTGTCTCAACCTCTATCATGGCCCCTCTCTGTCTCAACCATTCACGACTATCATGGCCCCTCTCTGTCTCAACCATTCACGACTATCATGGCCCCTCTCTGTCTCAACCATTCACGACTATCATGGCCCCTCTCTGTCTCAACCATTCACGACTATCATGGCCCCTCTCTGTCTCAACCATTCACGACTATCATGGTCCCTGTCTCAACCATTCACGGCTATCATGGCCCCTGTCTCAACCATTCACGGCTATCATGGCCCTTCTCTGTCTCAACCATTCACAACTATCATGGCCCCTCTCTGTCTCAACCATTCACGACTATCATGGCCCCTCTCTGTCTCAACCATTCACGACTATCATGGCCCCTCTCTGTCTCAACCATTCACGACTATCATGGCCCCTCTCTGTCTCAACCATTCACGACTATCATGGCCCCTCGCTGTCTCAACCATTCACGACTATCATGGTCTCAACCCTATCATGGCCCCTCTCTGTCTCAACCATTCACGACTATCATGGCCCCTCTCTGTCTCAACCATTCACGGCTATCATGGCCCCTCTCTGTCTCAACCATTCACGACTATCATGGCCCCTCTCTGTCTCAACCATTCACGACTATCATGGCCCCTCTCTGTCTCAACCATTCACGACTATCATGGCCCCTCTCTGTCTCAACCATTCACGACTATCATGGCCCCTCTCTGTCTCAACCATTCACGACTATCATGGCCCCTCTCTGTCTCAACCATTCACGACTATCATGGCCCCTCTCTGTCTCAACCATTCACGACTATCATGGCCCCTCCCCTCTCGACTATCATGGTCTCAACCATTCACGACTATCATGGTCCCTCTCTGTCTCAACCATTCACGACTATCATGGCCCCTCTCTGTCTCAACCATTCACGACTATCATGGCCCCTCTCTGTCTCAACCATTCACGACTATCATGGCCCCTCTCTGTCTCAACCATTCACGGCTATCATGGCCCCTCTCTGTCTCAACCATTCACGACTATCATGGCCCCTCTCTGTCTCAACCATTCACAACTATCATGGTCTCTATCTGTCTCAACCATTCACGACTATCATGGCCCCTCTCTGTCTCAACCATTCACGACTATCATGGCCCCTCTCTGTCTCAACCATTCACGACTATCATGGCCCCTCTCTGTCTCAACCATTCACGACTATCATGGCCCCTCTCTGTCTCAACCATTCACGACTATCATGGCCCCTCTCTGTCTCAACCATTCACGACTATCATGGCCCCTCTCTGTCTCAACCATTCACGACTATCATGGCCCCTCTCTGTCTCAA